AGGGTAGTGGAGAGTAAAAGAGGTGCGTGAATCTGGGGTGCTGGTGCTGGAGAATGAGAAAGAAGTACCGGTGAAGGCACATCAGAGCAACACGGCAGGAGTCAAAGGAACAAGGCCTCAGCAGCATGGTCCTGTGACCCGAGCTCAGGCAGCCCGAGCAGGGGCACAGGAGGGGGCAGGTGGTGGCTGAGGCTGATCAACCACGTAAGGAGAAGGAAGGCAAGGGAGTGACAAGAGGAAGAGCAGGTTGCAAGGATGAGGTGGTTCTCCGACACCTCCCTTCCCTCCTTTCCTTGCCAACCCCACCAGGTGTGCGTGCAGGGCAGCATGTGGGCGGGCATATTCACGAACATGCCTCACACTCCCCTCGGCCTGCCTCTGCATATGCCCCTGCTCCTTTTTCCCTCCCCCCTGCTCACTCCATCCAGGTGTGCGTGCAGGGCAGCATGGGGCGGGCATATTCACGAACATGCCTCACACTCCCCTCTGCCTGCCTCTGCATATGCCCCTGCTCCTTTTGCCCTCCCCCCTGCTCACTCCATCCAGGTGTGCGTGCAGGGCAGCATGGGGCGGGCATATTCACGAACATGCCTCACACTCCCCTCTGCCTGCCTCTGCATATGCCCCTGCTCCTTTTGCCCTCCCCCCTGCTCACTCCATCCAGGTGTGCGTGCAGGGCAGCATGGGGCGGGCATATTCACGAACATGCCTCACACTCCCCTCTGCCTGCCTCTGCATATGCCCCTGCTCCTTTTGCCCTCCCCCCTGCTCACTCCATCCAGGTGTGCGTGCAGGGCAGCATGTGGGCGGGCATATTCACGAACATGCCTCACACTCCCCTCTGCCTGCCTCTGCATATGCCCCTGCTCCTTTTGCCCTCCCCCCTGCTCACTCCATCCAGGTGTGTGTGCAGGGCAGCATGGGGTCGGGCATATTCGCGGGAATGCCGTTGCAGCTGGCGGGCACGCGCAGGCTGCTGGAGGCCATGGACTGGGGGGACGAGCTCAACGAGAAGATTGTTCTGGGCTCTGTAGGTGAGCTGAAGGCAGGTGCCTCGGTAGGTGGGTGCATTAAGGGTGGGTGGGGAGGTACAAGGGTGGGTGGCACGCGCAGGCTGCTGTGGGCCATGGGTGGGGGACGAGCTCAACGAGAGAATCGTACTCGGCTCCGTGGGTGCGTTGGGGGTGGAAGCCAATCAGTGTGGATGGCTGCGTGGGAGCATTGAGAGTGCATTCCTCCATGTGCATTCCTCCATGTGCATTCCTCCATGTGCATTCCTCCATGTGCATTCCTCCATGTGCATTCCTCCATGTGCATTCCTCCATGTGCATTCCTCCATGTGCATTCCTCCATGTGCATTCCTCCATGTGCATTCCTCCATGTGCATTCCTCCATGTGCATTCCTCCATGTGCATTCCTCCATGTGCATTCCTCCATGTGCATTCCTCCATGTGCATTCCTCCATGTGCATTCCTCCATGTGCATTCCTCCATGTGCATTCCTCCATGTGCATTCCTCCATGTGCATTCCTCCATGTGCATTCCTCCATGTGCATTCCTCCATGTGCATTCCTCCATGTGCATTCCTCCATGTGCATTCCTCCATGTGCATTCCTCCATGTGCATTCCTCCATGTGCATTCCTCCATGTGCATTCCTCCATGTGCATTCCTCCATGTGCATTCCTCCATGTGCATTCCTCCATGTGCATTCATGACCCCTGTCCGCTGATGCTCCGTGTGCTCAAATTCTTGTTGTGCTCACATGCTCCTTGCTGTGCACACATGCCCCTTGTGCGCATCATGCACGAATCAGGAGCTGCTGAGGTGGCGCCAGAGGATGACGTGGTGATCATCATGGCTCCTCAGAATGCGGTCGGCAACTGCATCCTCGATGTGAGTCACGTTGGTGCTGATATGAGTGACATCAGCACTATTGGAAAACTGAATATTTCTTTTTTGGGTTGAAAGACTTCCCTGCGGCCATGCTCGTCGCCACTCCTTCATCCAATTGCCCAACTCGCTTCCACCAGTCACTTTCCCTGCCTGTCACCCACCCCGTCAGCTCCCCTTGCTGCATCATCTCATAGCGTCCCCATAACCAGGGCATGCCATCTCACACCTTGCCACACTCACCGATCTCAGCATCCCCCACCATGTCCCCCCATCCCCTGGGCGCCCCCCCCCCCGTGTCCCCCTATCTTTTGCACTCTCTCATATCCCCCCATCCATTGCGCCTTGCCATGTCCGCCCATCCCCCGCGCCCTGCTCCCAGGATCTGCAAGCCATGGTGGAGGTAGCAGCACCGCGGCCCGTCATCATACTCAACCCGCGCCTCAAGGTCACACATGCTGCCCTTTCCACATGCTGCCCTCTCCACATGCTTCCCTCTCCACATGCTGCCCTCTCCACATGCTGCCCTCTCCACATGCTGCCCTCTCCACATGCTGCCCTTTCCACATGCTGCTCGTCTTACGTGCTGCCCTGCTGCCTTCCTGCCCCCCTCCTGCCCTCCCGCCCTGCTGCCCTTCTGTCACGCATATCCTTCCTCTCATCCTCCTTGACGCCCCCACCCTCCCATGGCCCCATCAGGACCTGCCGAGTGCAGCAGGGGTGATGCAGGTGGCGGGGAGGGCGGAGAGAGTGGCATTCACCGACACATTCGAGCTCTGCTACCTCATGCGTCTGCTCTACCTCTCGGGCACACAGTACCCCATCCTCGGCGCCCTCAGGTGGGAAGAGTACCTTTGAGGCGGGAAGTGCACCTGCTCTATCTCTCTGGCACGCATTTGCTCATCCTGGCGCCCTCAGGGTAATGAATTCAGAAGGACAACCAGATTTATAAAATCTCGCATCACACCCATCTGCCTTCCATTCCCACCCCTAAGAATGCGCTGCCCCTCACTCCGCGAATACGCCCTTCCATTCGACATGGAGCGGTATGACCTCACAGTGTGTTTCAAGTCGACTCAGAACGCCCTGCCTCCCCTTCTCACCCCCCAGGATGCGCTACCCCTCCCCATTTGAGGTGTACAAGCGAGTGGACATCTCCTTTGGCGTGGAGCGGTACGACCTCATGGCCTCGCTGCCCTCCCTGCCCTCGCTGCCACCATCCCTTCTCATCCCCAGGATGCGCTACCCAGCCCCCTTCGAGGTGTACAAGCGCGTGGACGTGTCCTTTGGCGTGGAGCGGTACGACCTCATGGCCTCGCTGCCCTCCCTGCCCACCTCTGCTGACATCAGCGACGCCTTCGCTGGCAAGACGTGAGCAGGGCGATGGGAGATTGGGCTGGGTGGGTGGTGAGGAAAAGAAGATGGGCGGATGGGGATGAGGAAGGGAGGAGATGAGGAAAAGCGGGTGGGGGAAGAGCCGGAAGGATGCATGCTCATGGGTCTGATCATCTCCATGCATGAGTCCTTCCCCAAACCCAATGACACGGCACTGCTCTTGTCTCGTCTCTTGCTATTCCAAGCCTGCCTCGTCACCTCTGCATTCGTCTTGGTGTTTCTCCATGGTTGCGTATGTGGTGCGATGCATGCTGCACACTGCTTGCTGCATGGTTAATGGTGCATGTTGCATGGCACATGGTGCATGGCACATGGCGCATGGTGCATGCATGGTGCTTGGCACATGGCGGCGCATGGTGCATGCATGGTGCTTGGCACATGGCGGCGCATGGTGCATGCATGGTGCTTGGCACATGGCGGCGCATGGTGCATGCATGGTGCTTGGCACATGGCGGTGCATGGTGCATGCATGGTGCTTGGCACATGGCGGTGCATGCATGGTGCTTGGCACATGGTGCATATTGCGTGGTTAATGGTGGATGGTGCATGGCACATGGCGTATGGCGAATGATGCATGGCGCATGGTGCATGGTGCATGCTGCATGCTGCATGCTGCATGGTGCATGGTGCATGCTGCATGCTGCATGCTGCATGCTGCATGCTGCATGCTGCATGGTGCATGGTGCATGGTGCATGGTGCATGCTGCATGGTGCATGGTGCATGCTGCATGCTGCATGCTGCATGCTGCATGCTGCATGCTGCATGCTGCATGCTGCATGCTGCATGCTGCATGGTGCATGCTGCATGGTGCATGGTGCATGGTGCATGGTGCATGGTGCATGGTGCATGGTGCATGGTGCATGGTGCATGGCACATGGTGCATGGTGCATGGCAGGCCAAGATCACAGACACAACCGGAAGGCATCTGGTGAGCAACCCTTCACTCCCCACACATCCATGCACATCCTATACGCCACAGTCCTCCCTCGCATCCCTGCTCTTTGCCCTCCTCTCCCTGCACATCCCTGCACATGCTGAATGCCACATGCACGCCCTCGCATCCCTGCCCTCTGGTCATTCCCATTGCTCACTTGCTCCTCCACAGAGCTCCATTCTCTCGCCCCTCTTTACCCTGTGCTGCACATGTGTCTCGTCTCTTCTCCCACCTCACTCTTCATTCGCTCCATATTGTCACATCTGTGTGCAATCACCACCAGGGGCTGGCTCGCCAAGGTCTTTTGAGTCCAATCATGGGTGCACTGCTCCCGGTCTCCAGCATCAGTCACGCCTCTTGCTTGGACCTCCAACTGTGTATTTATTTCATCACCTCTCTAATAGATACCATCTGCGTTCTCCTTACAGATAAAAATTCGTACTGCTCTTACTACAGTTAGCTTCTACGGTATTATCTTACAGCATTTCTAGAGGGGAAATGTGTTTGTCCTCCAGTCTCAATACTCACTTCACCTTAAATCCCATAGTGCTCTTACGGTACACAGTTAGCTCTTCAAATCACCACAACACTGGAGGAGAGTTACTCCTTTCTCCTGTCCCAGTAGTCACTTCGCTACAAGGGACTAAGCTCTGAATCACCCATCCATGTGCAACTGACTGTATGCCCCCCTTCTGCAGCCACCCATCCAGGTGAGTGTGGAGGTTGCAAAGATTCATAAGGTATCCGGGCTACTAGTTGAATTGAAAAGGCTAAGGTAGCTCATCCACCCACACTTGTATGTGCAGACCCTGCAAACGAGTTCCCCTTGAGAGATTTCTCGTCTGAGGAGGCAACTTCTAACAGTCGTCTAGAGTCTTCCATCTCAACGTCTCTTGGAATGTCGGCCTTCTGTGCCTTACCAACAATGGAGTACACCCCTTCCAATGGGTCTGAAAAGGCTTGGCTGGCGAGAATAGTGGCAAGCAATGCGTTCACCACAACAGCCGCACTCCACCACGTGAACTGCAGAGTGCCGAGGGCTTTCGCCCTGTGATGCCACATGTCACTTTCGCATGTAACCGTGTTGACAATCGGATCGCGCACGCAGTGAAGGGGCACCAGCGACGGCACCCAGATGCACAGGGCGATTTGGATGAACACCCCGCCTTGCAGCTGGAAGCTCATCGCGCGTACGAGAGAGAGCATGAAGGATGTGGGGTGTGCAATCTCAAAAACCGCGGTGATAGCCCCGATAGCGATTGGAATTCTCAGTAGCATGTGGTAGTGGCCCTCCAAACCCATGTGATCCGCTGAGTGGAAATTAAAGAGCAGAAACTCTTGAGCAAGAGCCGAGGCGCCCACTAGGTACGGCAGGTACGGCGGGAGGCTGGGGAGGAGGTCGCAGAGCAGGCAGGTGAGAGCGTAGAGGAGGAAAAAGAAGGAAATGGCGGCGTGCTCGAAGTTGTTGAGCGCGTCTGGACGAATCACGAGGTTCTCGTCGAGAGGCGAGAAATGCGGCTGCGTCAGCACGAGCTCCCTGTGCGATGCACACAGCGGAATTTGACGTGAGAGAAGCAAAAACAAGGGCGGATTAGAAGGGACGGACTACACGAGCACGGAGCCTGTAGCAATTACATAGTACGGACGCAGTATGAGTACATGAGAAACATTGCGGAAGTAATTACATGAGTATGGAGGCTGTAGCTCCCAGTGCGATCAAAATCAGCTCCGCGTAGCGCCAGAGGCCTGAGGAGCGGGTAGGAAACCACGCCTGAGACTGGAAGCTGCCAGGGTGCTTGAAGTATGCTCGCAGGACGTTGAACTGCACCCACGAGCCGAATAGCAGGAAGGCGGCTCCGGGAAGTATATGGCCCTCGAAAGTTCCCATGCTGGACCTGTGCTCCGAAAGGCGAGCTACGCAACTACTATTTTCGGAAATACTTTTCGACCGCTGTACCTGGCATAATGAGTAGACACTGGAGACGTGCTAGAGGGCGAATGCACAACACGCGTGGTGAGGCGACGCCAGAGCGGACTCTCAAGCCCAACCCCATCGGGAAAAAGGGGCACTCTTCAATTCAAACTCCCGTCAAGGGCGGCCCCAGAAGGGGCACAGATTCGAATTGGATTCGAATTGCGTGCTCGAATTTGTTGTTGGCGCGGGGAGGATTTGGGTGTGCTCCCAACCACGTAATCGCGCCACTTCCTGGGAACCTAGACATCAGCAGCCAATTAGCTCTTGCCAAACTGCCTAGTGTTTAGTGCCGAGCTGGAGCCGACTTCGCACACACTCCACTCCAGCGTCCAATGCCTGTCCGACATGCAGACTGCCGAGCACAATCGCCACCAAATCGCATAACTTTTTCCGATTGGATGCGTCACGTCGTCTCGTGACCCGACCCGAGAAGGCTAGACTTCGCCGTGAAGCTCTCCGCTTTCCAGCTTCACGTGTTTTTAGGCACTCTATTCTCACAAATGTTTCCCTAGGGAGATATTTGTCACAAACATCATGAATGGACTCATGAGGGCATACACTTGGTATATATAACATCCCATTACAAGGTGGAGGCTGGTAGTTGTCAGATTTATATGACATAGCTACTGTAGGCTATAGTGGGGTAGCACATATGGGGTACAGTTTTCTAGGGTTTGCTTCTTGTACCCAACTTTCACTTAGTCATTTCATTCCTCGTTTCTTCTCATGGTATCGAGCAGGTTCCCTAGTGGGAACGGTTCCTAGGGCCCACCACCACGAAATTTTTTTTTTCCTGCCCGGAGCGTGTTTTGCGCCGGCCCGAGTCGCGCCGCCCTTTCGGCCCGTCGCGCCCGTCGCGCCCGTCGCGCCCGTCGCGCCCGTCGCGCCCATCGCCACCTACCTCCGCGGCCCCGCCACCTACCTTCGCGGCCCCGCCACCTCACTGTGCGGCCCCGCCATCTACCTCCGCGGCCCCGCCACCTACCTGTGCGGCCCCGCCACCTACCTGTGTGGCCCCGCCACCTACCTTCGCGGCCCCGCCACCTCACTGTGCGGCCCCGCCACCTACCTCCGCGGCCCCGCCACCTACCTGTGCGGCCCCGCCACCTACCTTCGCGGCCCCGCCACCTCACTGTGCGGCCCCGCCACCTACCTCCGCGGCCCCGCCACCTACCTGTGCGGCCCCGCCACCTACCATCGCGGCCCCGCCACCTCACTGTGCGGCCCCGCCACCTACCTCCGCGGCCCCGCCACCTACCTGTGCGGCCCCGCCACCTACCTTCGCGGCCCCGCCACCTCACTGTGCGGCCCCGCCACCTACCTCCGCGGCCCCGCCACCTACCTGTGCGGCCCCGCCACCTACCTTCGCGGCCCCGCCACCTCACTGTGCGGCCCCGCCACCTACCTCTGCGGCCCCGCCACTTACCTTTGCGGCCCCGCCGCCTCCTCCCAGCGGCGCCGGACGCCGCCCTCTCAGCGGCCCCGCCGAGCCGCCCAGCAGCCAAGCCGCCCAGCCGCCGAGCCGCCCAGCAGCCGAACCGCCCAGCAGCCGAGCCGCCCAGCAGCCGAGCCGCCGAGCCGCCCTGTCCGCAGCCGAGCCGCCCCGCCGCCGAGCCGCCGAGCCGCCGAGCCGCCCTGCAGCCGAGCCGCCCGAACCGCCCTATCCGGTAAGAGCAGCGCCTCTCTCACAGCACTGCCCTCGCCCTGCTGTTTGCACTGCTAGTCTACTGCTGTCATGGCTACCCCTAGTGTCCTCGCTTTTGACGCTGAGGGTCGGGCCATTGACTTTGACGTCTGGATAGATGACCTGCAGCTTTTCTTACAGTGCGACAGAGCAGACGGCCTCTCCCTCTTTGACCTCACTTCTGGTGCCTCTTCTGCCCCCGCTGCTGATGCTGACGCCACCGTTCGCTCACAGTGGGCCACGCGCGATGCTGCTGCACGTCTCCCTACCTCTGAGCGTGCGCACTTTAGCCAGTACAAGAGTGCTCAGACCTTGTACGACGCTGTAGTTGCACGCTACTCCTCCCCTACCACTGCTGCACTGAGCCGCCTCATGCTACCGTACCTCTTCCCTGACCTTGCTGCCTTTCCCACAGTCGCTGACCTCATTACGCACCTCCGCTCTAGTGACACTCGCTACCGCGCTGCGCTTCCTGCTGAGTTCTGCGCCAAGAACCCCCCCCCCATGTACATCACCCTCTACTACATAGTCACCCGTCTCTCTGACTCCCTTCGCGTAGTCAGGGACCACTTCCTCTCGGTTTGTCCCACCACTCTCACCGTTGACCTCCTCGAGAAGGCCCTCCTAGCAGCAGAAAAGAGCATAGTCGCTGTAGGAGCCTCTCGTGGTGACCCTCGCACCCCCATCTTTGAGGGGTGTTCCCCCTCCCCTCTTTTGCCCTCTGTTGCCTCTGCTGCTGCGGCCGACCTCGCTGGTTTGGAGTCGGTTGGGGCAGCGTCTACCCCTAGCGGGAGACGCCGCCCTGGCAGGGGCAAGGGGGGCAGGGGCGCTGGAGGAGCTAGCGGGGGCGGTGGAGGCGGCGGTGGAGGTGGTGGAGGAGGTGGGGGTGGCGGTGGGAGTGGTGGCGGGGGTGGAGGTGTAGGTGGCGGCAGTGGAGGCGCAGGAGGCAGCGGCGGTGGCGGAGGGAGCGGAGGTGGCGGCGGTGGAGGAGGAGGCGGCGGAGGAGGTGGAGCTGGTCGGGGTGGCGCTGCGCAGAGGGTCAGCTCCGGTGGTGGTCAGCGCCAGCAGCAGCAGCAGCAGCAGCAGCAGCAGCGCACTCGTGACGTCCCCTCCCCTCAGCAGCTCCGTGAGTGGTACACTGCACGCCAGAGGGGTGGGGGTGCTGGTCCGTGCACCTACGTCCTGCGCACCGGCGACCGCGCGGGTGAGCAGTGCGGGGGTGCGCACTCCACCCAGCGCTGCTTTGGCCACCTCACGGACGCTTGGCGTCACCAGTTCCCTGAGGCCACTGAGATCCCCCGCTGGGGTGAGCTGTCTAGGGCGGGTGTAGCTGTCTTAGACCTTGACTTTGATGCTATTCTTGCTGCCGTGTATACTGTGACTATTAGTGATGAGGGTGACTGTTACCGGTGTTTTCCGCCCGACCCGGGCATTGAGACTGCTGCTCTAGGTACTGGTGAGGCTGCTGCTCTAGGTGCTAGCGAGGCTGCTGCTCTAGGTGCGTCTGCTCCCTCAGGTGCTGGTGAGTCTGCTCTCTCAGGTTCTGCGTCGGCTTCGGCCTCCCACACCTTCACACTTGACTCGGGGGCTTCTCGCTCCTTCTTTCGAGACCGCACCACACTCACGCCGCTTGGCCGGCCAGTTGCGGTCTCCCTGGCAGACCCCTCTGGGGGTCCTGTCCTTGCTCACTTCTCCACTGTCCTCCCGTGTCCGGCGGCCCCCTCTGGCACCCTGTCTGGTCTCTACCTCCCCTCGTTCTCTACGAACTTGGTGAGTGGTGCTGACCTACAGGATGCGGGGGTTCACCAGTTCACTCCTGCGAGTCAGCGGGTGACCCACTGCACGGACGCTCGGACAGGCCGCCACCTGGCAACGTTTACACGTCGGCCAGGGTCGAGCCTGTACACACTGACCACTGCGTCTCCTCCAGTCCCTGCGTCTGGTCAGGTAGCTGCGTCGGGTCAGGTGTTTGCTGCAGCGTCCAGGTCTGGTCCTGAGTCTGCCCCCTGCTCGTGTCGCCTCCTGTCTCACGAGACTCTCCTCTGGCACCACCGCCTTGGCCACCCCTCCCTGCTTCGTCTCCGGAGCATGGCCTCCCGTGTCCTTGTCTCTGGTCTTCCCCGGTCCCTCCCTCCCCTTCCTCCGGGGCCAGGCCCTACCTGCGTCCCCTGTGTCGAGGGACGGCAGCGGGCTACCCCTCACTCCTCCCAGTTTCCTCCGACAGAGGCCCCGCTGCAGACGCTTCACATGGACGTGTGGGGCCCGGCCCGCGTCCGTGGACAGGGTCACGAGCGCTACTTCCTGCTGGTGGTTGACGACTACTCGCGTTACACCACAGTCTTCCCCTTGCGCAGCAAGGGTGATGTCACTGAGGTGTTGATCGACTGGATCCGCGCAGCTCGTCTCCAGCTCAGGCGGAGCTTTGGCTCGGACTTTCCTGTTCTGCGTCTGCACTCTGACAGAGGCGGAGAGTTCTCCTCTGGCCTTCTGCGAGCCTACTGTCGTGCACGAGGCATCCGCCAGACCTTCACGCTTCCGGACTCTCCACAGCAAAATGGGATTGCTGAGCGCCGCATTGGCATGGTCATGGACGTCGCCCGTACGTCCATGATGCATGCGGCTGCCCCCCATTTTCTGTGGCCGTTTGCGGTTCGGTACGCGGCGCATCAGATCAACCTTCAGCCCAGGGTCTCCATGCCGGAGACCTCCCCAGCTTTGCTGTGGACGGGGAAGGTTGGCGATGCGTCTGCGTTCCGTGTCTGGGGATCTCGGGCGTTTGTCCGCGACTTGTCTGCGGACAAGCTGTCCCCTCGTGCTGCTCCTTGCGTCTTCCTGGGTTTCCCCCCTGACGCCCCAGGGTGGCAGTTCTACCACCCCACCTCTCGCCGTGTTCTGTCCTCCCAGGACGTCACGTTCGACGAGTCGGTCCCCTACTACCGCCTCTTCCCCTACCGCACTCCGTCCCTCCCCCCGCCACCGCTCTTCCTTGTACCAGGTCCCCCCCCGGTAGACCCCCTCCCCCCTCAGGGTCCTGCCCCTTCAGGTGTGTCCCAGGTAGACGCTGTTGAGCCTGTCGAGGTCGCTGGTGACTCTGGTGCTGCTGAGGGTGCTGAGCCTGGGGGTGCTGACTCTGGGGGTGCTGAGCGTGTGGGTGCTACGCCTGGGGGTGCTGAGCCTGGGGGTGCTGAGCCTGGGGGTGCTGAGTCTGGGGGTACTACGACTGGGGGTGCTGAGCCTGGGGGTACTACGCCTGGAGGTGCTGAGCCTGGGGGTGCTGCGTCTGAGGGTGCTGAGCCTGGGGGTACTACGCCTGGAGGTGCTGAGCCTGGGGGTGCTACGCCTGGTGGTGCTGTGCCTGGCGGTTCACCGGGTGCTCCCTCTCGCCGAGAGCCACTCTCTCCCCAGGAGCTGCGTGAGTGGTTTGCCCGGCGCTGGAGGCGAGCTGCTGGAGCTGCGGGTACTGGAGGTTCTGTTGCTTCTGAGGGAGCTGGTGCCACGGGTCCCGGAGGTGCTCGTACTGGGAGTACTGGAGCTGCTGGACCTGCGGGTACTTCTGGGGCTGGAGTTGCTGCGGGTGTTGGCGCGGAGACTACTGCTGTCGGTCCTGGGGGCGGTCCTGCTGGGGGTTCTGGAGCTGGAGCTGCTACTGGTGCTGGTGCTGCCCCTGCGGGTGCTGGTGCTGTCCCTCCTGTGTCTGGAGTCGCCGCGCGGCCTCGGCCGTACTTCGTTCCGCTCCTTCAGCAGGTTCTTGGTCTCCCGCCTTCTACTGGTCCTCCTCCTCCCTTAGTGTGTCCACGGCCTGTCCCGTCGCAGTTACAGTTACAGCCGGCCTCCCCACTGCCTGCTCCGTCTCCCTACACTGGTCCTACTGGAGGTCTTGCTGAGCGTCGTGAGCCTGCGTCTCGCCCTGCGTCGCCTGTCCGTGCTGCTCGCACTAGTGGTCGCGGTTCGCGTCAGCGTCCTCCTCCTGTCCCTGGCACGCACCGGATGTCTCTGCGTCCGTCCACTGCTCCTCTGCGTGCCCCTTTGCCTTCTCCTCCTGAGTCTTCTCTTCCTACTCTTTCCGACCCGGAGTCGGACTCTCTTCGCGCTGCCAGTCCTACTGTCACGCGTCTCCTTGCTACAGTTGTCACTGACCCTTCCTTTGAGTCCACTGCTGCGTCTGCTCTAGTTGCTGAGCTCGTCGACTTTGCTGCTCGCTGTCGCCTAGACTACGTCGCCAGTCTTGTTGCTGAGTCTGAGTCTGTCTGTCCTTCGTCCGTCGGGGGTGAGTGTGCCCTTGGCACGGACGTCCTTGAGGACAGGCAGGAGGAGTTCCAGTGCTTGGCCGCTGCTTCACCTCATCTCGTGTCCGTACTGCTTACCCCTGAGGGAGACCCGGATGCACTTGACATCCCGACTCCGCGCTCTTACGCGGAGGCGATAGAGGGTCCCTACTCCTCTCAGTGGCAGGCAGCTATGGACGCAGAGATGGCTTCCTGGAAGTCCACAGGCACCTACGTTGACGCTGTTCCCCCTCCTGGGGCGAACATCGTCAGTGGCATGTGGATTTTCAGGGTGAAGCGACCGCCGGGTTCTCCGCCTGTCTTCAAGGCGCGTTACGTGGCTCGTGGCTTCAGTCAGCGGCAGGGAGTTGACTACTTTCAGACCTTCTCTCCCACCCCGAAGATGACCACTCTTTGGGTACTGCTGCACGTAGCTGCTCACCGTGACTACGAGCTACACTCTCTTGACTTCAGCACTGCTTTCTTGCAGGGCAGCCTGCACGAGGAGATCTGGCTGCGTCGCCCACCTGGCTTCACTGGGTCTTTTCCTCCTGGCACCCAGTGGAGCCTACGGCGACCAGTCTACGGTCTCCGCCAGGCACTGCGTGAGTGGCACGACACACTGAGGACTACACTTGCAGCTCTTGGGTTTGCTCCCTCTACTGCCGACCCGTCGCTGTTTCTGCGCACCGACACTTCTTTGCCGCCGTTCTACATCCTCGTGTACGTCGACGACTTGGTCTTTGCCACAGCTGACACTGCTGGACTAGCCCACGTGAAGTCCGAGCTGCAGAAGAGACACACGTGCACTGACCTGGGTGAACTGCGCAGCTACCTTGGCTTGCAGATCACTCGGGACAGAGCACGCCGCACCATTACCCTGACTCAGTCACACATGGTGCAGCAGGTCCTTCAGCGCTTCGGCTTCACGTACTCCTCGCCTCAGGCCACTCCTCTGCCTACTCGCCACTCGCTCTCAGCTCTGCCTTCGGATGAGTCCGTAGAGTCGAGTGGCCCGTACCCAGAGCTTGTTGGCTGCCTTATGTACCTGATGACCTGCACACGACCTGACCTTGCATACCCTCTTAGCATTCTCGCACGCTATGTTGCTCCTGGGAGACACAGACCGGAGCACATGGCTGCAGCGAAGAGGGTGTTGCGCTACTTGTGCAGTACGTCGGGCATGGGGCTTGTGCTTGGAGGGCAGAGTCCAGTGGTCCTTACTGGGCACGCAGACGCTTCTTGGGCTGACGACCAGGCTACGCAGCGGTCGTCACAGGGTTACACCTTCAGCCTTGGTTCCGGCTCTGTTTCGTGGCGGGCTACTCGCTCGTCTTCTGTTCTCGGCTCCAGTTGTGAGGCTGAGATCTACGCAGGAGCCATGGCTGCACAGGAGCTTCGCTGGCTCACCTACCTGCTGACTGACCTCGGAGAGTTGCCTCGTTCTCCTCCAGTGCTGTACGTAGACAACAAGGCCATGCTGGCCTTGTGTCGGGAGCAGCGACTGGAGCACAGAACGAAGCACATTGCTCTCCGCTACTTTCTTGCTCGTGAGCTGCAGCAGCGTGGTCAGCTGCGTCTTGCGTACGTGGCCTCTGAGGCCAACACTGCTGATATCTTCACCAAGGCACTTGCGCCTTGTGACCATCAGCGCTTCTGTACTCAGCTGGGCCTTGTGCCTACCTTGCCTCACTTGCTCACCTCTTGACCTTGCTTGTACTGTTACATATATATACACCTGCTCTTGTTTGTCTAGCCTTTTTTTTTATATATATGTGTACTCCTGCTTGTGAACTGGCCTTGTGGCCTTGAACTCGTGCTCGGAATGTGTGGTGACTTTGTGATCCACCCTGAGCTTGTTTTTGCTTTGCTTTGCTTGACTGGTCTTGTGACCCCTTGTTCTCCCCCACTTTGCCTATGGGGGTGTGTCAGATTTATATGACATAGCTACTGTAGGCTATAGTGGGGTAGCACATATGGGGTACAGTTTTCTAGGGTTTGCTTCTTGTACCCAACTTTCACTTAGTCATTTCATTCCTCGTTTCTTCTCAGTAGTGAATGGGTTTTGGGGACGCCTGCATATGGTAAAAATGGCAGCTCATTGGTACAAATGTATCAATCTTATTCACAATCACTGCATTAATAAGTGCGTGATTTGAGGAGCTGATGGAATGAAAATGCACCCGTTTTTGCCACAAAAAACAGCCACATCGATGGTGCTCCTTGTGTTGAATCAGAAAGCGAAGTCTTCATGATTGGTTCAACTTCCGTGCACTTTCAGCAAGCACAAATCTGACCTTCTTGTATGTTTAACGAGCCCAAGCCTTTCCCGAGATGTTCTTCACGTGGTACACAATACCCTTTACGGTCTACAATAACCCACGTCAGCACACCGTGACCATCGATGGTGCACGAAAAACTGCTCTCGCTGGCGAGTCACACATAATGAAACTGGTCGCATTCTTTGCCACAGTACATATCAGACAGCCCAACGGTACACAAAACACAACGCAAGACCTGAACTGAGTTACGATTTGCAACGCAATCAGAGGAAACAGTTTTGCCCCCCAAGAACCTCCCGGGTCTTGCAAAGGTGATTTGTACAGTGGACCCTCTCCAACGAAACATTCAGCAGCAACCCAAAGCCTCGAATTGAGGTGAGAGCAGTTTTCGCGCAGTTTTAGTTACCTGTGTGGATGCCCGACCGACAACAACGCGCCTCCATTGATACAAGCTGGAGCATCACGCAAACTACTCTATCTAAACCACGGTACAGTGTTGGGTGATTTCCCCTCTCCATCTCACTGTTCAACTAAAGAGTTCAACTGTGTAAATCCGTAGCGCTTCACTTGTGGCTCAGCTTCGCGTAGGCGCTAGCGCGCTCCGCAGGTGGCGCGGCGCACGTAGGTCAGCGGCCGCGCGTGGTTCTGTAACATTTTGGCAGCATCTGAAGTAGTACGTCAGCGAGGAAACATCGCAGAATGGTTCTCGCAAGGTTCTATGCACGACGACTCGCGGGAGTCGTGCAGGTGGGATGGGATGGGATGAGATGGGATGGGATGGGATGGGATGGGATGGGATGGGATGGGATGGGAAACCCGACTTCGGTGAGAGAAGTTTTATTCCCAAGAGTGCGCCCTCGCCACTCGTATGGTTCTAAGAAACGCCTGCACCGCACCGAAGCGGTCAAGGATGGTGTGAGCGAGGAGGAAATGACGTGGCGCGTCCCCTCAAGACACCACCACCACACCCTGGTCCCTCGCTGCCCCACACCCGCGCATACTAAAGGCATAGCTCGGCCGCATTGCCTTTATGAACCAGCCGATTGACAGCCTTTCCCAACTTCACCACCACCACCACTAGACAGTACCACTTGGAGCGCTATTAGTACTACTATTAGTAGCGGCATTAGCTGTACTAGTCCTGTGGGACCTGTACTCGGACGACGCCGTCGCCCTTCGTGTTTTCGCGTAGCATTTCTGAGCGCGCTGCGGGGCAGTACGCGAGGTTAGCTCACAGCAAACCTCCCGTGCAGAATTGGCTACAGTGATGGCCCAACGACACATTACCTCCACAGCCCTTAGAAGCACCTCTGCACAAGTCGCGGTGGTAATCATGCTGGTTCTCGCGCTGTCCGCGGCGTGTACTAGGCCCGTCGGCGCGTCGTTCTGCGCGGACTACGTGAAGGCGTTCAAAAGCCCCACGCTGCCGTCCGTTGATGACATTGTTCTCACCGGGTACACGGTACGTCACACGCGCCATGCACGCTCGCCATTGGAAGTCACCGGGTACCGCCAGTGAGCACTACGTGAAGGCGTTCAAATGCCCCACGCTGCCGTCCGTTGACGACATTGTGCTCACGGGGCACACGGTACGTAAAACGCGGCACACAACCCAAAACTCACGCGACCCTAAACGCGCACAATCCCAACGACTTAATATGCCCCTCGTTCCCGTCCGTTGAGGACATCGTCCTCACCGCGTACATGGTACGTCCAACGCGCGCAACGTAAATGCACGTGATTGTAAATGCACGCTCGCCATTGAAAGTTACTCACATGCTGTGAGAAACGCACGCATGCGAGTGAAAGTCCCAACTCACAGCACCAATAAACACCCCTTCCAGTGTTTCATTAGGCAAACGATCACATCCAAAACCCTACTAAACGAGTCCACCAGTTACGCCTACTGAAATGGCGTTCGACATTTTTGAGATGCGCGGCTGCGATTTTAAATCGGAAAAGGCAAATGGAAAGTTGAGTGTTTATCGCGTTCAGGCCACGCAATGCGCATTGACAGCTGACTCACACCCTCCCGCCCCCCCGCCTCGTCGTTCTTCTTACTCTCACAACGCCCACATATGTGGCCTCACACCCTTCCCGGGACCTCTTTCTTTCAATCGCTACCATCCCGCCGCCTCATAGTAGCGATTTTTCTTGACCCACCCTCCCTTTATTTTCGCCCGCACATGGTACGCGCCTCGTCAACCGTCCGTCCGCATTCGTGTCTAACCGTGAAGGAATATATTAGAGAGCGTAGCGATAGCGAGAGAGTCTCTGCTATGGGAATGATGTTGCGCCAGCAACTTGGTAGAGTTTTGGTAGTGTTTGCCTCTAAAGACTTTGTGAGAATTGAAGTAGCATTTGGGCCAAGTAGAATTGCAATATCAATTATCAAACACACAAGCAAACACAAACATATATAGGCAAGCAAGAGTTGCACAATTGTTGCGTGGCGCTGAGAGTAACCCAACCCACACGAAAGTGCTGTGCAGGTGGGTGAACGCGCCCCGCACATTTCCAACCCAACTCGGCACCGGAATGTCTCACCGTGCACGCTACTCCTGCCAACACAGCAAGTGAGCAGCGTGCCTCACAAGCAAGGCACCTACGACCCCCAAGACTCGTCATTCCTAGCACCGATTCCGCCGAGTTCGCTGCAGTAGCTCACAGTCACCCGTAGTCACTAATGACCGCCACCGAACTCGTGCGTCGGTGCCGAGTAGACTCAGTCGTTAGACGCCGACCTGCCAAGTCAAAGGTCATCGAGGGCCCTTGCTGTCGTAGGGCCCTCTAACAAACCGCTTGCAGGGCCGGTGGTACGAGATCGGGTCGACGGCGCGGTTCCGGTTCACGTTCGAGCTAGGGCTGGCTTGTACCACGGCCAACTACACGGCCAAGGGTGTCACGCCCAGCGGCCGCAACAAAGTCAAGTGAGTTCTGGGTGCGAGCAAAACGCTGGGGTTGAGTGACGGCGGTGAATGTGCTGCTAAACCAACGCGGTTCATTCGCATGTCCTTGGCCACGGAAGCACATTATCAACACGTCAATCAATCAAAACCGCAAGCTTTGATCCTGACAAGTGAATCAACCTGTTGCATTGTCACATGCCATTCTGGCTCCCATCCGAAGCATCTGTTTCCTCTCTTGCCCGCCCGCCTTCCCTCACTCATTCTCGGTTTCTTCCTCCCTGCGCCAACCTGCCTCGCTCATCTTCCAGGGTGGTCAATCGCGGCAGGCGAAGCGTTGCTCTCCCGCGTCGCTCGCAGATCTTCACCACCTCGTTAAACGCCAATCGCATCGCCAGCAATCTCAGGATCGTCTGTGGGGCCGCCAACACCGCCACCACAGCGAGTGCTCAAGCACAAACCCTCCTCTCCGCAAATGCCGCCACGAACAGCAGCGCTGAATCCCTCGCTGTGGCCGATAAACTCGCCGCATTTGCCACGTCGGTTTCCTCAGATGCAGAGATGATAGACAATGCATTGAGGGATTTTCAGACGGAAGCCGACAAGCTGAACAAACGCGGGCAGCCCAAGGGGTTTAGCGCCTCGAAAAGCAAGATGCTCAAGTCCATCTCCAACATCCAGGGCGCCGCTGGGCGAATTCTGCAAGCGGCATTCACCGGGAAGACTGCAGCACAGGGGCTGTCTGGCGCGCTGAGAGCCATGGGTGGGCAGGGTGCAGAGACTGCTGCGAGTGGGGTACGTGGGAGCTGAACCCAGCATGCTGCTCTCCCGTTGGGATCCGCTTGGGTGCAGCTGCTGCCCTGCTGTGCCTGGTGCCTCCGGCCAGAAGTTTGGTTTGCTCACGTGTTCTGTGTGCTTTTACCCATGTGTGCCACCCACATGTGCAGCTGGGCTCACTGGTGGGGAACACGAGGATAATGTTTGCTGCCACCAGCATTGTGCGGCTAGCTACAGTCATGGTCGCACCCACGGTCGCCATGGTGCCATCGCCTCTCAGAAGCCTTACACAAGGCTTCATTCGCGGCAAGGCCTTGCAAAGCAAAAAGAACGTAAGCTTTCTCCTGTCCTACCTTGTTCCCGACTGAGGGGTTGGAATTGGGCCTCCTATTTACCCGTAGGGCTCACACACTCGTTTTCTGGTTCCCCTCTGTGAGTGCAGCCTGGCCGGCTGTCTGTGACCTTCTTTGGCCCAGCGCCAACGACGCCCAACTACTCTGTGTTCAACGTGCAAGGAATTGCATCGGGCTACACCCAAGCAACTGTGATTGACACAAGTGGAGGCGAGGTAATTCCGTTTTTCTTTATCGCTTGTTGATGCTTTACAATGATTGTTGACAGTTCTAACTTTCCTTTCGTTGCCACTGCAGGCCACAATTTGGCTTCTGGCTCGCACACCTACAATACCGCAGTCTGAAATAGATGCTGCGTTGGCGCGTGTTACTGATGCTGGAGTACGACTAACAGGTGCTAACTCATTCTTACTCACTGATCAGAGTACAAGTTGGTGCACCAAGTATTGGGGCACATTGTGATAAAGTGTTGACGGTTCATTTGTTTGTTTTAGGTTTAGGTTAAGGTTTTATTATGGTTGTAACTGCATACAGTGCAGCATCCAAGCATGGCTTAAAGCCAAGATCTAGGAGACCTATGCAAAACAGCGTAACTTGCCTATCCTAGGATTGTATGTATGAAGGAACAACCCAACGAAGGGAAATAGACAACTGGCTCTACTAGGTTACTCCCAACCAAGGGTAGGAAGGATGAGGCACTTTTGTGCTTCTGGAGACTCAGGTTTTGAGGAGAGAGGGGTGGAGGACGTAACGTGGGCGAAGGTGCTGAAGATGATGTGAAGCCGTCATGATTGGCAAAACGTACGTGCACATTCAGCAAACAAAATCGTGACCATCTTGTATCTTTAACGAGACTAAGCCTTTGCCAAGTAATATTGTCACTTTGCAGACACTACTGCTTCCGGTTTACAATAAACTCACGTCAGCACAAAACTGCTCACTGGGCGACTCACACATCACGACACGAATCTGTCGCGTACGACAACGCGCCTCCTGTGATACATGTCGGACCGTCAAGCAAACGGTTCTAAACTGCTGTACTGTGCGTATTGGTGTAGGGTGCCCCCTCTTTTATGTCACTGTTCAACGAGCAGCCTTTGTCCCCACTCTCACCTCTCACTTGCGCGGTAGGTTCGCGTACTAGACCGAAGCTAGCTCGCTCCAGTGGTTGCGCGGCCCACGTAGGTCAGCGGCAGCGCATGGTCCTGTGTGAAGCTTGGCAGCATCTGAAGCAATACGTCACTGAGGAAACATCGCGGAATGGTTCTAGGCAGGGTTTGTGGACGACAGAGCCTGTCTCGACGACTCACAGGAAAGGAGTGGTGCAGGTGGGATGGGCTGGGAGAAACCCGAGATCGGCGACGGAGGGTGCGCCACTCTGTACTGTATGGTTTGAACCGCCCCCGCCGCACCCACCGAAGCGGTCAACGACGGTGAGAGTGAGGAGGATATGACGTGGCGCGTCCCTTCACGCCACAACCACCACCCACTGACCCTGACCCGCGCATACTAAAGGCGGAGCTCAGCTGCATTGCTCGACGAACCAGGTGAGCACCAACACCACTAGACAGTACAACAAGGAGCGGCATTAGCACCACTATTAGCGAGTGTTAGCAGTATTAGTAGTGCACTCCGCCCTGCTCGCGCTTGCCACGGTGAGCCAAACCCAACCTTCGTGTTTCCGCGAAGCATTTTACGCGCACTGCAGAGTAATAATCGAGATTATCTCCGAGCAATCCTCTCGTTCACAGTGATGGCCGCACGACCCATTACCTCCACAGTCGTTAAAACCAACTCAGCGCAAGTCACGGCGGTCATCGCTCTGGTTCTCGCGCTGTCCGCGACGTGTACGAGGCCCGTCGCCGCGTCGTTCTGCGCGGACTACGTGAAGGCGTTCAAAAGCCCCACGCTTGCGTCCGTTGACGACATCGTCCTAACCGGGTACACGGTACGTGAACCGCACGTTCACCTAGCCATTCCAAGTCGTTTACAGGCTGTGAGAAACGCACGCTTGCGAGCGAAAGGCCCAACTTACCTCGCAGCCAATGAACGCGTCCAGTGGGTGCGGCTGCAATTTGACCGATTGTCGCGTTCACGCCACGCAATGCGGCAATCACAGCTGCGCACTCACACCCCTTCCCGTCCCTCGCTTCGGTACACAGTGTAGTACGACTCCTTCTGAGAAACCCTTACGACGCCTACAATTGCTGCACACACCCTTCCATTTCTCCCCTCAATCGCTGCGCCCGACACCCGCCGCCTCGTAGTCATATTCCACCCTCTTTCTCCTTGATTTCCGCCGATCCGTGTGCGCCTCAACAACTTTCCATCCGCGTTATCATTATTTAACCGCGTGCAGGGCCGGTGGTACGAGATCGGGTCGACTGCGAGTTTCCGGTTCACGTTCGAGCTAGGGCTGACGTGTACGACGGCCAACTACACGGCCAAGGGGGTCACGGCCAGCGGCCGCACCAAAGTCAAGTGAGTCCTGAGTCGCATGCATGTGATGTGTGCATGGCAGCGTATTTCTAGTCGTTTGGTTTGATCCTGCATTCCATGTTCTTGGTCACGGGTGCTTTAAGATCAATAAACGTGGATTGGTCAGAAGCGCAATCTTAGCTGCTGACAAGTTGACGGGGTAAACCTGTCGCATAGTCACACCGTGTGACGCCATTGTGGCTCCGGTCTGAAGCATCTGTTTCCTGTCTTTTCATGCTCCCCCGCCATCCCTCACACTTTCTCCGTTCCTTCCTCCCTGCGCCGAATTGCCTCGCCCTGTCAGGGTGGTAAACCGCGGCAGGCGAAGCGTTGCTCTCCCGCGTCGCTCGCAAATCTTCACCACCTCGTTAAACGCCAATCGCATCGCCAGCAATCTCAGGATCGTCTGTGGGGCCGCCAACACCGCCACCACAGCGAGCGCTCAAGCACAAACCCTCCTCTCCGCGAATGCCGCCACGAACAGCACTGTTGAATCCCTCGCTGTGGCCGATAAACTCGCTGCATTTGCCACGTCAGTGTCGTCTGATGCGGAGATGATCGACAATGCATTGAGGGATTTCCAGACAGAGGCCGACAAGCTGAATAAACGCGGGCAGCCCAAGGGGTTCAGCGCCTCCAAGGGAAAAATGCTCAAATCCATCTCTAACATCCAGGGCGCGGCAGGGCGAATTCTCCAAGCGTCATTCACAGGGAAGACTGCGGCACAGGGGCTGTCTGGCGCGCTGAGAGCCATGGGTGGGCAGGGTGCAGAGACTGCTGCGAACGGGGTACGTGGGAGCTGAACCCAGAAATTTGCTCCCCATGGCATCCCTGAGTGTTGCCTCAATCATGCTGTGCCTATTGGTGTCGACCAGGGGCCTGGTTTGCTGACGTGTCCTCTTTGTTCTCTTACCCATGTGTGCCACATGTGCAGCTGGGGTCGCTGGTGGGGAACACGAGGATAATGTTTGCTGCCACCAGCATTGTGCGGCTAGCTACAGTCATGGTCGCACCCACGGTCGCCATGGTGCCATCGCCTCTCAGAAGCCTTTCGCAAGGTTTCGCTCGCGGCAAGGCCTTGCAAAGCAAGAAGAATGTGAGCTTGTTCATAGCCTGCCTTGTTGTCAGTAGAAGTGATGGCTCCTTCAATTTCCCCTTCATACTCACGCACTCGTGTTTTTTTTTGGTCTGTTGATGCAGCCTGGCCGGCTCTCGGTGACCTTCTTTGGGCCATCACCAACGACGCCCAACTACTCTGTGTTCAACGTGCAAGGAACTGCATCGGGCTACACCCAAGCAACTGTTGTTGACACCAGTGGAGGCGAGGTAAACTTGCTAGCCCTTTTCTGGTGGTGAATGTTTGAATATCTATGTTGTTATTAACCCTTCTTGTTATTATTGCAGGCCACCATCTGGCTTCTGGCTCGCACACCTACAATTCCGCAGTCCGAGATAGATGCTGCGTTGGCGCTTGTTACTGCTGCTGGAGTACGACTAACAGGAGCCAACGCATTCTTGCTCACTGACCACACTACAAGTTGGTGCACCAAATATTGGAGCACACTAAGATAATGTTTTATTGGTACACTTATCGTTTGCCATTTATATCGTAGTGACCCTCAAATTGAAGTTGAAGCATTCCATGAATTCCCAGTGAAGCCTTCTCACTCATTGTGTGATCCACGACAACCCCCGTCAGCATTTCAGCAAGTACCTGCGGTCACCGGTTGCAGTAATATAGATTGTGGTTGCTTCTGCACCAGTAAATAGCTGCTTGGACGCGCTTCGGAGTTCTGAATGGAGAGCTTTTTCGCCTCTGCGGAACATTACCGGCTCAAGTTCGTGGCGCAGCATGCTTGTGCACAAACTCCCGTACATCTGACCCCCGCCAATGTCGGTCCTCTTATTTTCATCAGCTAATCTCAGCCAAGGGCAAACTCTCCACCTGGTGCCTATCGCAACGAATAGTTGGCCAAGCCTTTGATTTCTAGCTAACAGTTTGTCAAAATCGATGATCGACAGCAACTTTTATACCTCCACAACTCAGGGTGTCTGACGGATCAAACAGGATAACGCTAACGGTGCCTCTTGAAAAGTCGTTTTGGTCAAATTGGCGGGGGTTGGGTGTACAGTGCACTTGCGAATGTCCATTCTCTCTCACCAGCCACCAATTCTCGTTTTCTCCCCAGCAGCGGCCCCAAAAAGGCGAAGCGCTCGTAGGAGCGGTGGAATTGGTTCGTGGTCCTCGTTACACGCCAGACGCAGACCGAAAGGGGCAAAACCACATCAGCACGCAAATAGCCAATAGACACACACCGAATGCAAGCATCCGATTTTGCGCCAATTTTCAGAAGCATGCGGTGCGGGTTTTGCTCACAAAATGTTGCGAGTGTGCATTGTGGAACAGAATCGCGCACTTAGAGTCTATTCACACCACACCACACCAGACGCTCCTACAAAGTAGTTAGTGTGTGGTTGATTGTAGTGCAGCCACTCCCGTCGACGTCAAGTGCTGGCATTCGGTTCGGACTGCACAAGTAGGCGCGTCAGTCACGCCAGCAAGTTCTCAGCAGACTATCAGGCTGTCGACTGCCCACAGCGATGGCTGCTCCCTGGCTGGCGCAAGTTACGGCAGCCGTTACGCTGCTCCTCGCGCTTTCTGCGCTAACTCCCGCCTCCGCGTCGTTCTGCGCCGACTATCTGCAGGCTTTCAAATGCCCCAAGCTCGCGTCTTTCGACACCGTTGACATCTCGGCTTACACGGTATGTGTAACCTCTTACTGTAACCATTGTGCGTATAACGCGTGGATCAACCGACATTTGGTTATGGAAACACTTTTTGCGGTTTATGCCACTCGCATGTGAGTCGGGCCTCCGCGACGATCTGGCGCTGGCCGGGCCGATACGTAGCCGCGGACTATTGATGTGGACGGGAAACGAGCGAGGACATCCCTGGTGTTGTCAAGTCAAGGTTCAAAGTTTCGGGGAATATCGTTTCTTGGAAGTGACCCAGAAGGTGTTTTCAACTGCGGCTTTCCACACAAAATGGCATCGTGCATGTGTGCATCCCGTCTTGCATCATAAAGGTTGCGTCGACTTTACTGCTCGTATGCCATTTCGTGTCGGGAGGTGACTTTGACGTTGCCGATGGTTTCTTGCCACGTGGATGATACACCACTGACACTCACCCTGACAGGAACGGCCCATTTCCTGCCTTCTCCCTTTCTCAGCGATGTCGACGCGCTGCTTCGCATCGCCCAAGACGGCCGGGCAGGAGGGGTGAGGGCCTTGGCGAGGCGAGGAATCCTCGCGAGGAATCCTCGCAGCGCCCGATCGCGGCGCCCTCCTCGTAGTACTAGCAGTCACGAAATTTGTTCCCCTCACCCCTCCTGCCCGTGCCATCTCGTCCCCCTTATTCACCTTTCTTCCCTCCCCGCCACCTCCCCGACCAATGCCCATGATTCCCAACGACGCCGTGACCTTTCAGCCTGATCTATCACTTTATCTGCTCGCCTTGACTTGCTGTCGTGCGGCAGGGTCGGTGGTACGAGGTCGCGTTGACAGCGCGGTTCCACTACGAGAGGGAGGTGGGGCTCACGTGCACCACGGCGGATTACACGCCCAATGGGGAGGTCAACGGGCAGAAGCGAATTAAGTAAGTGAGCCGCGAGCGAGTTTTAAAAATGTGGGCGGGGCCCAAACTCACCTCCCATGCAGGTTTCAGGAAACCTACACGACGCACCACAATCCATGCTCACACTCACTCTCGCAGTGAGTGCATGTACGATAGGAAGTGGCGACAGCTTTTGTGTTGCGCTCGCGGTAGCAGCACTGCAGCGATCATGTCGTCACTGCCCACAATACAATATCCCTTCTCGTCCATTTAGATTAATGCTTAAACTCCATACCCTCGCTCCGTCCTTACTCCACCTTTTTCCTTCTCCCACCCACCCCCCGTCTCCCCATGCTCCCCCCGTCTCAACCCTCCGCCCTCCGCCCGTCCCTCAGGGTGCTCAACCGCGGCAAGCGCAGCATTGCCTTCGCGCGGCAAGCACAGGTTCTACTATCCTCCACAAACGCCGGCCGCATCGCCACCAACCTCGGGATTGTCTGCCGAGTCGCATATAACGCAGCCAAAGCGAGCGCGCAGGCCCAGGCCCTCCTCGCAGCCAACGCCTCCGCGGAAGCCGCCACAAGCAGCGTCGGCGCAACCTCAGGCCCGCTCGCTGCAGCCAATCAGCTTGCAGCATCTCTCGCCTCATTGTCGTCTGACGCGGAGATGATAGACAACGCCGCGAGGGACTTCCAGACGGCGATGAGCACGATGAATGAGCGGCCGAATCCCAAGGATTACAGCAAAGCCAAGGGCAAGATGCTCAAGTCCATCTCCAACATCCAGGGCGCTGCTGGGCGGATCTTCCAGGCGGGGTTCACTGGGAGGACTGCAGCGAAGCAGCTCAGCGGAGTGCTGCAGTCCCTGGGCGGACAGGACGCCAAGACTGCTGCGAGCGGGGTACGTGCTAGTCGCTCACCCAGCATGCTGCTCCTTTTCAATTCTGACAGAGTTGCATGAAGTACCATGCATCAGGATACTTTCCTGGTTGTCTTACACCTGGCTGTCCTGGCTGCATTGCCATATCCCGTGTGTGTGGTGAGTGCAGCTGCAGTCGTTTCTGGGCAACACAAGGCTGCTGTTCGCATCCACGAGCATAAGCAGGCTCGCCACGGCGATGGTTCCTGTCGTGCTCTCCATGGTGCCCTCCCCCTTCTCCCGCGTGGGTCAGGGTGGCTTTCCACGCGCCAAGGCCATCCAGAGCAAGAGCAATGTGAGCGCTATTGCCGTCTCCCCATCCCCTCAACTGCATGTATTTCTTGCTCTTTCGGCATAGAAATGCTCCATCTCCTTTGTTGCATCATGAAGTTAATACAGCGGATCTATGGTGTTTGCCAATTTCCATAAACGATGTGTTCCCTCTTGCTTGCAGGCTGGCAAACTGTTTGTGATATTCTATGGTGTCAAGTCAAAGGAGCCCAACTACATCATTACTGACCTGCAAGGAGACGCTTCCAGTGGTTACAGTCTTGCCACGGTCTATACTTGCTATCAGGGCAAGGTACGTCTGCATTGACTGCTGTGCCTATTCGCATCCTTTTTGTGCCTCTCTGACCCCCCTTGATTTCCCACTGCAGACAACGGTTTGGCTTCTGTCTCGCACCCCCAATGTGGCGCAATCCGATATAGATGCTGCTTTGGGTCGTCTCACAACTGCTGGCCTCCGGCTCACAGGCGCTAATTCATTACAGCGCACTGATCACACTCAGAGCTGGTGCAAAAAGTATTGGAGCCGACTAAAGTAGCCCCTGGATCCGATATTGATTGGGTAGACGATGTTTGTTTAGCTACATCAGATACATTACTTCTTATAAGCCAGCTGTACTATTACGCGTCACACAATTCCTTCACGCGTCGCAACGGAGTTCAAAATTGGGCGCCTACCAAGATTTCAACAACATTTTCACCGACATTTCGAATCGCGCACATGAGAGAGTGACACGACGGCCCCCGCTGGATTCATTCCACAATGTGGTCGCCCCGCTCCTACCCTATCTCCTTCTCTCCCATCCTCGTTTCGCACCGACGACGCAACACACAACACAGTTTCCACACTTCGAATCAAAATGTTCTATTGTTTTCGCCCTTCTCCTTACCTGTGTCTAAAGTTGCAACACTCTGTAGACCTTAGACTTGTGTTGTTGAATCTCCAGAAGCACGTGAATTGAATCTTACTGTAGAGCTACGGCGACAGCTGTTTTTATGGAAACAAGGTGTTTTCGTGTGTGCCTGCTCGTTCTACCGCTCGCTATCCTGCTCGCGACGCTTTTGCCACCACAAGCGCTGGCACAAGACGTGTCGCCCAGGGATGGCTCCGACGACGTACCCTTCTGCGAGAAATTCGTTGAGGATTCATCCCCAAAGTGCCCAAACGTCAAGACCGTGCCGAACTTCAACATGGGAAAATTCATGGTAAGCAACGCCCGTCAACCACCGCCCGCCCACACGTCAATCCTCTCGTACCACGGTATCTCTCAAATCCTCTTCCTCCCTTTCGGTATTCCGCTGCCCCTTTTGCCGAGCAGGGAAAGTGGTACGAGATCGGCGCGACGGCGCTGGGCAAGTTTCAGAGCAAGGGCGAGCTTGGAATCGCGTCTATAACCTACACGTACAGCACCGCAAAGAAGGGAAAGTCCCGCGGCGCTCTCAGGTACAGTTAAAGCCCACTAACCCAGGTTCACTCACACCGCACCCTCGCGCTACTCTGATTTCCCAATTTTCTGAGAGCTCTTGAACCTGTGCGTCAGCCATGGTCTTTATTTGTGCCTGCTTCCCTTCCCGCCCGAAGCTTGACGCGGCAGGGCGTGGTGGCGGTGATGCCGATGCGCCGCAGCCAGGTCGCCGCGATCTCCGCCGCCACCACCGTTCTCGTGCAGCAGCTGCGCGCCGTGTGCGGCACGGTGTCGTCGGTGCGCACGAAGCAGCAACTGAGCACGTCGTACCTCACGCTCGGTTCCGAAGAGCTCCCGGTCGACGTGAAGCAATCCGTGTCGTACGGCCTCGGGAGTATCGAGGGCGCGGTGGCTGACGTGTCACGGCGCGCGGAGGCGCTTTGGGCGGAGCTGGACGACGTGCAGCGCGCCAATGCGCAGCTGAACCAGCGCGACTCCTTCGCGCTGGTGGCGCGGATGAAGAGCGCGTTGCGGAGCGCGTCAAGCGCGATTCAGGGGGCGGCGAAGGGAATCGACGCTAAGCGGAACGAGATGTTTTCTATCGCTGCCATGAACCGCGTGATTGTAGGCGGCGTGACTGCAGCGCAGGGCAGCGCCAAGGGGAAGGAAGCAGTACGTGAACCACCATGAGCCAAGCTCGAGTCCATGTGAAGGAATTGTCTGCGTCTCCGACTACAGAACTGCACTCTCTTTTACCTGACACTGCCTTTCTTACTGTCGTCGTTTGCGCTGACCATCGTTCACACCTCGTGGTCCCCTCTCCGTGTCCACGTGGCAGATCTCCGTGGCTATGGCGAATGTGATGACGGAGTGTCAGAACGGCAGCACCTTCTCCCAGCGCGTCACGGCGCTGGCCTCCGCCACGCGCTCTCTGTCTCCCCTCGTGTCGAGCCTCTTCAGCAGCCCCAGCCCCGCGCGCTACACCACGCGCACCACCGTCACCGCCACTCTCAAAGTCACTCCCGAGGTCGGATAACGGCTTTATTCAACTGGAAACGCATGGACTTTACGACCGTTTGACACTTGTTTGAGTCGCGTTTTGTTGATTCCATTTAACTGCTGTGCTTGATACATTGCGGTGTTTGCGGCCACTCTGCAGGCTGGGAAGATGATTCAACAGTATCAGGGCGTGCAGACAGACCACTGGATCATCGGTCTGTGGGGCAATTCTGCTAAGGGGTACTCACATGCACTTGTGTACTCGTGCTACCAGTCCACACCAGGCTTGTCATCAGATCAAGATGGCCAGGTGAGGTTTGCATGGCCTGTATCTGTCCCCTTTATACTTGATTGTTCAGATTTTTGCCTTAAGTTGTTTTTTATATTTTCTTGCAGATCACTGTCCGCCTCCTTTCTAGGACACCAACACTTTCAAAGGCGTCCATAGATGAAGCTTTGAAACTTCTCAGTGAAAAACATATTGACTTAAGTGGGCCTAATCCCTTCATCCTCAGTGTATAAGACGCATTAATTCGCTCAATGTGAATATTAGATTCTATAGTAACCATTGCCAGGAATTTATGTGTTGATAATTATTCTTCATATACATTCTTTTCTCTCAATCCGGAGCACTACTATAGCGGATACATCAGGTGCATTCCTAGCTTGTTTAGTTTTCAAGCATTTTGCCATTGCAGGTCACAGTCCGCCTTCTGTTAGAACACCAGTCCGCCTTTTTCAAGCCCCCTTATCTGAAGCGTTACATTTGATCGTAGTGGAGTGTCCTTAGTCTTCAATATGCTTGACGTGCCATCAAATGGGTTTGCTCTTAGAAGATAAGTTACTGTCCATCGCAAAACGGTGCCATACCCCTCGGTGCACTGGCATCACCTCACACCCTTGTCATAACGAAACTGTAGTTTCTAACCATAAACTACAGACACAACCGCAAGCTCCCCGTCTCAACTATCCGTAGGGTGCACGCACAAATAGCCACTTGAATATGGGTACACAGGTATATGCGTTGGATTCCCCGTCGCGTTTAGCCTTTTCCGCTTTTCCTCCGCTACTTGATTAAGGCTTACGAGGGCGATGACTTCGTGTCCATGGAACGATGGTGCAGAGGAGCATGAAGGTGGCGGTGGCGGTGGACGGCAGCGACAACAGCATGCACGCGCTGCGAGAGGCGGTGCGGCTCTTTGCGTCCACGGCTAAAGAGTTCACCATCATTCACGCGCACAAGCCGCTACAGGTATCCTTCTCAACCAACTGGCATCAGTTCCCGATTTTGCAAAACAAGTGTAGGGTTATTCTAGTTATGGTCCTCTTGGCGCTACTTGCTTTGCACAGGATAATTCATCACGTTGTTCGTCTGGTGCTGCTGCGCGTCTGTACCCTAAGAAAACACGTGCCGGGTACTAGCATTGTCGTTTTGCCTTCTTCCCTGAGAATGCTTGGCAGAACTCCGCACGGAGCGCTACCAAGACAGGAGTGATGCTGTCGTGGCAGGAGAATCACGAACGCATGGAGCACGAGAGGCACGCCAAGGCGCAGCAGTTGCTGCAGCGGTGCGCTGCCTTGGTGAAAGAGGAGGGTGTGAAGCAGGGGATGGGTGAGGGCGTGGTGGTAAGGGGCGTGGATCTTAAGGGCGACCCGCGAGATGTGCTGACGACCCATGCGCAGAGCATCAGTGCGGATCTGCTGGTCATGGGAACCCGTGGCTTGAGCATGCTTAGACGGTGAGGCTCACTATACCGTTGCTCATGCATGGAGAGAATAGCTCGCTCATTGGTTGTATGATTCTCTTTCTGTTCCTCCCGTTTACGCCCTTTCCTTCCCCACATCTTGTTCTATCCGCAGCTTGGCTCTTGGGAGTGTTAGCACACATTGCATGCACCATTCTCCATGTCCGGTGCTGGTTGTCCCGCTGAAAGCCGACTCAACACATGAGCCCTCAGCGCCCAAGGCAGATGTCACCGAGACAGCAACGTCTGAAATCGAGGCTCGTGCATAAACCGGTGTATATACTCGGGCCAACTGGCATCCATCATTGCGTAGCAGACATCACTGCATTGCCTGGGGCAGAAGTGTCTTAACCAACCTTATTTATGTAACACTATGCCCAATACTGGACTTATGTTTGAAGCAAGGGCGCACTCTAATTAAAATTACCCATCTACCCGGAAAGGTATTGTATAGTGCCCCTCTCCCCATCCCCCAGTGCACAGCTTCGGCAAGTTTGAGCTTGGTTGGTCAATACATGTTTTTTCTCTCTGTCCAACGTGCCTGACATCCGTGTAAATAACTGCATTGATAAGTTTTTTCGTAGGATGTGTATTTGTATGATGTATGATACCGTAGGTAGTTATTATTCAAGATTTTATCACGTGGATGTGGTGGAAATTTTTTGTTATTGTTTTGCAACAAGAAAACATTTATCACCCTCGGCACTCTCGCATGCCATGCCCTGAACATTGCTGTGTTTCCGTGTTTAGCAGACGCTGCTTATCTGCTGCCGTGCATGGCTTTGCGAATTATGGAGAGGAAAGCGCTCGCCCCCAGGTGGGCTGTTCCTCTGTGCGACCGAACGACAGGGTGATAGGCGGCCGAACAACAGGCTGATGGAGCGAGCTCGGTTCATGTTTTACAGACTGCGACAACTTTTGCTCCGCCGTCTAATTGCGTTTATGCCTTGACTCATTTTCTATTTGAACTCGTCCTTCGATCGAACATGGCCGCTCAGGTACAGTACTGCTATGCGCTTTCTTTCTGTTTTTTGTTAGATGTTTTTCGGTTTTACTTTCGCAGATTCACATCAGCTTAGGGCGATGAGTGTGTGGTTGTGCCGCGAGGGTGCAGAGGAACGTGAAAGTAGCGGTGGCGGTGGACGGCAGCGACAACAGCATGCACGCGCTGCGAGAGGCGGTACGGCTCTTCGCGCGCACGGCTAAGGAGTTCCACATCATGCACGCGCACAAGCCGCCTAATGGTAATCCCCTCATCAAGCAGGCAGAATTTCCCTTGGTAGGAAAAGATACTTCCTTCTCTCTGTAGTCCTTATTATCTCACTCTCCAGTGCAGTTCCTTGCCAACTTGGAAGTATGTTGACTGCATGTTTCAGCCACGCAGGTTCCCATGAACTAATTTTCCTGCCAGATCCGGGGTATTGCTACACTCCCCTGTCCCCCATGCCTCTACCCCGCGAGCGGCCATCAGAGTTCCGCACGGACTCACTGTTCTCATGGCAGGAGTACTACCAGCGCATGGAGCATGAGAGGCACGCCAAGGCGCAGCAGCTGCTGCAGAAGTGCGCTGCCGTGGTGAAGGAAGAGGGTGGGAAGCTGGGGATGGACGAGGGCGTGGCGGTGAGCGGCGTGGACCTCAAGGGCGACCCTCGGGATGTGCTGGCCAGCCACGTGGAGAGGGTTGACGCGGATCTGATGGTCATGGGGACACGTGGCATGAGCCTGCTCAAACGGTGAGGCTTCCCCTGGATTGTTCCCCATGGGAAGAACTGGAGTTTGCTGCTGCTGGATTGTGGGACTTGCCAAGGGAGTTTCTAGACCAATGGTTGTTCTTTGTTCCCTATTACTTTTCTTCTCACCCACCTCCCTGTGTCACACACACCTGTCTCCACAGCATGGCTCTGGGGAGTGTGAGCTCGCACTGTGTGCACCATGCTCCTTGCCCAGTGCTGGTTGTTCCATTGAAAGCGGATGCATCTCACGAGTCATTATCAGCACCCAAAGCAAGTGCCACCCAAGCTGGAACATCTGAGCTCGAGATTCATGCATTGTCTGCTGTAGGGGGTGCTTGAGGGGTAGTTTCTTTTTAGGTGGGGCATTTTAGGCTAGTTAGTTTGGAACCACTGGTGTGGTGCTATATTGGGTTATCTAGAATGTAGAAATATAAATAGATGGTCATGCTATGTACAGGGAGTTCAGATTCAAGCATGAAATGATCCCGGTTAATGAGTAAAATGGTGCTGCTATATTCTGCTGCTTATATACATGAGCTTGTAAAATCTGAGTGGGCTGTTTTATGTCCATGTTCGAGAGCAGTGTGTACAGCTGAGGAATTCCTTTCTGTAACGAGGATTCCGCCACAGCCAATCACAAGGCTTGCCTGTCTTTATGGCCTCACTGGATTCGTGGAGCGGCCAGGGCAGCCCCTGCAACACGGTCTGGTTTGTTTTTGCCAAGGGAAATGCACCCGCGCAAGCCAGAAAGACGCGCGCAGAGTGAGTGTCCACGCCTTCTGCTCTTCCGCACGCGCACTTGCGCCGAGATACAGTTCGTCCACCTCCCCCTTTCATCCCCCTTCCCCGTGCCCCCCCACGTTGACAGATTCGGAGCGGAGCAAGCTTTTCTGCAACTGCCCCAAACCAATCCCCAAGGGCCTCCGCCCAGCCTCCTCGCAGATCCTCCTGAGTCCTGGCATCAGGCTTAGGGCGTATCTTTGGTTCGGGTCATGCACTGTTTTGGTCATCCGAGATTCTTGGAAGACCAATCAGGCGCATTTTAGATACACTACTCTAATCCCATTGGTCCTCCCATGACCCAAAGTGTACTGATGACCCAAAGTGGCCTTATGACCCGAACCAAAGATACGCCCTTAGTGAACATTACAGTAGTGATGCCTTGTGCTCTGTTCATGGAATCTGGACTGGAACCTGGCTTGAGGGGGAAATTAGGCTTCCATCACTTCAATCAAGCTTCATGGGAAGAGATTGCAGAGAGTCCAGATTATGTAGGATTGCAGTAATGATCTAGTCGTTTGACTAGCGCCTGCTACGCACCACGCTGTTGATCATGACTCGCGCGGCTAAAGCCATAGGGCCGTCGAGCTCGTTCCGTGACGTGACATTGCTCGAGACGCCTCTCCTTAAGGACCACCCTAACAGCGGCTCGCAGAATGCACCGAGGCGCCAGAACTCCGTGGGCCCCACCGTCCGCATTCTCCGCTTCGGGTTCGGCCAGAGCAGGGAGCAGTCATGGCTCTCGCAACTCAATCCCTTCGCGTCGCTCCGCTTCTCCGCGTCGCTCGCCGGCACGTGGCGGCTGGTGCGCGACGCCGTGCCGTGCCTGGATTGGCTGCTGTCGTACGACGTGCGGCGCGACCTGAAAGGCGACATGGTGGCGGGGCTGTCGGTGGGGTTCATGATCATCCCGCAAGGCATGGCGTACGCGCGCGTCGCGGGCCTGCCGTCCATCTACGGTCTCTACACCGGCTTCGTGCCGTGCCTTGTATATAGGTCCGTAGATCCTCAATAGTTCCCAAAGCGCAGCAGGGAGTTCCCCAGCAGCCCTATGGACTCTCCGCGCCGGCTTCGTGTCCGTCCCTTGTCTACAGGCCCGTGAAAGGCGGTTACTCGGCCACGATGCTGCACAATTGGTGTTACGCAAAGCGAGTGGCTGGATGAAAAGCTAAGACGTGCGTCGTACTATGATGCGCCGTAACCTAGTGCCTTTCCCGCGAGCTCTGTTCATCATGACCCCCCTCTCATGCACCAACACCTCTCCCCCCGCCCTCCCCGTTCTGTCCCCGCGTGCTCCCCGTGGCGCAGCATATTCGGCAGCTCGCGGCAGCTGGCGCTGGGTCCCACGTCGCTCGTGTCGCTGCTGGTCAATGAAGCCATCAAGTGAGTGCTCCTGCTCCGCCTTGCGTCACGCACGCTGCACATTGCACCCTCGCCTTCCCTCGCGCTGCACATTGCACCCTCGCCTTCCCTCGCGCTGCACATTGCACCCTCGCCTTCCCTCGCGCTGCACCTCAAGTCTTCCCCGTCCCTTCCACTCATGCTCCTTCACCCACCCTCACCCACTCATGCTCCCCCGCCCTGCCAACAGGCAGATGGCGGACCCCGACTCGCACGACCCCGCGGAGCAGCGTCTCTACCTGGGCCTCACACTTCTCCTCTCGCTCATGCTCGGCGCGCTGCAGCTGCTCGCGGGCCTCCTCCGCCTGGGCTGGGTCGTGCGCTTCCTGTCCCACGCGGTGGTGTCGGGGTTCAGCAGCGGCGCGGCGATCATGCTGGGGCTCATGCAGATGCGCTACTTCCTGGGCTACACCACGCGCCATGAGACCATGCACATGATTCTCTATGATATCTTCGTCAACCTCAAGACCACGCACGTGCCCTCGCTTGTTATGGGGGTGCTGGCGCTCGCCTTCCTGCTCATCATGAAGGTGTGCTCCCGCGCTCTTGCGCCCTCTCTTCCTCTCCTCCCCTCTTTCTATCCTCTACTCTTCTTCCATACCGTAACACTGCCCAAATCGCACTGCGGGTTGCTATGTCCCTTCGTGCCTGCTGCCAATCCCCTCGCCTCTCCCTTCTGCCACCACCTCCCGTCGTCAAACTCCAACGCCCCACATCCATCCCCTTCACATCCGACCCTCCCGCCACCCCCCAGCACCTGGGCAAGCGCCACAAGCGCCTGCGCATTCAACGTACGCTCGGCCCCATCCTAGCGCCCTGTGCCCCCCATTCCCCGTCCCCTCTTCCCCCCTCCCCCCACACACCCCCTCCGCCACCCCCAGCATCTAGGCAAGCGCCACAAGCGCCTGCGCATCCTCCGCACGATGGGTCCCATCCTAGCAGCGGCCATGGGCACAGCGGCCATCTACCTGCTGCGCAACCCCTGGCACATCCGCGTCACGGGCCTCGTGCCCTCCGGCCTCCCCGCAGCCTTCTCCGCGTTCCCCTGGGCGCGCTGGCGCGACCTCGTGTCGCCCGCACTGGTCATTGCGAGTGCGGCATACCTGGAGACCATTGCCATCGCCAAGACGCTCGCGGCCAAGAATGGGTACTCTGTGGACGCCAACCAGGAGCTCGTTGGTACGTGGGGGCTGGGGGCTGGGGCCTGAGGGGAGAGGGGGCGGGGGAGGGTGGGGATGGGGGGGGAGAGATGGAAATGGGGGAAAGAACGGGGGTTTACGTGCATGTGGATGTGGTGGGTTGGGGGAGGGGAGGGGTTGGCTTGGGGGGGATGAAGGGCGAGAGCATGGCGAGTGCGGCGTATCTGGAGACCATTGCCTTTGGCAAGACGCTTGCTGTAAAGAACGGATACTCTGTTGCGGCCAACCGGTAGCTCGTTGGTGCGTGCACGTGCATGTGGAAGGGGGAGGAGGGTTGGCGAAGGTGGGGGAAGGGGGAGAAGAGAAAGTGTGTGTGTGGTCCAGAGAGGTTGGGTGTATTAGTGGAGTGGATGGGGGGGCGTCGGAGAGGTGGTGGATGTGCGTCACGGCCTTGTTGTGGGACTGCAACGCTCACACCTCATGCACTGCCCCACTTGCTCCTTCCTTCCCATCCCTTTCACTCATTCCCCCATTCGCTCGTTCCTTCCCCTTTCGGCCCCCCGCCCTCCCTCTTCCCCCTCGCAGTCCTGGGGCTGGATAACGGGGGGGGGGGTGGGTGTGTCAGGCCGTCAGGCAGCAGCTTCTTCCTCGCCCTTCCACTCCTTCATATCTTCCTCTCCCTTGCCCTCCCTTGCCCTCCCTCGCCCTCACTTGCCTCCCTCGCCCTCCCTTCCCTTCCTCGCAGCGCTGGGCTTGGCGAACACAGTGGGGTCATGCTTCCAGGCGTTCCCCACAGGCGGCAGCTTCTCACGGTCGGCAGTGAGTGACGACTGTGGGGCGGCCACGGGCATGGCGGGCGTGGTGTCCGTGCTGCTCGTGCTGCTCACCCTCATGTTCCTCACGCCCCTCTTCCAGTTCCTGCCCCTGCCAGTGCTCGGAGGTAAGATGTGGGGACGTGGGGATGGGGGTTGGGGGGTTGGGGGAGTTGGGGTTTCAGGGGGATGGGGGATGGGGACGGAGGAGTGGAGGTATGATGTTATGAGGCGGGCGTGGTGTCCGTGCTGCTCGTGCTGCTCACCCTCATGTTCCTCACGCCCCTCTTCCAGTTCCTGCCCCTGCCAGTGCTCGGAGGTAAGATGTGGGGACGTGGGGATGGGGGTTGGGGGGTTGGGGGAGTTGGGGTTTCAGGGGGTTGGGGGATGGGGACGGAGGAGTGGAGGTATGATGTTATGAGGCGGGCGTGGTGTCCGTGCTGCTCGTGCTGCTCACCCTCATGTTCCTCACGCCCCTCTTCCAGTTCCTGCCCCTGCCAGTGCTCGGAGGTAAGATGTGGGGACGTGGGGATGGGGGTTGGGGGGTTGGGGGAGTTGGGGTTTCAGGGGGATGGGGGATGGGGACGGAGGAGTGGAGGTATGATGTTATGAGGCGGGCGTGGTGTCCGTGCTGCTCGTGCTGCTCACCCTCATGTTCCTCACGCCCCTCTTCCAGTTCCTGCCCCTGCCAGTGCTCGGAGGTAAGATGTGGGGACGTGGGGATGGGGGTTGGGGGGTTGGGGGAGTTGGGGTTTCAGGGGGATGGGGGATGGGGACGGAGGAGTGGAGGTATGATGTTATGAGGCGGGCGTGGTGTCCGTGCTGCTCGTGCTGCTCACCCTCATGTTCCTCACGCCCCTCTTCCAGTTCCTGCCCCTGCCAGTGCTCGGAGGTAAGATGTGGGGACGTGGGGATGGGGGTTGGGGGGTTGGGGGAGTTGGGGTTTCAGGGGGTTGGGGGATGGGGACGGAGGAGTGGAGGTATGATGTTATGAGGCGGGCGTGGTGTCCGTGCTGCTCGTGCTGCTCACCCTCATGTTCCTCACGCCCCTCTTCCAGTTCCTGCCCCTGCCAGTGCTCGGAGGTAAGATGTGGGGACGTGGGGATGGGGGTTGGGGGGTTGGGGGAGTTGGGGTTTCAGGGGGATGGGGGATGGGGACGGAGGAGTGGAGGTATGATGTTATGAGGCGGGCGTGGTGTCCGTGCTGCTCGTGCTGCTCACCCTCATGTTCCTCACGCCCCTCTTCCAGTTCCTGCCCCTGCCAGTGCTCGGAGGTAAGATGTGGGGACGTGGGGATGGGGGTTGGGGGGTTGGGGGAGTTGGGGTTTCAGGGGGATGGGGGATGGGGACGGAGGAGTGGAGGTATGATGTTATGAGGCGGGCGTGGTGTCCGTGCTGCTCGTGCTGCTCACCCTCATGTTCCTCACGCCCCTCTTCCAGTTCCTGCCCCTGCCAGTGCTCTGAGGTATGTGTTTGGGAGGGAGCAAGAACGGGGTATTGGAGGGATGGGGGGATCGAAGAGAAAGTATATGCATGTGTGGAACTTAGTGCAATGGGTCTTGTCCCTACCATAACCACCACCACCATCCATATCCCCCTTGCCAACCCTACCCCCCCTGGGTAGCCATCCTGGTATCACCGATGTTTGGCCTGATGGACCACCACTTCCACCATCACCACTACACCTCCAGGGTGTATTTGAGAAAAAACAAAAACACAGCATGGACCACTGCTACCACCACCACCATCACCATTACTATCCCCTATCTCCCATGCCATGTGCTCCTCTCTCGTGCCAACAGCCATCCTGGTGTCATCGGTGTGCGGCCTGGTGGACTACGAGGAGGCGGCCTTCCTGCTGCGGGTGGACCGTCACCACCACCACCACCACCACCATCATTACGTGCCCCTGTCTAACGTGCTATTCCCCCTTCCCCCCCTTCCCCCCCTTCATGCAGCCATCCTGGTGTCATCGGTGTGCGGGCTGGTGGACTACGAGGAGGCGGCCTTCCTGCTACGAGTGGATCCCAAGGACTTTGTCGTGTGGATGCTCGCCTTCTGTGGCACTCTCTTCTTCGGCATCCAGGTGAATGGGGTGGGGCTGCTGCGTTCAGGTGAGTCTTTGGCAATCAACGAGTCGGCCAGCATGCAGATCAGCGGCCTTCCTGCTGCGAGTGGATCCCAAGGACTTTGTCGTGTGGATGCTCGCCTTCTGTGGCACTCTCTTCTTTGGCATCCAGGTGCGCGGGGCTGCTGGGGTGTTCAGCTGGGGTTGCTGCCCTGTCAGGTTCCGCATTTGGACCCTCGTTAGCAATCAATCACATGGGAACTTACTGTACTTCCCATTTCCCCCATCTTCCGAATTTCCCAGGATTCGTTGTGCAGTTCCTCCCTGCAGCGCACACAGACGGGACTGCAGGTTGGAGGGTTCATTTCCGTGCCTTGCGTGGTCAGCCGGTCAACCAGCGCACAGCATGGGGAGCTTTTCCCTGCGCCACACCTCGCCATCCCACCTCTCTGCACACTTCTTCCTTCCCCCACTCCACGGAACGCAGATGGGGACGATGGTGGCATGGTGATCTCACTGCGTTTTCTCATCCACCAGTCCTCCAACGCACAGTTTAACGAGCGTTGCTCTTATCAACCCTCCCTCGTGCCCCTCCTCCATCCGCTCTTCCCTGCCCCCCCCACTCCACGCCATGCAGACGGGGGTGATGGTGGCGGTGGTGATATCCCTCGGCTTCGTCATCAACGAGTTGGCCAATGCACAGTGTGAGGAGCGTTGCTCTTATCAACCCCTCCCTCTCGTCCCACCCCCTCCCCCCGCTCTTGTTCTCTGCCCCACTGCAGACGGGGGTGATGGTGGCGGTGGTGATATCCCTCGGCTTCGTGATAAACGAGTCAGCCAACGCGCAGTGTGAGGAGCTGGGGCGGCTGCCCGGCACCACAGTGTACCGCACAGTGCAGCAGTACCCCGATGCTAAAGTCACCCCTGGGATTGCCGTCATCAAGTGCCACTCCCACCTGTGAGCCACCCCTCGCCTCGCCCCTGTGAGAACACCATTGCACCATCGCACCCTCGCACCCTCACCCACGCCCTGCTTTCACACCCTCACACCACCCACTCTGTTTTCCTGATTCGTTTGCAATACATCCCGGTGTCTTTATCCCCCCATCTGCTGGTTAACTTGCTCTGGGTGCTCTCCCTTCCACCCCTCCCCCCCCAGCTACTTTGCGAATGTGAGCAACCTGCGGGACGTGCTGAGGCGCTACGAGGGGCTCACCAGCAGAACGCCCCTGCCCGCCCCAAGCCAGTCCACCACCCCCACACGCTCCCCCCCTGCTGCCACTGCCGCTGCCACTCCTGCTGCCAGCACCCGCAACAGCACCCCCAGCCCTGCCCGATCCTCCACCAGTCCTAGCAGCCTGGCTCGGCGAGCCAGCGATGGGAGCTTAGACGGCCGCACCAGCAGCTTCAGGAGTGGCGGGAGCAGCAGGGACGGAGGAGGGGGGAGCGGGAGCAGCGGGGGAAGTGGAGAGTGTGACGTGGAGGAGGGAGGAGGGGCAGGTGAGGCACTGGTGTCGCCAGTAGAATCATCCACAAGAGACCAGCAGGGAGGTAGAGGAGCGGCAGCAAAGGGGAGAGCACTGGGTGCAACGAACGTGCCTATAGAGTATGTGATTATAGAGATGACGTCAGTGCATGCAGTGGACTCAGCAGCATGCCATGCGTTGAGGGAGATCTGCCTGGAGTACCAGGCGAGAGGGGTGCGTCTGGCCCTTGCCAACCCCAGTGATGCAGTCATGCAGAGACTCACTTGGGCGGGGATCCCGGACCTGATCGGGCGGCAGTGGTTCTTTGTGCGGATCTTTGATGCCGTGCAGCTCTGCAAGGCTGACATGGCGTGCCGGCACGCTGCGGCCTCTGGTGCGCTGCCACCTGGCAGGTTCATGGTTGCTGACGTGGACCAGCAGAGGATGGGGCAGCAGCAGCGTCAGCAGCAGCAGAGGGTGATGGTGCGGCCGCATTCCTTTTCCCAGGACATCAGGGTTGTTGCCCGCCCTGCACAGTCCGTTGGGCCGGCGGGCAGGGGCACGAGGGCTGAAGGGAGGGACAGGCAGGGTGACGGACAGGGGCGGGTGGCAGGGGGAGGCAGGGGGCGGACAGTGACGTGGGGGGTGCAGGGGACGAGAGCACAGGGGGCTACAGAGAGAACTAGTGGGGATGAGGCAGATGGGGCGGAAGGGGCAGAGGTGGGCACTGGATTATTGATTGGGTCAGGGGCGAGGGCGAGGGGATCAGAGGGTGGTGGCAGGGAGGGGAGCATGGCAGGGTGGCCGGAGGAGGATGAGTTTCCTGGCAGCCCCGACTACGGCATTCTCATGCCTGCGGGGGGCATTGCTGCCGCCACTGCCTCCACTGCCACTGCTGGGCTGGCAGAGGCGGGGGTAGGTGAGGGGGAAGGGGAAGGTTCGTCGGGCATGGGTGTGGCGTCACCTGAGTTTGCACCTCTGGATGGGTTTGACGTGCAGGCGTTTTCAGCGCCTGAGGTGATGCAGTCCGAGTATGTGCTGGCGGATGCGGAGGAGGAAGAGTCGGAGTGGGTGACAATACGACGGGATAGGAAGAGGAGGGAGAGACGTGCAACTGCTAGGCCGGATGAAGATGGGGAGAGCACAGGGCAAGATGAGGCTGATGAAGATAGCCGCCCTACTTGCCCTGTGTGCCATGGCTTTCTGCCATTGGCTGATGGCCAGATGCCAGATTATGAGCCTAGCCATGTCCTTGTGGATTATTGTGTTTGCTTTAGTGACTAACCTGGCATGTACACTTGAAATCAATTCTCTAATGAGCGATGCGTTTCACCCAACTTAGGGAGCGGTGGTGACTCCCCTCGAAATGAGGGTTTGGTAAGCGAAAACGAATGGGATAAATCTAGGCCATTGCTTTGCTGCAAGATCTATTCCGGCACACACCAGATCTCCAGCGGTGGCCCTACACTACAGTTCCGTTGTTTTGGAAGACCGCTTCCGTCAAGACAGCGCCATATGTCTGTCCAGCTGTACAGTACAGCACTGAAGAAAGACCTGATTGGTGGAAAGCTTTCTCTCTGTCCCCTTGCAAAAAACGACCAATTTGCTTTGGCTAGCAAGCCAAACCAAAGGCGACCCGGCAGCACACCAGCACCGAATTCCTCCGAAAACGTGACGCACTGGACCCTCCTTCCCTGCAGTTTCCGCTTACAGCTTCCACAGTCGCTGCGATGTCGCTCACACACCAACTCAGCGAAGTTGATCGCAGAAGTCGATTGTAACTGCATTTTCCATGAAAATTCTCGACGAAACCTTTTCGCCATTGATTCGCCCTCCTACGAATGTGCCATATGTTCGCCAGTGCTCTTGAGAAATCTGACGCCCTCACTTCCACAATTTTCTTCTGCACCTCGCGTCACAGACCCACCGTCCCGGTTCTCTGTTGTCCCCTCCTGTGTTCCTCCTTTGGTCCAGCCACACGACTCCACTGCAGGATAGGTGCAGCATTGTGGCCCTGCCACCCACACGCAGTATTCACGAGTTTAGGGCTTTGGTCGTTGGAATTCGCGTTTGTGTTGATCGTCGCTAGTGCATGGATGACGGAATCCGCTCTTTGCGTGCCTCGCATGTCCCCCCATCACCATCGTACCGCACACCACGGCGACCCCGCCTCCTCGCATTACGCCCATTCGTCGCGGTCGCCAGGGCAATCGCTGCCGCATTCTGATTTGTCGCCTTCGTCGCACGTCCGTCGTCGTTCTCATGTCGCCTCCCCCGCCGCTTCGCCCGTCGCGCCACTCTTGCTGGATTCGTCGCAATCCTCCCCAGTGCTCGAGTCGCCCTCCACCCTTCAAGATAGCTCATTAGCAGCCTGGCCTCATCAAGCGCGTCCCGAAGTCGAGCCGCTCCCGTCCGGCGCGAAGATGATCGGGGTCGAGGCGCCCCGACATCAGATGATCGGCAAGCGCCGAATGCGGGGGAACAGCGCGCCTCGCGTGGTGATTCTGCCGCCCATGAAGCACATCAAGATCGAGCCGGCGCGCATCGTCAGCGTCGATGTGCCCGGCGGAAAGGCTCTTGTGGGGGAGGTGATATCTGGCCCAGATGCCGCCGCCATTGACGTGTCAGTTCCTGGTTGGTCCTCCGCCGTGCCCCAGTCGCTCATCCGCCCGTTCCCTCCGCCACCGCACGAGGCACCGCTCCCCGCGCCCACCGCATTCCCCGCCCCTGTTCCGCCGTGCGCCCTCCCTGCGCCTTCCGCCGCCGCCTCACCCCACCGCTGCCCTCCGCCGAGCTTTCAGGAGCTCGCGACGCGCACCCCCCGTTACAAGGGCGTGCGGCAGCGCAAGTGGGGGCGGTGGGTGTCGGAGATCCGCGAACCACGGCGACGATCGCGCATCTGGCTTGGTTCATACTCGAGCGCGGAAGAGGCGGCGCGCGTGTACGACATGGCGGCGCGGATGCTGCGAGGCGACGCGGCGGGGAGTCTCAACTTCCCCGACAGCCACCAGGACGTGCCGCTGCCGCCCGCCATCGCCGAATCGCTCGTCCGCGTGTGTCAGGAGGTCGCGGAGGACGCGGCCCGCGCGGAAGGCGGCGGAGGAATGGGGGGGAACGCAGAGCAAAGGTCCTTCCGTGCGGAGGCTCTGTCGTCCGATTCGTCGCCAGAGGAGGAGTCGGACAGTAATCCGACGGCCGTGCAGGCAGCAAGCAGCTGCGGCGCGGGTAGCGTGTTCTGCGCGCGCTCCGTCCCCACCGCCGAGATCTCCAGCCACGTGTCGCCGCTCTCCCTCGCCTCCGCCATCCGTCCCGCCCCCTCCGCCGCGTTTCGCGTTTCCGCTGCGAATGTGTCCCCCTCAAGCTTTCCCCCGCCCAGCGCACGGCCGTTCTCCGCGCCTCGCTTTCCCCCCATGGTGGAAATCCCGCCGCAAAAGGCGTCTCCAGACGTGATCGTGCTTCCCGACTCGCCAGCAGCAGAGACGGCGGAGGTTGAGGATCGAGCTGATGGCGACGCGGCAACGCGCGGATCGCGCATGACCCCCGCGGCCTACACCGCTCGCCCGCGCAGCGTGCACTTGAGCAGCAGCGGCGGCTCCACGGATGACCCTCCTGCCGCCCCTCCTGCGCCCCGCCCTTCACCTCCTCCCTCCACTTCCGCAGCCAACACTACCGCCACACCTGGCCCTCACACTGCTGCTGCTGTGGCTCCACCGGGTGTGCCTGCTGCGGCGGCGAGTGTGGCTGTTGCAGTGGGTGTGCCTGCGAGCGCGTCCCCCAGTGCGCGTACCCCCACGGCCGCAGTGCACGCGCTGGCGCAGCTGCTCTCCTCCCTCGCTGCCCTCGGCTCCGCGCTCTCGCTGCCACCGCCTGCCGTCCCCCCAAGCAACAGCAGCACTGGCCATGTGCTTGGGCACGACGGTGAGGCGCCAGGCAGCAGCATCCAGGCTGCAGAGGACAACGGTCAGGTGGCCGGATACAACATTCAGGGCCCCGATGGCAGCAGTAACCTTCTGGGCGCAGCAGCAGCGCGGGAGCAGCTGATGCGCATTCTGCAGTCACCCCTGCTACAGCCACACCGCACACTTGCTGCTGGTGGGCAGGGGGGACACGAGGGACATGCGGAGCAGCAGCAGCAGCAGCAGATGCATGAGCTGCCTTTCCAGTTCCTGCCTCCCAGTGCTGCTGCCAGCAGCAGCCCATGCACGCAGGCGGGCATAGCTGCGAGTCACATAGTTGTTGATAACACGCAAGCACCTCCGCCCGCTCCCTCATGGCCCTCGTCGCCCCCGCCACCACTCCACGGCTCCACGCCTGCTGGCCTGCTCCGCAAATCCCACCCCTCCCCTCCTCCCCCCCAACCCCCGCACAACGTGCCTACCGCTGCTTCCCTGCAGTCAGCCTCACCTCTCCCTCTCCAACCTCCCTTGGTTGTTCCCCCTGCGTCTCTCCAGCCCCCCTGCACTGCCCCCCCTCCCCAGCCCCCTTGCACTGCGCCCCCTGCGGCCCCCAGCCCGTACAGCAGCGCCTTTGACTTCGAACCGCTGCTGCTGCTGGCAGGCGACGAGGGGGAGAGGGGGGAGGCTGCACCTGGGGAGGGTGTAGCTGCGCTGGAGTACGGGCAGGGAGAGGAGGGAGAGGAAGGGGAGGAGAGGAGTGTGCATGCGGCCATGGCTGCTGCTGCAGCGGCGGCAGTGGAGGCGAGTGAGCAGCACGGGCAGGGAGGGGGCATGGACCGTGCAGTGTCAGCCACAGCAGAGCAGTTCCACATGTGGCAGCAACAGCTGTGGGAGCTGTAGCACGAACTTCTCTCCGCTCCCCTGCTCTTGTACGCTTGCGCTGATGGGTCTCCTGCCTCGTGATTCTCATGGGTCGGCTGCGGCTGGAGCTGCAGGAGCTTCTGGTGTTCAGGTCATGCTCAGCAGGGCGTGAAGTGTTGGCGTTCCTTTTCTTTTATTTTCTGTTTTCGTCCTGTGTGTTTTGTTTGCTGCTCGACAGGCCTCACCCGATATCATGCGCCTCCGCTACAAGGCCCCTCTGCTGATTTATTACCAAGGGGTTGGCCTTCGCTTGAAGGGCATCCCGTGTAGCCACACATCTCTGATGTTGGCTAGATGATGTTGGAGTTCCTTCAAGCGTTGTGGAGGCCCATGCTATCTGGTGACGCCGATTTAGATATTGTCTGTGCTTGCATATTGCGAACCTTTATTTGATGTTTGTTTAAACCTTTATTTATTTCCGATTCTCTTGATATTAAATACATTCACAAAGGATAAGTTTAGGTAAGGATCCCCAGCTGACAAGGCTACATGGGACTTTGTTCTAACATTATATGGACTCCTGAGTTTATCTCTTCTAGATGTCTATATAATCTTATTATTGCTATTGGCGATAACTAGCTAGTTTTGGTCAACTCAACTCCCAGCCACACAGCACACTCCGCGACGTGTGGGCTGAAGATGCACCCGCCAGTCCAGAAAAGCGGATCTCTTCCAGCTGGTCGTTGTCACTGTTGCGGACACATAGGGCAGCGAATCTGACGTGGCGCTGTGAGCCTTTTTGAACCACTTCTCCCCAGCTTCATCTGGTTTGTTTGGCCCTCTCAGTTCAAACCAGCAGACTTCTCCGCACAGCAATTTCGGAAGAGGATCAGTTTAGTGACGACCAGACGAGAACACATCGCCGCCATGGCTCTCAGGTCAGTGTGTTAGCCTCAATTTCTCGTGCAATTTCGTGTTGTTCAGTGTTGTGAAAGCGACGGTTTGTGCTGTGCAGAGTGTTCGCGTCCCAGGCCGCCACATCCCTGAGGGTTCGTTGCCTTCCAGCAACAGACAGCCTCATCGCTCCCTTCTGGCGATCCTTCGCTTCTGGTGAGTTTGCATTTCTTCATCAGCAGCATAATCTAAGTAGAAACTTTGACATCCATAACAAGGAAATTATCTCGTGCTGCAGCTGCGGAGAACCGGAAGTACTTGAAATCACATGAATGGGTCGAAGTGAACGGCGAGGTCGGGACAGTCGGCATCTCAGATTTCGCCCAAGTGAGTAGTAACGTGGCATTTCGATTACAATTTGATTTGACTCAAACGACGTAGACTGAGAGTATCATTCGCCTGGCAGAATGAGCTGGGCGAGCTCGTCTTCGTGGACATGCCGAAGGCCGGGACGCAGGTCAGCAAGGGGCAAACGTTCGGCGTGGTGGAGAGCGTGAAGGCCGCCAGTGACGTGTACTCGCCCGTCTCTGGAGAGGTTGTTGAGACGAACGAGGAGCTCGGCAGCAACCCTGCCCTGGTGAGTCTCACGCATCTGTCTACCCGCATTTAACAAGAGCAGATTGCGGAACAGCAGGAGGATTACACTGCTTTCCCAATCTCCCGTTCTTCCCGTGTGACATTGTGCTGACTGTCCGTCCCTTATTGCGTCAGGTGAATACCTCTCCCTTCGCCGATGGGTGGATCATGAAGGTGAAGATTGCCAACCCCGCAGAGCTGAACGACTTGCTTGATGATGACGCTTACAACAAGCACTGCGAGGCTTCAGCACACTAAAAAACTGGCCTTGGCATGCAGTAATTCCATTGTTATGCCACAGTAATGTGATTTGCCATTCTTTTATGGTCCCTCACACCTTATACGGCATGACAGAGCACCCGGGAACAGAAAGAAGCACCCCAATTCTCACATTTTCATCCTCAGCCGGCTTTTGAGAAAGCAATGGAAAGCTGGAGTATGCCAGTACTACTTGTTTCTACTGAGTTTGACAGTGTAAGATTGATGTATTTGCTATACAGTATAGACAGAGGTTCCTTAACATTATGGGATGTCTTGGGAGTGTTTTGGGTGAGGATGATATTTTACTGCAAAATATAGGGTACCTTTACTACGTACTACAGCTTCCATGTACGCATAAAACAAATCCATGCCATACGCTCGTTCCTTGTTTCGGATCATGCCGTATACCTCAGGGAAGCACCACTCTGCGATATCATAGGGCACGTGAAGTTTTGAACCAATTAGCAGATATGAGATTCGACTATTGGTTGAGACCTTTAGTTTTCTCGCCCGTAATTGGTGTTGCTGCGACAGCTCGAATGGGGTTGACTCCCTCGCTTTCACTTTACACGGAATGCTCAATGAGCGACGTCTGGCAGTGACGTGGCCAATGCTGGGCGGAGAGCGAGGCGTGGTACTTGCCTTGGGTGTTCTGTTGCCACCTCGATCGCACGCGCGCCAGACCTTCAACCTCCAGTCAGCTTCGTTCCCCCCAGTTCCCAGAAACCAACCACGCCCCTCCTCCCCGCACGCGCTGATCAGTGACGGTTATCGCAAACACATGTGTCGGTGTCTAGACCCCTTGTCCAATCACAGCACGCGATTATACATCTGCGCTTCCCCGTGCTCCACTCTCTCCCTACAATTCGCTCCACCCACCCGTCAGGCTTGGCTTCCGCCTTTTCCCCGCATCACTGGTTCACCGCATTTGCGTCTTCATCATCGCGGCTCGTCTCTCTTCAACACCGCACACCAGCAATGTCTCTGCATCCCCTTTCAAAGCACTTCAGTGGAGCATTTTTCGAGTTCACTGCTTGTGTGAGTGTCGAGACTCCATTTCCTGCTCATCGAAATTTGTTCCTCCGCCTTCTCCGTCCTCTGTGCGAATCGTTGTTATCGCGCAAATCGCACCGATGGCGGTCAGGGCACTGCACTCCTCCATCCACCCAACCACACTAGCGAGTCGACCGGCACACGATCTTCGCAGCTCTTCCCCTCCCTCCCCCGCATTCGTCCATTTAGAATCCAAGCAGAGTTCCGCTGCCGTCGCTCGTCGCGTCCAATCACGAGCCTCCCGTCAGCAAAGATTCGTCCTAGCCTCGCATGGCTCGTCAGCAGACGGTCCGTCAGCAGCGGCGCCGTCACCACCACGTCAAACAACTCCTCAGCCGTCAGCGGCAGCGGATCTGCCATCACATGCCACGGGCCGCGACAAGCTCGCTAGAGCTGCGGAATGGCTGCGAAAGGCGGCGACGGGAGCCGTGGTCGGAGCGGCGGCTGCGGCGGTGCTTCTAGTCGGGATTCCCGCTCCGTCAGTTGCGGAGAGCTTGCTAAGCGGCGAAACAACGGATGTGCTGATGAGTGACGCGGCGATGGGCGTGGAGGAGGAGGACGGCGTGCTCACTCTCATCGTGCCTCGACCGCACATCACTGGGGTACGTGGCTGCATGTCACGGGGGTTACATCACACTGTTTAAACGGTCGAGGTAACATGAATGATTGTGATGTGACGAGTTGGATCACGGTGAATCAAGATCAGCCAAGTAAAATCACCATGAGCTTCATGCGCGCTCTGCTCTTCGCTTCGCTACATCATGGTGCGTCCCATACATGCTGACGCGTCCCACTGTTAAGGCGTAAATCTCATCTCGCGGACGCTTCGCTCTCCGTTTCCGCGCTCTCCCCGTCGGCGAGAGTACAGCACGTCGACCCACGCGCTTCTTCCCTCACCCCATCCCTTCTCTCCCCCCTCCCTTCCTCCCGCCCTTCCCCCCCGCGGCGGCGCAGGTGGAGGCGGCGCAGCGGACAATGGTGGAGGCGTGGGGGATCGTGCGCGAGGCGTTCGTGGATCCCACCTTCAACCACCAGGACTGGGACCGCCGCCTCGCCGCCGCCATCCGCGGCAGCGTCTCGGCGGGCAGCGCGGACGACGCGTACGGGCTCGTGCACGACATGCTGGCGACGCTGGGCGACCCGTTCACTCGCCTGGTGTCGCCGAGCGACTACGACAGCTTCCGCGTGAGCAGCGACGGCGGTCTCGAGGGCGTGGGGCTGTTGCTCGCCTCCGACACCACTGACGGCCGCCTGGTGTGCTCCTCCCCCCCCTTCCCCCGCGCGCTGCCTTCCTGACTTGAGCGCTGCCTTCCCCCTTTCCCCTTTCCCTCTTGTCTCGCTTCCTCTCGCCCACCGTTCACACCCGCCACGTGCTCGCCTCCCTCATCTCGTATCTTCCCCATCTCATCCCTTTGCTCACCCCTTCGCTCCCTCCCCCCCCCTTCCCCGTTCCCCTGCTCTCCCCCGTCTCCGCGCGCAGCTGGTGCTGTCGCCCATCGAGGGCGGCCCCGCGGATCGAGCGGGCATCCACACGGGCGACGAGGTGGTCGCCGTCGACCGTACGTTGCCCCCCTCCCGCGCCTCCTCCCCCGTCCCCCGTTGTTCTCCCCTCCCCTCCTGCTCCTCTTCCCCTCGGATCGCACCTCCTCTCTCTCCCTGTTCTCTTCCTGTGGCTTTTCAACGAACCCTCACACCCAACCCGCACCGCTCCCTTGCAGCTACCCCCTCTCAGCTCTCTTGCTGCTCTCCTAGCTGCTCCCCTGCTCACTCCGTCTGTCCCTCCCCATCTCACCCGTGCAGACTCCCCGCTGAGCGGTATGAGCGGGCAGGAAGCGGCGAACCTGCTGCGAGGCAAGGCGGGCACAGCAGTCACGCTCACCGTGCGCCCCGCTGTAAGCCCACCCCCTATCCCCGTTACAGTCCGTCTCGTTACCGTCCCTGGCGATGATTTCTGCAATCTGCCCGCCCTCACGCCCCGCGCGCTGATCCGCCCTTGTGCTGCAGAGAGCTGACGTGAACGGCTCTGATTCGCCGGAGGGAACGACTGACATCCTGTTGAGGCGCGAGCCCATAGCGCTGTCGCCGGTGTACGCGACTGCGCTGCCCCACCACACGGAGCAGGGCGCCCCCACCTCCACCGGCTACATCCGCCTCGCCTCCTTCTCCCAGAACGCGGCGGAGGACATGGCGCGGGCGATAGAGCGGCTGGAGGGCGAGGGCGTGGCGAGCTACATCCTGGACCTGCGCAACAACCCCGGCGGCCTCGTGCACGCCGGGCTCGACGTGGCGCGCATGTGGCTCGGATCCGGCGCCACCCTCGTCAACACGGTTGACCGCACCGGGGCCGTGGAGGCCATTGCGCTGCGCAACTCACGCGCGCTCACGGACCGGCCGCTGGCTGTGCTGGTGAATCATGGGAGTGCGAGTGCGAGTGAGATAGTCGCGGGCGCGCTGCATGATAACGGGCGGGCGACGCTGGTGGGGGATACGACGTACGGCAAGGGGCGCATTCAGACGGTGTTTGAGCTCACCGATGGGTCGGCGCTGTTTGTGACGGTGGCCAAGTACCTATCGCCCGCCATGCACGCCATTGATAAGGTCGGCGTTGCTCCTGACCTCGCCTGCGCTCTCCCCACTCTGCAGCCCCTCCCCACCTCTACCTCTGCTTCCACTTCTGCCTCTGGTCCTGCTGCTGCTGCTGCTGCTGCTCCAGGCGTGCTCTCTGGCCCCCTGGGGGCCGGGCAGCAGGAAGCGGCGCTGCCGGGGGGAGGCGTGGGGGGAGGGCGGGCGGTGGTGGTGGAGGAGGAGGTGTATGGCGCGGAGCTGCAGCGCGACAGCTGTGTGCTCACTGCTGAGAGGCAGCTCGACCGCCACGCCTGATGGGGCCCAGACATGACGGGCTGCGGGGCCTTAAGGGCGGTGGGGCTTGTATAGATGGGTGGTGGGGGGGGGGGGGGGGGGGTGTTAAGGACCGGAGCTGCAGCGCAATAGCTGTGTGCTCACTGCTGAGAGGCAGCTTGACCGCCACGCTTGATGGAGGGGCCCAGGCGGGAGGGGCTGTGGAGCGGAGAGGCTAAGGGGAGGAGGTGAGGCCATTTAAAGGCTGGTGAGTCTTGTATAGATTGCTGGTGGCTTGGAGTGTGTCCTGGCCGCTGGAAATGGAGGGCTTTCGTTGTGCATTCGTGTAGATAACGGGCTTCACCGCTTGTTGCTTTGATTTGATTGTTGTGTGCGTTTGTGGCTTATGTATAGCTGTGTGAATAGTCGTGTGCATAGGTGTCAGGCTTGCTGTGTATAGGTAGTCCATATTGCTTGCAGGTGGTGAGTTGTTTAGCAGTTGAGATCCATTGACTTTAACTACCATATGAGTGTTATTTGATATCGTACAAGAACAATACAAAAAAGAGAACGCGGGGAGATAAGAGAAATGAATATTAAAAACGGAATGAAAAATTAAGCTAGAATGAGAAGGAAGGAGATTGGAAAGAAAGCTGGAAGTGGAAGAAGTAGAAGGAAGATTAGAAAGAGAAGGGCGGGCGTACAAGGTCGGGGTTGTTGGTGTGCTGTAGGTTCCTCCCTCCATGGCTGCTTTGACAATGTATGAAGGTGTCAATTATCCTGGGTGATTAAATGAAGGTGTTGTACTTTGATAGGGTAGGTTGAATCTCCTAACAACCATAAGAAATATGGGTGATTCGAATATTTGATGAAAAAATACTATCATGTTGGGTGTGAGGCAGCTACAGTATCCCATCAACCATTTTATTTACATTATAACCCCTGGAACTTTACCATTCCATCACTGGGGGATGTGTGCGAGCCATCACAAAAGCGTCTGTCAGGGACATGGCTGTTTCCCGCGCAAACTGCCAGGGTACCGCTATGCGAGTATGCCGTAACGTAACTTGTTTACAAAACCCGGTCACACTTCTCGCGAACCAAACCTCCCGCAAGCGAAAGGCCAATTGTTTTGGTTCACGAAATTGACGGCATCCGCTGACGCTGCGGCGGCCTGCACCAGAGTAGAGGAAGGGGAATGGCATGGTCCCCCACTTTCGTCGCATCTCTCCCACGTCCAAGTATATCTCCCTTCACCACTCTGGATCGCACGGAACCCCTCTTACACCACCGCTTTTTGATTGTCCTAATTCGAGCTGTCCTGAACGCCATTCTTCCCCACCATCATGACCGCAACTCGCGCTGACTCCTCCTAGACATCAGGCTCGTTCGGTTCCCAGGAATCCATGGCTGTCGCCTGAACTTCCATACTTACCAATCATTAATTAGGACTTAATCTTAGTCGTGGTTCAGTTCTTATTTCAATGTGTCCTCTAGCCATATTCGGAGCACCTCTGTTCGGAGTTTCATGGCCTCTGATGCAGGGACTCTTCAAGCCTCAGCTCGTTTCGTCAGCAATCCATGGCTGTCGACTTCCATTTACGATAATTGTTTCCCAAGCGCAATTATAATCGTATCTGTTACTATCCACGGCTATGCTACTAGACATTCAGAACAGCACTAGCAGACTCTCCTCGTTCAATCCTGAGCAGCTCGTTTTACGATGCTCCATGGTGATCGTTGACCGTAGCATTCGGCCTTTTTTTGTGAATGCCATTGAGAATTTACCGCTGACGGTAGTCGGAGACGGTTCGTAAGGCTTGGCGACGTCGTATCGCCGTTCAAGTGCACGTCGTGTTTCAGGCTGCGACGATAACGCCGTCTAAGTTCAACGTCTACAGCGATAACGATTTCTGCCTTTCGGAGTAGAATTTATGTTTTATGAAGACGATGATCGGGACGGTTTCCTTGGAGGGGGTGATCGAGACGGCGATTCCTGATTATGATTATCGAGACGAGGAGTGCTGGCGATGGCAATCGGCGAATGTTGACGGTGAAAATTGATACGAGTAGTGCTGACGGAACGAGACGGCGATTTCTGACGGTGAAGATCGAACGAGGAGTGCTGACGATAAAAATTGAGACGGCGATTTCTGACGGTGAAGGTCAAAACGAGGTGCTGCCAGCGATGGCGACGATCGAGATGGCGATTTCTGACGGTGAGGATTGTGATGAGGAGTACTTACGGCGACGCTTGGCGTCTTCTGATGGTTCTGATGGTGACAGGTGGGACCTTCGGGAGTTCTGCTGACGATCTTCTGGTCTTCTGCCGGTGACCATCTTCTGGCTGTGACAACCTTCTCACGGTGACGATATTTGCCAGTGTTTTTCTGGGAGTGGTGACGATCTTCTGACCGTGACGATTGACGCCTTCTGATGGTGTGTCTCCCAGGGAATTTTGGAGTTGATGATCACACTGAAATCTCGCGGTGACGATCTTCTGACGGAGAGGATTGGTTGGGACGGCAAGTTGCGGGGATGACTCATCGATAATCGAGATTGAGCCAGCGAGTTCTTGCGTTGCTGATCGAGATTGCGTTTCTGACGGACGGTCACGATTGAGACGGCGTTTTCTGATGAAGCTCTCCGTCGACGATCGAGGCGGTGAAGGCGAAGGCGAAGGCGAGGGCGAGCGTTCGAGCAGAGAAGCGGAGAAAGTTGACGGAGTTCATACAATCGCGACGACAATGACGATCGCGACGAGGTGTTCGTACGGCGACGTTTGCGTCTTTTGATGGTGACGATGAGACTGGGAGTCGGCGACGATTGGCGCCCGCTGACCCCGTGACGATCTTCTGACGGCGATTGACGAGGTGGCGATTGCCGGCGAAAAATCACGTTGCCTACTGGGACGCGGGTCTTAGGATCGTAAGCACCTTAGTCGGCAATAGTCTACTTGCTATCGCCTATCGTTCGTGTTCTCCACGATCTCAATACACACTTCTTGAAGTTCTTCAGTACGGCAAGAGGTCAACCTCCTCTGCCCTCCGAATGAACTTCTTCCGCCACACGTTGTAGTTGCTTCCGTTGAAGCGCTGGGCTTCACTGAGCCCGATCGTCGGTTTCGCCACCAATCGGCCACTCGCAAGGGCCTCGAGAAGAGCCTTCAACTGCGGGTCTCCAAGACTCACACTGGAACCCGAACTCGCATCGTCTCCCATAGCGTAGGCGTGAACGACTCCTCTTCTCCACTAATTTCACTTAGCGCACCAAGTGAATTCGCGACGATCGACGAGCCCGTTCGTCAAGCTCTGATACCAGTTCTTAGGATCGTAAGCACCCTAGTCGGCAATAGTCTACTTGCTATCGCCTATCGTGTTCTCCACGATCTCCCGAATCCAATGATATGCGCAGCTCTGCTTGAAGTTGTCAATACACACTTCAGCAATTTTCAGAATCTCAATGGTTTCAATGTGTTTTCCAGAATGAGTACAAGCAGTTTTATAGTCAACCAAGGTACAAAATGCGATTCGTAACTTCACTTGTTTCCCAAGTAACCGCGTGCGCCTCGTTTCACCCCGAGTCGCACACGCAACCGAACCGAATTCACCGAACACTCCTTGAGCCCGAATCTGGAAATTTCTCGAACACGCCTTGGTCTCGAACCACATTTTCCCCCGTCGAACTCATTCTCGATTCTTCTCCACTCTTCTTCCTTCATTTCTCCAGTTTCTTCCCGATTTCTCTCCCGCTTTTCACGCCTTAGCTTCCAACGTCCACCGTAGGCCGATTTCTACCGAAATCACTCTAGAATCTCCCACGAGCTCCATTCCGCCGCCATTCCGCATTTCACCGTAGGTTCCGTGGTTGGACGAACCAACCCTAACAGCGGGGTTCTGACGTCAGCGATTAAGGCGGAATCCTCCTAGTTTGACGACCCCATGTTGACGATCGACGTCACAAAAAACGCAAGCTCACAATCCTTGCCTAAAGTTTCGGAAACTGATATCGAGGTACCGACTTAGTATGGTACTGACCGACGAGACTGAAGGTTTCGAAGGTGACGATCGAGGCAGCATCTTACTTTCTAACAAGACGTCTTTCCTCCTTCCTTTTTCTTTTTACCATCGCCCCCATGCTGTCTTTGCATTCTGGCTTGCTCTCAATTTCTCCACGCCTCTGCAAGGCCTCACTCAACATCGTACCTTCACTCTGGGTTATTCTCTCACTCTTATATTCTGCTTGCAGGGAAGCATTCAAGGAGCACCACCAGTGTGTGGCGACTTACAGAGTGGGGCGTTCCGTGTGCGGCGGTATGCACAAGCCAGCAGCCAACCAATCGCACGCCACATGCAACCGACGGTGTGTGGATGATGGAGACGAGCCGCATGGGACGCTGCTGCTTGCTGCTGTCGCCCGGAAGGATTTCTGCTGCCCTGCCATCCTTCACCCTCCACCCTCCACCCTCCACCCTCCAACCTCCACCCTCCACCCTCCACCCTCCACCCTCCACCCTCCTCCCTCCACCCTCCTCCCTCCACCCTCCACCCTACACCCTCCACCCTCCTCCCTCCACCCTCCACCCTCCACCCTCCTCCCTCCTCCCTCTACCCTCCACCCTCCACCCTCTACCCTCCTCACTCCACCCTACACCCTCCACCGTCCTCTCTCCTTCCTCCACCCTCCTCCCTTCACCCTCCACCCTCCACACTCCACCCTCCACCCTCCTCCCTCCACCCTCCTCCCTCCACCCTCCACCCTCCACCCTCCATCCTCCACCCTCCTCCCTCTACCCTCCTCCCTCATCCCTCCTCCCTCCACCCTCCTCCCTCCACCCTCCACCCTCCACCCTCCTCCCTCCACCCACCACCCTCCACCCTCCACCCTCCCCTCTCCTCCCTCCACCCTCCACCCTCCACCCTCCACCCTGCACACTCCGCCCTCCTCCCTCCACCCTCCACCCTCCACCCTCCACCCTCCACCCTACACCCTCCACCCTCAACCCTCCTCCCTCCACCCTCCATGCTCCACCCTCCTCCCTCCATACTCCTCCCTCCACCCTCCTCCCTCAACTCTCCACTCTCCTCCCTCCACCCTCCACTCCACCCTACACCCTCCACCCTCCACCCTCCACCCTCCCCTCTCCTCCCTCCACCCTCCACCCTCCACCCTCCACCCTCCACCCTCCACCCTCCACCCTCCACCCTCAACCCTCCTCCCTCCACCCTCCACACTCCACCCTCCTCCCTCCATCCTCCTCCCTCCACCCTCCACCCTCCACCCTCCTCCCTCCTCGCCATTCCTTCTCCTCTATCCATCCTCAGGGCGAATGGGTGCAGGCAGAGAGGCAGCACGGCAGAGCGGCACAGCGGCACGGCAGTTAATATCAGTCAACGCCAGTCAACTCAAGTCCTTGGCATTATGATACGGTATGCAATTAACTGTACCCACACTCTCCTTTCATGTTATTTCACTTTCTGCATCCTCTAGCAGATTCTCCTTTCCTTTTCTTGTCCTCTAGCAAAGTCTCCTCTCCTTTTCTTTCATGTTATTTCACTTTCTGCATCCTCTAGCAAAGTCTCCTCTCCTTCCCTTTCATGTCATTTCACTTTCTGCATCCTCTAGCAAAGTCTCGTCCCTTTTTCCCAGTCCTTGTGTCTTCTCCTTGTCTCCTCCCCCTCACAACCCCCGAGAGCAGCGGCGCCTCTCCCTCACAGCCCCCAAGAGCAGCGGCGCCTCTCCCTCACAAACCCCCAGAGCAGCGGCGTTTCTCCCTCACAGCCCCCCAGAGCAGCGGCGCCTCTCCCTCACAACCCCCCAGAGCAGCGGCGCCTCTCCCTCACAACCCTCCAGAGCAGCGGCGCCTCTCCCTCACAGCCCCCAGAGCAGCGGCGCCTGGCCCTCACAACCCCCCAGAGCAGCGGCGCCTCTCCTCACAACCCCCCAGAGCAGCGGCGCCTCTCCCTCACAATCCCCCAGAGCAGCGGCGCCTCTCCCTCACAACCCCCCAGAGCAGTGGCGCCTCGCCCTCACAGCCCCCCAGAGCAGCGGCGCCTCGCCCTCACAACCCCCCAGAGCAGCGGCGCCTCGCCCTCACAACCCCCCAGAGCAGCGGCGTCTCGCCCTCACAACCCCCCAGAGCAGCGGCGCCTCTCCCTCACAACCCCCCAGAGCAGCGGCGCCTCTCCCTCTCAACCCCCCAAAGCAGCGGCGCCTCGCCCTCACAGCCCCCCAGAGCAGCGGCGCCTCGCCCTCACAACCCCTCAGAGCAGCGGCGCCTCGCCCTCACCACCCCCTCAGAGCAGCGGCGCCTCTCCCTCACAACCCCCCAGAGCAGCGGCGCCTTGCCCTCACAGCCCCCCAGAGCAGCGGCGTCTCGCCCTCACAACCCCCCAGAGCAGCGGCGCCTCTCCCTCACAACCCCCCAGAGCAGCGGCGCCTCTCCCTCTCAACCCCCCACAGCAGCGGCGCCTCGCCCTCACAACCCCCCATAGCAGCGGCGCCTCGCCCTCACAACCCCTCAGAGCAGCGGCACCTCCTCCTCACAGCCCCCCAGAGCAGCGGCGCCTCTCCCTCACAGCCCCCCAGAGCAGCGGCGCCTCTCCCTCACAGCCCCCCAGAGCAGCGGCGCCTCTCCCTCACAGCCCCCCAGAGCAGCGGCGCCTCGCCCTCACACCCCCCCAGAGCAGCGGCGCCCCGCCCTCACAACCCCCCCACCTCTCTGCGCCTGCGAAGTCAGCAGCACCTCATTTTTTCTTGTCTGTTGAGCCCCACCAATGTCTTTCCTCCTCCCCCTTTTTTTTTACCATCGCCCCCATGCTGTTGCCTCTGCCTGGCCTTCTTTCTTTGCATTCTGGCTTGCTCTCAATTTCTCCACGCCTCTGCAAGGCCTCACCCAACATGGTACCTTCATTCTGGGTTATTCTCTCACTCTTATATTCTGCTTGCAGGGAAGCACTCAAGGAGCACCACCAGTGTGTGGCGACTTACAGAGTGGGGCGTTCCGTGTGCGGCGGTATGCACAAGCCAGCAGCCAACCAATCGCACGCCACATGCAACCGACGGTGTGTGGATGATGGAGACGAGCCGCATGGGACGCTGCTGCTTGCTGCTGTCGCCCGGAAGGATTTCTGCTGCCCTGCCATCCTTCACCCTCCACCCTCCACCCTCCACCCTCCACCCTCCTCCCTCCTCCCTCCTCCCTCCACCCTCCACTCTCCTCCCTCCACCCTCCACCCTCCTCCCTCCACCCTCCACCCTCCTCCCTCCTCCCTCTACCCTCCTCCCTCCACCCTACACCCTCCACCGTCCTCTCTCCTTCCTCCACCCTCCTCCCTCCACCCTCCACCCTCCTCCCTCCACCCTCCTCCATCCACCCTCCACCCTCCACCCTCCACCCACCACCCTCCACCCTCCACCCTCTCCTCTCCTCCCTCCACCCTCCACCCTCCACCCTCCACCCTCCACACTCCGCCCCCCTCCCTCCAGCCTCCACCCTCCAGCCTCCACCCTCCACCCTCCACCCTCCTCCCTCCACCCTCCTCCCTCCACCCTCCTCCCTCCAGCCTCCAGCCTCCAGCCTCCTCCCTCCTTCCTCCACCCTCCTACCTTCACCCTTCACCCTCCTCCCTCCACTCTCCACCCTCCACCCTCCACCCTCCTCCCTCCACCCTCCTCCATCCACCCTCCACCCTCCACCCTCCACCCAACACCCTCAACCCTCCACCCTCCACCCTCCACCCTCCACCCTCCCCTCTCCTCCCTCCACCCTCCACCCTCCACCCTCCGCTCTCCACCCTCCACCCTCCACCCTCCACACTCCGCCCTCCTCCTTCCACCCTCCACCCTCCACCCTCCACCCTCCTCCCTCCACCCTCCACCCTCCACCCTCCTCCCTCCTTCCTCCACCCTCCTCCCTCCACCCTCCACCATCCACCCTCCACCCTCCTCCATCCACCCTCCTCCCTCCTTCCTCCACCCTCCTCCCTCCTTCCTCCACCCTCCTCCCTCCACCCTCCTCCATCCACCCTCCACCCTCCACCCACCACCCTCCACCCTCCACCCACCACCCTCCACCCTCCACCCTCCACCCTCCACCCTTCCCTCTCCACCCTCCACCCTCCACCTTCCACCCTCCACCCTCCACACTCCGCCCTCCTCCCTCCACCCTCCACCCTCCACCCTTCACCCTCCTCCCTCCACCCTCCACCCTCCACCCTCCTCCCTCCTTCCTCCACCCTCCTCCCTCTACCCTCCACCCTCCTCCCTCCACCCTCCACCCTCCTCCCTCCACCCTCCACCCTCCACCCTCCTCCCTCCTCCCTCTACCCTCCACCCTCCACCCTCCACCTTTCACCCTCCACCCTGCACCCTCCACACTCCTCCCTCCACACTCCGCCGTCCTCCCTCCACCCTCCACCCTCCTCCCTCCTTCCTCTCCTCCCTCCACCCTCCACCCTCCTCCCTCCTCCCTCCACCCTCCACCCTCCACCCTCCACCCTCCACCACCCTCCACCCTCCCCTCTCCTCCCTCCACCCTCCACCCTCCACCCTCCACCCTCCACCCTCCACCCTCCACCCTCAACCCTCCTCCCTCTACCCTCCACACTCCACCCTCCTCCCTCCATACTCCTCCCTCCACCCTCCACCTTCCTCCCTCCACCCTCCACTCTCCTCCCTCCACCCTCCACTCCACCCTCCACCCTCCACCCTCCCCTCTCCTCCCTCTTCCCTCCACCCTCCACACTCCACCCTCTTCCCTCCGTCCTCCTCCCTCCACCATCCACCCTCAACCCTCCTCCCTCCACCCTCCACACTCCACCCTCCTCCCTCCATACTCCTCCCTCCACCCTCCACCCTCCACCCTCCTCCCTCCACCCTCCACTCTCCTCCCTCCACCCTCCACTCCACCCTCCACCCTCCACCCTCCCCTCTCCACCCTCCACCCTCCACCCTCCACCCTCCTCCCTCCTCCCTCTACCCTCCAACCTCCACCCTCCACCGTTCACCCTCCACCCTCCACCCTCCTCCCTCCACCCTACACCCTCCACCGTCCTCTCTCCTTCCTCCACCCTCCTCCCTCCACCCTCCACCCTCCTCCCTCCACCCTCCACCCTCCACCCTCCACCCTCCGCCCTCCTCCCTCCACCCACCACCCTCCACCCTCCACCCTCCCCTCTCCTCCCTCCACCCTCCACCCTCCACCCTCCACACTCCGCCCTCCCCTCTCCTCCCTCCACCCTCCACCCTCCACCCTCCACCCTCCACCCTCAACCCTCCTCCCTCCACCCTCCATGCTCCACCCTCCTCCCTCCATACTCCTCCCTCCACCCTCCTCCCTCAACTCTCCACTCTCCTCCCTCCACCCTCCACTCCACCCTACACCCTCCACCCTCCACCCTCCACCCTCCACCCTCCCCTCTCCTCCCTCCACCCTCCACCCTCCACCCTCCACCCTCCACCCTCCACCCTCAACCCTCCTCCCTCCACCCTCCACACTCCACCCTCCTCCCTCCATCCTCCTCCCTCCACCCTCCACCCTCCACCCTCCACCCTCCTCCCTCCTCGCCATTCCTTCTCCTCTATCCATCCTCAGGGCGAATGGGTGCAGGCAGAGAGGCAGCACGGCAGAGCGGCACAGCGGCACGGCAGTTAATATCAGTCAACGCCAGTCAACTCAAGTCCTTGGCATTATGATACGGTATGCAATTAACTGTACCCACACTCTCCTTTCATGTTATTTCACTTTCTGCATCCTCTAGCAGATTCTCCTTTCCTTTTCTTGTCCTCTAGCAAAGTCTCCTCTCCTTTTCTTTCATGTTATTTCACTTTCTGCATCCTCTAGCAAAGTCTCCTCTCCTTCCCTTTCATGTCATTTCACTTTCTGCATCCTCTAGCAAAGTCTCGTCCCTTTTTCCCAGTCCTTGTGTCTTCTCCTTGTCTCCTACCCCTCACAACCCCCGAGAGCAGCGGCGCCTCTCCCTCACAGCCCCCAAGAGCAGCGGCGCCTCTCCCTCACAAACCCCCAGAGCAGCGGCGTTTCTCCCTCACAGCCCCCCAGAGCAGCGGCGCCTCTCCCTCACAACCCCCCAGAGCAGCGGCGCCTCTCCCTCACAACCCTCCAGAGCAGCGGCGCCTCTCCCTCACAGCCCCCCAGAGCAGCGGCGCCTGGCCCTCACAACCCCCCAGAGCAGCGGCGCCTCTCCTCACAACCCCCCAGAGCAGCGGCGCCTCTCCCTCACAATCCCCCAGAGCAGCGGCGCCTCTCCCTCACAACCCTCCAGAGCAGTGGCGCCTCGCCCTCACAGCCCCCCAGAGCAGCGGCGCCTCGCCCTCACAACCCCCCAGAGCAGCGGCGCCTCGCCCTCACAACCCCCCAGAGCAGCGGCGTCTCGCCCTCACAACCCCCCAGAGCAGCGGCGCCTCTCCCTCACAACCCCCCAGAGCAGCGGCGCCTCTCCCTCTCAACCCCCCAAAGCAGCGGCGCCTCGCCCTCACAGCCCCCCAGAGCAGCGGCGCCTCGCCCTCACAACCCCTCAGAGCAGCGGCGCCTCGCCCTCACCACCCCCTCAGAGCAGCGGCGCCTCTCCCTCACAACCCCCCAGAGCAGCGGCGCCTTGCCCTCACAGCCCCCCAGAGCAGCGGCGTCTCGCCCTCACAACCCCCCAGAGCAGCGGCGCCTCTCCCTCACAACCCCCCAGAGCAGCGGCGCCTCTCCCTCTCAACCCCCCACAGCAGCGGCGCCTCGCCCTCACAACCCCCCATAGCAGCGGCGCCTCGCCCTCACAACCCCTCAGAGCAGCGGCACCTCCTCCTCACAGCCCCCCAGAGCAGCGGCGCCTCTCCCTCACAGCCCCCCAGAGCAGCGGCGCCTCTCCCTCACAGCCCCCCAGAGCAGCGGCGCCTCTCCCTCACAGCCCCCCAGAGCAGCGGCGCCTCGCCCTCACACCCCCCCAGAGCAGCGGCGCCCCGCCCTCACAACCCCCCCACCTCTCTGCGCCTGCGAAGTCAGCAGCACCTCATTTTTTCTTTGCTTTAGTTTCTCCTTCTCTTTGCTTCGAGGAAACGTCTGTTGAGCCCCACCAATGTCTTTCCTCCTCCCCCTTTTTTTTTACCATCGCCCCCATGCTGTTGCCTCTGCCTGGCCTTCTTTCTTTGCATTCTGGCTTGCTCTCAATTTCTCCACGCCTCTGCAAGGCCTCACCCAACATGGTACCTTCATTCTGGGTTATTCTCTCACTCTTATATTCTGCTTGCAGGGAAGCACTCAAGGAGCACCACCAGTGTGTGGCGACTTACAGAGTGGGGCGTTCCGTGTGCGGCGGTATGCACAAGCCAGCAGCCAACCAATCGCACGCCACATGCAACCGACGGTGTGTGGATGATGGAGACGAGCCGCATGGGACGCTGCTGCTTGCTGCTGTCGCCCGGAAGGATTTCTGCTGCCCTGCCATCCTTCACCCTCCACCCTCCACCCTCCACCCTCCACCCTCCACCCTCCTCCCTCCTCCCTCCTCCCTCCACCCTCCACTCTCCTCCCTCCACCCTCCACCCTCCTCCCTCCACCCTCCACCCTCCTCCCTCCTCCCTCTACCCTCCTCCCTCCACCCTACACCCTCCACCGTCCTCTCTCCTTCCTCCACCCTCCTCCCTCCACCCTCCACCCTCCTCCCTCCACCCTCCTCCATCCACCCTCCACCCTCCACCCTCCACCCACCACCCTCCACCCTCCACCCTCTCCTCTCCTCCCTCCACCCTCCACCCTCCACCCTCCACCCTCCACACTCCGCCCCCCTCCCTCCAGCCTCCACCCTCCAGCCTCCACCCTCCACCCTCCACCCTCCTCCCTCCACCCTCCTCCCTCCACCCTCCTCCCTCCAGCCTCCAGCCTCCAGCCTCCTCCCTCCTTCCTCCACCCTCCTACCTTCACCCTTCACCCTCCTCCCTCCACTCTCCACCCTCCACCCTCCACCCTCCTCCCTCCACCCTCCTCCATCCACCCTCCACCCTCCACCCTCCACCCAACACCCTCAACCCTCCACCCTCCACCCTCCACCCTCCCCTCTCCTCCCTCCACCCTCCACCCTCTACCCTCCGCTCTCCACCCTCCACCCTCCACCCTCCACACTCCGCCCTCCTCCTTCCACCCTCCACCCTCCACCCTCCACCCTCCTCCCTCCACCCTCCTCCATCCACCCTCCACCCTCCTCCATCCACCCTCCTCCCTCCTTCCTCCACCCTCCTCCCTCCTTCCTCCACCCTCCTCCCTCCACCCTCCTCCATCCACCCTCCACCCTCCACCCACCACCCTCCACCCTCCACCCACCACCCTCCACCCTCCACCCTCCACCCTCCACCCTTCCCTCTCCACCCTCCACCTTCCACCCTCCACCCTCCACACTCCGCCCTCCTCCCTCCACCCTCCACCCTCCACCCTTCACCCTCCTCCCTCCACCCTCCACCCTCCACCCTCCTCCCTCCTTCCTCCACCCTCCTCCCTCCTTCCTCCACCCTCCTCCCTCCACCCTCCTCCATCCACCCTCCACCCTCCTCCATCCACCCTCCTCCCTCCTTCCTCCACCCTCCTCCCTCCTTCCTCCACCCTCCTCCCTCCACCCTCCTCCATCCACCCTCCACCCTCCACCCACCACCCTCCACCCTCCACCCACCACCCTCCACCCTCCACCCTCCACCCTCCACCCTTCCCTCTCCACCCTCCACCTTCCACCCTCCACCCTCCACACTCCGCCCTCCTCCCTCCACCCTCCACCCTCCACCCTTCACCCTCCTCCCTCCACCCTCCACCCTCCACCCTCCTCCCTCCTTCCTCCACCCTCCTCCCTCTACCCTCCACCCTCCTCCCTCCACCCTCCACCCTCCTCCCTCCACCCTCCACCCTCCACCCTCCTCCCTCCTCCCTCTACCCTCCACCCTCCACCCTCCACCTTTCACCCTCCACCCTGCACCCTCCACACTCCTCCCTCCACACTCCGCCGTCCTCCCTCCACCCTCCACCCTCCTCCCTCCTTCCTCTCCTCCCTCCACCCTCCACCCTCCTCCCTCCTCCCTCCACCCTCCACCCTCCACCCTCCACCCTCCACCACCCTCCACCCTCCCCTCTCCTCCCTCCACCCTCCACCCTCCACCCTCCACCCTCCACCCTCAACCCTCCTCCCTCTACCCTCCACACTCCACCCTCCTCCCTCCATACTCCTCCCTCCACCCTCCACCCTCCTCCCTCCACCCTCCACTCTCCTCCCTCCACCCTCCACTCCACCCTCCACCCTCCACCCTCCCCTCTCCTCCCTCTTCCCTCCACCCTCCACACTCCACCCTCTTCCCTCCGTCCTCCTCCCTCCACCATCCACCCTCAACCCTCCTCCCTCCACCCTCCACACTCCACCCTCCTCCCTCCATACTCCTCCCTCCACCCTCCACCCTCCACCCTCCTCCCTCCACCCTCCACTCTCCTCCCTCCACCCTCCACTCCACCCTCCACCCTCCACCCTCCCCTCTCCACCCTCCACCCTCCACCCTCCACCCTCCTCCCTCCTCCCTCTACCCTCCAACCTCCACCCTCCACCGTTCACCCTCCACCCTCCACCCTCCTCCCTCCACCCTACACCCTCCACCGTCCTCTCTCCTTCCTCCACCCTCCTCCCTCCACCCTCCACCCTCCTCCCTCCACCCTCCACCCTCCACCCTCCACCCTCCGCCCTCCTCCCTCCACCCACCACCCTCCACCCTCCACCCTCCACCCTCCCCTCTCCTCCCTCCACCCTCCACCCTCCACCCTCCACCCTCCACACTCCGCCCTCCCCTCTCCTCCCTCCACCCTCCACCCTCCACCCTCCACCCTCCACCCTCAACCCTCCTCCCTCCACCCTCCATGCTCCACCCTCCTCCCTCCATACTCCTCCCTCCACCCTCCACCCTCCACCCTCCTCCCTCCACCCTCCACTCTCCTCCCTCCACCCTCCACTCCACCCTCCACCCTCCACCCTCCACCCTCCACCCTCCACCCTCCCCTCTCCTCCCTCCACCCTCCACCCTCCACCCTCCACCCTTCTCCCTCCATCCTCCACACTCCACCCTCCTCCCTCCATCCTCCTCCCTCCACCCTCCACCCTCCACCCTCCTCCCTCCTTCCTATCCTCCCTCCACCCTCCACCCTCCTCCCTCCTCCCTCCACCCTCCATCTCCACCCTCCACCCTCCCCTCTCCTCCCTCCACCCTCAACCCTCCACCCTCCACCCTCCACCCTCAACCCTCCTCCCTCCACCCTCCACACTCCACCCTCCTCCCTCCATACTCCTCCCTCCACTCTCCACCCTCCTCCCTCCACCCTCCACCCTCCACCCTCCACTCCACCCTCCACCCTCCACTCTCCTCCCTCCACCCTCCCCTCTCCTCCCTCCACCCTCCACCCTCCACCCTCTCCTCTCCTTCCTCCACCCTCCTCCCTCCACCATACACCCTCAACCCTCTTCCCTCCACCCTCCACACTCCACCCTCCTCCCTCCATACTCCTCCCTCCACCCTCCACTCTCCACCCTCCTCCCTCCACCCTCCACTCTCCTCCTTCCACCCTCCACTCCACCCTCCACCCTCCACCCTCCACCCTCCACCCTCCCCTCTCCTCCCTCCACCCTCCACCCTCCACCCTCCACCCTCAACCCTCCTCCCTCCACCCTCCACCCTCCTCCCTCCATCCTCCACCCTCCACCCTCCACCCTCCTCCCTCCTCGCCATTCCTTCTCCTCTATCCATCCTCAGGGCGAATGGGTGCAGGCAGAGAGGCAGCACGGCAGAGCGGCACAGCGGCACGGCAGTTAATATCAGTCAACGCCAGTCAACTCAAGTCCTCGGCATTATGATACGGTATGCAATTAACTGTACCCACACTCTCCTTTCATGTTATTTCACTTTCTGCATCCTCTAGCAGATTCTCCTTTCCTCTTCTTGTCCTCTAGCAAAGTCTCCTCTCCTTTTCTTTCATGTTATTTCACTTTCTGCATCCTCTAGCAAAGTCTCGTCCCTTTTTCCTAGTCCTTGTGTCTTCTCCTTGTCTCCTCTCCCTCACAACCCCCCAGAGCAGCGGCGCCTCGCCCTCACAGCCCCCAAGAGCAGCGGCGCCTCTCCCTCACAAACCCCCAGAGCAGCGGCGTTTCTCCCTCACAGCCCCCCAGAGCAGCGGCGCCTCTCCCTCACAACCCCCCAGAGCAGCGGCGCCTCTCCCTCACAACCCTCCAGAGCAGCGGCGCCTCTCCCTCACAGCCCCCCAGAGCAGCGGCGCCTCTCCCTCACAACCCCCCAGAGCAGCGGCGCCGCTCCCTCACAACCCCCCAGAGCAGTGGCGCCTCGCCCTCACAATCCCCCAGAGCAGCGGCGCCTCTCCCTCACAACCCCCCAGAGCAGTGGCGCTGCTCCCTCACAACCCCCCAGAGCAGCGGCGCCTCGCCCTCACAACCCCCCAGAGCAGCGGCGCCTCTCCCTCACAACCCCCCAAGAGCAGCGGCGTTTCTCCCTCACAGCCCCCCAGAGCAGCGGCGCCTCTCCCTCACAACCCCTCAAGAGCAGCGGCGCGTCTCCCTCACAGCCCCCCAGAGCAGCGGCACCTCTCCCTCACAACCCCCCAGAGCAGCGGCGCCTCTCCCTCACAGCCCCCCAGAGCAGCGGCGCCTCTCCCTCACAACCCCCCAGAGCAGTGGCGCCTCGCCCTCACAGCCCCCCAGAGCAGCGGCGCCTCTCCCTCACAGCCCCCCAGAGCAGCGGCGCCTCTCCCTCGCAACAGGGGTTGTGCACCCGCTGTGTTTGCGACTTACAGAGTGGGACGTTCTGTATGCGATGCGTGCACAAGACAGCGTCCAACCAATCGCACGCCACGTTCATCTGATGGCGACGATCTGCATGGGACGCTGCTACTTGCTGCTGCCGCCCTGAAGGATTGCGACTCGCTCTCTGCGTCCACGCTTCTCCTGTAGGAAGTCTCCCCTCCGCACCCCGTCCTCCCCTTCCTTTTTCCTTTGCTATCTCCATCTGTCTGTTTCACGTGCATTCGTTTCTTGGCGCATGGTGGTGGTGGTCCATGGTGCTATGGCAGCAGAGCTCATGTAGAGTGCAGTGCATTGGGATGGTGGGAGAGATTAGTGGGAGAGGGAGTGCATTCATGCCATGCGCGCGTCCCTCTCTACCCCAGTGCCCCCTCGCTGGCTCAGCTCGCTGCTCTAGTGCCGTGGGCAACTGTCGCCATGCGCTTTCCCCGTTCCCCCCTCCCACCACGATTCAACCACTCCATTTTCGCTGTGCCCCACCCAGCTGCGTTCCCCCCCCACCCAGCTGCGTTCCCCCCCCACCCAGCTGCGTTCCCCCCCCACCCAGCTGCGTTCCCCCCCCACCCAGCTGCGTTCCCCTCGCACCCGGCTGTGTTCCCCCCCCACCCTGCTGCGTTCCCCCCCCACCCTGCTGCGTTCCCCCCCCACCCTGCTGCGTTCCTCCCACCACCCAGCTGTGTCCCCCCCCCCTCCCCCCCTCCCCACAGCTGCGTTCCCCCCTCACCCCCACCCAGCTGCAACAGTACTATCAAGACATGCGTATTATGGTACCCTGCTGTATTTGTTTGGTTTGAGAAAGCTAACTTCTCGTTCACATTTTCCCCTCCTTTCTCATTTTACTGATTTTTTAAAAGCAGCACAGCTGGCTGTGCTGTAGAAACACCTTGAATTGAAACATCCAACTTAGGCACTACTGAAACACAATCCATACGAACCACAAGCCAAGCCACAACAGCACAAGCCCAACACCCGCCTTCAACCACACGACCTCCCCCCAGCATCATCTCCCCTTGCCTCCCTTGCCCCCCTTTCCCTTGCGTCGCCCTGCCGGCCCCTTGCCCCCCGCCTTGCGCCCCTCTGTGCTGCCGCTGCTGCCAGCACTGGCGGCAGCACTGGTGGGTTCAGAGGCAGAGGGGGTGGGCGCATGCGCATGGGGCTCTGGCGTCGCTGGTGCCTTGGGCTGCTGCTCCGTGTGTGCATGATCATGTGCATTCGCGTGGACATGGGCATGTGCATGGTCATCGGTGTGGGTGTGTGCATGGCCATGGTCATGGTCATGGTCATGGGAGTGGCCACTGCAACAGCCATCATCTTTATGACTATGTGCATGTGCGTCCGCGTGACTGTGCTTGTGCCCATGCGAATGCCCATGACCATGGGAATGCCCATGTGAGTGACCATGCCCGTGACCATGTGAATGACCATGCCCATGCGAATGACTATGCCCATGCCCATGCCCACCATGCCCATGGTCATGACCACAGCATCCCCGCTGCATGCCAGCAGCCAGCCCGCCAGCCCCAGCGCCCATGGCGGCCGCCACAGCCGCCTCTTCCTCCTCCTCCACCGCATCGCCAGCCGACGGCAGCAGCAGCTTCAGCCTGAACGCATCTGAGCCGTTCAGATAGTACCGGTGCAGCAGCTTAGCGCGTATGAACCCTAGATTCCCGTACAGCGCCAGCGCGCCTTCGTTAGTCACCTCCGCTTCAAGCACCACCTCCGCGCACCCCGCGTCGCGCATCGCCTCGATGCACCGCGACACGAGGCTCGTCGCGATGCGTCGCCCGCGGAACTCCTTAGCGACGACGAGCATCGCGATGTACCCGCGCGGCACGGCGCGCTCCGCCTCCATCTTGCACACCACCGCGCCCACGCACCGCCCCTCCGCTTCGCCCTCCGCCGCCTCAGCCCCGTCCTGGCTAGCGGAGCGCGGGGCGCGCGCGAGGAAGGTGAGGTGCGGCCAGTGGTGGAGGAAGTAGCGGTAGGTGAAGACGGAGTAGGGCTCCGACAGCTCGCACTGCACCAGCCGCATCACCGCCGCCAGATCCGCCTCCTCCGATCGGTACGCGTCGTACGCGATCGCGCCCTCGCCCGCGCCGCCCTTCGTCGCGTCGTCAACGCCGCCGCCCGCGTCGGCGCTTTCAGCGCAGTGCGGATCGGCGTCGGTGACAGCGGTAGCCATGATTTGATCTTATTCGACGACTGCCGCGTCGATTCTATTTGCGCAACGCTTCGACGCGATCTTCGCTATAACCGCCGCATGGCAACCTAGATATGATACGAGGTAAGGGGAAGCGGGAAGTCACATTTACTACAGCTTGACTTGTCCGTCCTGATCTTGGTTTTACCTTATCCCATTGCATATTCCTGAGAGCCAGCTCCTTTTGTTGCGAACAATTATTGAATGTGCGAACTTCGCCAGGCCGCTAAGCGAACTCAACATAGCAGAACCAGCAACCGCCAATCAGCAGCTTTCCCGCTCGTGGTCTGACCTCGAGCTCTGCTCGCTTTTCAACTGACAAGCAACATTGGGAACTGCTGCGCCCAGGTCATCCCAGCCGTCAGTCACCTCGGGATCTCCATAACTGTAGTTGCTTGAGCACAGCAATGGCTACTCTTTCTTGGTGAGTGGATTGCTCTTGCAATGCATCGATGGCCATTCTAACAGTTAGGCAGTCTTTTTTGCCAGTGTTAAATAGACTCTTTCTCGCCATCAATCTATCGTCGAGCGCGTGCTTGTTAGCACAAATATCTCGCTTTCATAGAGCCCTTTTTAGCTGTCGCAGTCTATCCGGCAGGCATTAGATGCACGACGGAGGGCCTCCTGGTTGAGGGACTCGCCAGCTCGTCCACGCATGGTAGATGGAGGCGTCAGAGCGACGCCCCCTCGTGGCTCGCGCAGTCAGGTCCTGCGACCACACGAGCGCAGATTCATCGTCGCACCGCTCTTCGCAGCGCTCTTCGCACAGCCATCGCAGTCACGACCTCCATCCGTTGACGAGCATCGTCGTATTCTGCGGCTATGGCGTCGCACTCCTCCTCGCATTCAACGTCATGCGATTGGGGCCTGCGTCGCCCTCGTCGCATCCCGTCGCAGCGTGCGACGCCTCGCGTGGCGACACGTGCGACTGGGCGACCCACGCGACCCACCAGCTGCTGCACCGCCCGTGGAGCCCTCCCGTGGCGGCGCTGGCCGTGTTGGGTTTCGCGCTGCTGTTGCTCCGCGCGCTTTCCGGGCAGGCGGCACGAGTGCGCGATTTGGAGATGCGATTGCGAGGGGCGGCGGGGGAACAGGCGGTTGAACTGGAGCGGGTGAGCAAGGGGGAAGAGGAGGAGAATATGGTAGGGAAGAAAGGGAGGATAGGAAAAGAAATTGACGCGGGGGAGGAGGAGGGAGCGAGAGCGAGAGGTGCGGATGCAGGCACGGCGGTTGGCGCATTGAACTCACGCGACGGGGACATGGCCGTGCGCGCAGCTGCCGACCTGCTGGTTCATGGAATAGCCGCACCCATGAGAGGTGCGCTGCGCTCCCCCTCCCGCTTCCCACCCGCCCCATCCCTGTCAGTTCCGCTTCTCCTGTGCTTCCCCCTCTCGTTACACACTTTCAAGCTCATTCGTCCGCCATGCGTGCGCGCGTGCCCTCTGCGCGCCTCCGCGTGTCCCCCACAGGCGCGCTGGGGATGCTGCGTCTGCTGGCGGCGACCGTGCGCGACCCCATGCATCTCGACCTCATCCACTCGCTCCACACCTTCGCCGCGCACCTCACCCGCCTCGCCGCCGCCGCGAGCGCCACCTGGCGCGCGCAGGACGGCCCGCTGCCCGTGGTGACGTCAGCGGTGGACGTGCGGGGGGTGGCGGACGCGGTGGTGGCGGCGGTGGGCGGGGAGGCGCGCGAGAAGGGGGTGGAGCTGGCGTGCCTCGTCATGGACGACGTGCCCCCGCTGCTGCTCTCCGACTCCCTCCTCCTCAAACAGGTCCCCGCTGCTCCCCGTTCCTTGCCCACTTCTAATACCCTGCCCCTGCTCCTCGCGCCTCATGCCATTCCCATTCCCGCATAGACCATCGCTGCTGCTTCTTTCCTACCCCTTCTGTCCCTCCTTCACGGCCTTCCTGCCTCTCTCCCTCCCCTCCCCCTCCCCACCTGCAGCTGCTGCTGTGCGTGGCGGCAGCAGCAGTGCAGCGCACGGAGCAGGGCCACGTGCTGCTCTGCGTGCGACTGCTGCACCCCCAAGAGGCCCTCCAGTGCCAGCAGCAGCATCAGCAGCAGCAGCAGAGAGGCGCGCATGAGCAGCACCGAGTGGTGGCGGTGAGGGGGAATGCAGGCGTGCAGCAGAGGCACGGCGAGGACAACAGCCTACTCCTGCCGCCCTCGCGCATGCCCCTCCCACCGCCCATCCACCACCACCCCCTCTCCCCGCCCCCCACCACAGCATCCGCCTCTGCCTCCGCGGCTCCTTTCCCCTCCGTCTTCTCCGCGCCCTCCTCCCCTTCCTCCCTCTTCTCCAGCCCGGATCTCCTCGGGCTGGGCGGCATCGCTCGGCGCCTAGCGGCGTATGCTGCTCCGTGGAGCGAGCAGGGGGGGCAGGAGCAGGCGGGCAGTGGGGCGGGTGTGTTTGCGTCGCTCTCCGCTGACTCCTGGCTGCAGCAGGGGGGGCTGGCACACAGCGATGCGTATGAGCACCGCCAGCAGCAGCGGCAGCAGCATCAACAGCAGATTCGCCAGGAGCAGCAGGAGGAGCAGCATCGGCAACAGCAGCAGCAGCAGATTACGCAGGAGCAGGAGCAGGGGGGCGGAGGGGTTGACAGTCTGAGTGGGAGGCGGGTGGTGGACGGGCGGTGCAGCTGGGGCGCGCTGAGGCGGCTGTTGGACGACCAGGAGAACCGATTCGCTGCTGCCATCGCACACGCTGTTGCTACTGGCAGTGCCGCCGCCGCTACTGCTGCTGCTGCTGGTGGCCGTGGCGGTGGCGGCAGCAGTGGGATGGGGCAGGTATGGGTGGAGGTGGTGGTGGAGGACACGGGCACAGGCGTGCCGCAAGCCGTGGTGGACGCACTCAACGCCATGGACTGCACTGCTGCTGCCCGTGCCTGTGCTGCTGCTGCCCGTGCCTGTGCTGCTCTACCAGAGTCGTTGCTGCCTCTCCATGCCACCACGCCCCTGCTGCTCGCCCACGCACACCTGTGAGTCCCAGGCTTGAAATTGGGCGGCTGGGTAGTGGGCACTTGTCCTTCCGTCGCCCCTGCCTCGTGCGCCCCTACCCTGCATTCGCCTCACGCCCACCCACCTGTCCCCATATTCCCCGTCCCCATACATGCCTCCTTGTCCCCCCTGGCAGCCTGGCGACCTCTCTGGGCGGCACTCTCTCGCTCACCACAGCACCCGCCATCGGCACCACCGTCGCTCTCACCATCCCCATGACACTCCCCCCCTTCGCCCCCACGCCCTCCTCCTCCCCCGCCCTCCTCCCCTCCGCGCCATCACCTCCCCCTCCCCATGCGCCTCTCCCCCCTGCCTTCCGCCCCGCCTCTGCGCCCTCCTTCCCCCGTGCGGGCAGCGGCAGCGAGGGGGGGTTGGCGGCGCTGGTGGGGCTGTGGGAGAGCGTGGGGGCGGACGGCGGGCTCTGGGAGGCCATGGGGCTGGGGGGGGGCGCGGGGCAGGGCGGGGGGGCAAGGGACCCCGGTGCTGCTGCAGCAGGGGGAGGCGCAGGGGAGGGAGGCGCAATGGGGGGCGCATATGAGGGGAACGGGGAGGGAGGTGCCAGTGAGGGGGGGGGCAGGGGGGCGTGGATGGGGGAGGTGGGGGTGAGGGAGGTGGGGGCGGTGGAGAGGAGGGCAGTGAGGGAGATGGGAGCGGTGGGGGGGGTGGGGGGCGAGCAGTGGGAGGTGGTGGCGCCGCTGGTGGAGCAGGTGCAGGGCGTGCGGTGCCTTGTCGTGGACTCGAACCCCATCCGCCAACAGGCAAGCCCGCCCTCTGCTGCTGCTCATACCAACCTTTGCTGCCGGCTGCCCACTGCACCCACTGCAATTGTTTCCCCTAGCCCCATGCCACATGGTATCCACCCTCTCCACCCTCATTTCCTCCTCTCCCTCCCCTTCCCCCATTGGGCCAGGTAGCAGCATCACTGCTATCCCGACTGGGCATGGACGTGGATCTCTCAGACAGTGTGGCGGACGCCGTCGCTGCCCTCCAGTGCGCCCCTCCCGCCCTGCACCCCGGTCAGTTGCCTTCCCCTGCGCCTCTCACCTGCCCTGCCCCTTCTTTGCAATTCCCGTGCTCTTTCCTTCCATTCTTTTTCTCAGAGCACCCTTCTGTCTCTTCCATGCATGCCTCCTCCCCTCCGTCTATACAGCAGCAGCGGCATGGCAGGGAGGGGTGGGGAGTGGTGGGAGCCGGTGGGACGTGGTGCTGGTGGATGCAGACTGCGATGGCTCCCCAGGCTCTGGTCTCCTTCTTGGCTCCCATGTGGCCCGCATCAATGCCGCCCACGCCGCCGCCCATGCCGCCCATGCCACACATGCGTCCTACAGCACCTCTGCTACTGCCCCCGCTGCAGCTGCTACAGCCGTTTCTGCAGGGGACGTGCACTGTGGGCAGGCAGCAGCGGCAGCAGCAGGGGCAGGGGCAGGGGCAGAAAGGGTGGGCGGAGGAGGGTTCATGCCATTGGCAGATGATGGCGTGGGGGGGGAGGATGAGGGGTGCGATGGGGCGAGAGAGGAGTGTGGTATGGCTGAGTGTGGTGGGGGCCCGGGCATGGGGGCAGGGCAGACAGAGCAGGGGGCATGCAGTGAGCAGAGGGAGGGGGTGGTGGAAGGGCGTGTGGAGAGGGAGGAGCGGAGTGAGAGGGAGCAGTCAGGGGAGTGCCACGATGTGCATGGCAGCTGGTCTCAAGAGGGGGAGCGAGGGGATCTCTCACAGCAGCAGCTCGAGACACAGCAGAAGCAGCGAGCAGAGGCAGAGGCAGAGGCAGAGGCAGAGGCAGAGGCAGAGCAGCATGTGTGGGAGGAGAGTGGCGAGTCGCTAGTGTTGCCCGCCATCTCATCCAAGCTCGTGCTCGTGGCTCAGGTCAGTGGCACTCACACGGGCAGAGGGGCACATGCAGGGGGCCAGGGGCATGAAGGTTGAGACACAGGGGTGGCGGTGGTGGGACGCACAGCAGTGCAGTGCCATGCCATTATGCTTGCGCGTGCTTACATACATGCATCGTTTGCTGTGTGTGTGCATGTGTGTGTGTGTGTGTGTGTGTGTGTGTGTGTGTGTGTGTGTGTGTGTGCGCGTGCGTGTGTGTGTGTGCGTGTGTGTGTGGGTGCGTGCGTGCATGCGTGTGTGCGTGCGCGCGTGCGTGCGTGTGTGTGTGCATGCGTGCATGTGTGCGTGCGTGCGTGTGTGTGTGTGTGTGTGTGCATGCGTGCATGTGTGCGTGCGTGCGTGTGTGTGTGTGTGTGTGCATGCGTGCATGTGTGCGTGCGTGCGTGTGTCTGTGTGCATGAACCGAGGGCGTGCAGGCAACGAGTGAGGACATGGCGTTGGCAGCAGCAGCGCACGGTTTCTCCTGCATCGCCCTCAAGCCCCTTCGAACACCAGTGCTCGCTACAGCCATGCTGCAGGTGTGTGTGTTTAGTTGGCTTGGAAACCTTGTAAAGCCTGTTGCAGCAGTGCTGTCGTATGGTTGTTGTCAATCTTCCAACCATTCCGTCTCATTGCCATTCCACTCTTCCACTCCTCGCTTCCTGCACATGCCCGTCTCCCCACCCCGCCAGGCCCTGGGCGTGAGTGCGAGGGAGGTGCAGCAGGCAGCAGCGCAGCAGCAGCAGTTGCACCTCAGACAATTGCTGCGAGGCAAAGTGGTGCTGGTGGGTGCAGAGTGGTGCTGGTGTGTGGGTGGTAGGCAGACAGGAATGAGTGTTGAGCATGGGGTTGGCAGGTCAATTTTTTCCATGCCCCACTAACAGGGTGGCACACACAACAGTCCGTGAGTACCACGCCCAGCTATCCCCTTAACATTCCCTCCTCTTCTCCCGCTCCTCTCCCCCGTGCCAGGTGGTGGACGCCTGCTTCACCACGCGCAAGGCAGCAGCAGTGGCCATCTCCCAGTTCGCCGATGCAGCCTGTGCCGTCGCCTCACCTGCAGAGGCCCTCGCACGCCTCTCCCCGCCCCACCACTTCCACCTCGTGCTGCTCTCCCTCTCCCTCCCCGACCTCCCCCCGTACGTTCCATGACCTCCCGGCACTGCTTCTTGTCACCTCTTTCCCCATACTTGATTAGTGCAGCATTTCCAGTCTCTGGCACAACGTTGCTTGCATTGTTGTTACTTGGAAAGGTACAGTTAACTTATGTGCATTTGATCCATGTGCGTGTGCGTGCTGGGCAACATCAGAGCACTCTTTGTGCAGCGCTTGCGAGAAATGGAGGCTGCAGCACCTGGGGATGCAGCGGGGGGAAGCGGGGAAGGCAGGGGAGTTGTGAGAGAGGCGGCGGAGATGCCTAGAAGCGCCAGTGGCGGCAGTGCTGCAGCTGGTGGTCCTGCAGAGGACGCATGCGGCAGCGGCGCCTGTCAAACTCCAGTGCCTGTGCTGGGAATGGTTACAGATTTCCTCTCCAACGACATGCCACCACGGTATGCAGCATTCTTGCCTTCCTACTCTTTTCAGCTTCTTGCACTGCCTTGCTCTGGTCTGTATAACCCGCATAGCAGAACAAATTCTCTGACACTAGTGCCTTGAAATGAATTGTGCCTTCCCCCATTTGAATCACCAGGTTGAGCGATTGCCGTGTAGACGGTCTCCTGGCGACACCCATTTGTGAATCTCAGTTGCTCTCAACTCTTAGAACTCTTGTTGCATGTGGAAAATTCATATGAACAGCATATTATGAATGCAAGTAACATGTACATTTTGCTGAACCAAGCCGCAAAGCGGGGCCAGGGGGGGAACACCATTCCTCTATCCGAGGGTGTGGCTGGTGCGTGCGATGGACTCGAATCTCCACGGACAAAGGGCTTACCCACCAGCTCAGCAGCGGGCAGCCCAATGAATCATCAAAGCAGTCAAACGGGTGTATCTAGGCGAATTTCGAGCCTAGATGTCGCTTTTCTGCATCTCCAGCCAATCACAGCTCATGGCGCGTTCTCGCACGGATGTTGACGATAAGTCGCTTGTGGAAGCGACCAACCCTAGTGTTCGCCAATGGCCCTAGACTTGCGTGTGGGATGAACAATTTGTTTCGCCAGACGTCGCACTGCAGCTTGCCGTTGCCACTCCTCCGTCAACTGGCAACCTCAACACCACATCGCCTCCTAGTCCATGCTCTTTAGCAGCTAACGCATTACAATAGTGGGTGGGAGCACTAAGCACCTATCCGTGGGGATGCGAGAATGGCTTTAGTCGCATCGAGCGTACGGGCCGCCGCCATAGACGCGTGTATATCGTCTTCCAGCGCGTTGATTAACGCGTCCCCGTCGTATGGACCAGTCGTCTCCCTCTCAGCTTCCTTAATTCGCTTAGCCTCGTCGCGTCTCTCACCAGGCAGCAAGTCCTCTTCCTTCCGTTCCCCGCACGTCTCCGCCGCGTCGTCATTCTCCTCCTTCTTTTCCGGTAGGAAGCTCGTCGCGCCATGCATACCACGGCCGGCGGTATCCCGCGATCAGCGGCGGTTGGCAGTAGTCTCGGCAATTGGGAGCGCAGAGAGTGGAGGCGCGGATGCGTTGGGGATGGCGGGCGAGGCGTACGGACAGATGGCCGAGGCGCTGCTTAATGGGTGAGCGCCACACACGACTGATAGGTTCCTCGCGAGCCCTAGTGTGCGACTAGACTGTGCGACTGAAGTGTGCGACGTGGATGGTCGTACTGAAACGAGTTTTAGTGGGTGCTAGAAGGGAGGTGGGATTGGAGAAAAAACAGCAGGTTTGAGCGGAAGCGTCGCAGAACGCTAAGCATGATGCGAGGTGTACGGATAAAGCGAGTGTAAGCGGGCATTGTCGCATGGAAGCTGGAATCGCAAACCGAAGGGCGATCACTGGGGAAGGCGAGCAGGCTCAAATGCTCTGGTAGATTGACTTCGTCTTTCGTTCTAGGCAGCGGTGTCTGCGTGTCTGCATAACACGTGCGCTGTGCTGCGTCGCATGTCTCGCACGATCGTGCTGCGTCGCATGTTACTCGCAGGCAACCGGGTTAGCCAATTTCGACTATATGCGCTCGTGACTCGCTGACTATACGCGCTCGTGACTCGCTGACTATACGCGCTCGTGACTCGCTCTGCGCTGCGCATTTCGCTCCATTGTGCCCGACTTCACGTCAATCCATGTCATGCCGCCCGGTCCATATCACTCCACGTCGTTCCACCGGGGCTCACATACTTCCACGTCATCTTGCCGGCTTTCACATATTTCCATTTCAATTTCATTATCCCTGCGGCGCCATGGCAGGTTGCCCCCCGAGGTGGAGCAGGCGGTGGTGGCGGTGCACCGCGAGATCGCGCAACTCGCGGCGGACGCCGGCCTCTCCATTCCGCTCAACGACCCGGTCAGTCGCGCCCGCCGCTCCGCCCACCCGCCATGCCGCCGCGCACCCGACGCGTGCATGCTTTCTCTCCACCGCCTCTGCTCTTCCTTCTCTTCCCCGTCGGCTCCGCGCATCAGTTCCGCGCTCCCCCTCTTCTGATGCCTTTCCGCCGCCCCCTTCCCTTCCTCCCCGTCCAACCCCCTCCCTTCTTGTTCCTTCTCAGACCACCACCCATCCTATCCCCGTCTCCCCCCGCCCTCCCCTTCCCCCCTCCCCGCGCGTCACCCGCGCAGGCGTCGTTGCGGCAGTGGACGGTGGCGCTGGTGCTGCTCGTGCTGTACGCCGCCGCGCCCCCCGCGCCGCTCATGGGGCTGCTCGACTTCCTCGTCGCGCCCCTGCACGCGCGCACCGACAAGTAATGCGCCCGCCTCGCGCCCGCACTCCCGTCCGCACTCCTGCTCGCACTCCGTTCTGCTGCCATCAGATCGCGTTGCTGCCCGTGTTCCACCAGAGTGCCTGCTAGGCCCGTGCGCGCCGGCCCTGCTGCTGCCCCTAACCTTCACCCTTGCTCCGCTTCGGCCCCTCTTTCCCGCTCCCCCTTCTCTTCCCCTCCCCCTTCTATCCCCTTTTCCCTGCGCCCTGCTCCTTGTTCCTGACGGCAGGGAGCTGGACCCGGCGCGGGTGAAGGTGGGGCGGCGGATAGGCGAGGGCAGCTTTGGCGTGGTGTACGAGGGTTTCATCTCCAACGGTACGTGGTGTACGAGGGTTTCATCTCCAACGGTACGCTCGCCGCTTTTTTCTTCCTTTATCTCCCTCCCTCTATATCCCTCTCTCCTTGTGTGCATGTGAGTCTCTGTCTCCCCTCTCGCACGTCAAGCCATGCCCATGTCCACTTCCTCACCACCGTCCCCGCTCTCCTGTGCTCCGCTGCGCCGTGTGTGTGTGCATGTGCGCGCAGGCAAGGAGGGGAAGGAGGGGCGGTGGGAGCGGCGGGTGGTGTTGAAGCGAGTGAAGACGCGCGTGAAGCACTCCGATGAGATGAGAGACGTCGAGCTCTACATGAACCACCGCCTGCAGGTGACAACAAGCATCCCCCCTTGTGGTGTCCCAGCTCCCGGCGGTTGTGCGCTTACTGCTCCCTTCTCACCGCCTGCTCATGCTACCCGCGCCTGACTCCTCTTCATTCCGCCCCTCCCGGCCTTCCGCTTCTTCCCGTTCCTTCCCCTTCCCCAGCGCACGGCGCCGGGCGTGTGTGCGCGGTTCATGGGCACCATGCAGGTGGCGGCGGAGCAGGCCAGCGGCAAGCTCGAGGAGGTGAGCGCACGGCTGCGTAAGAGCTGGGGCTGGGCTGGGGCTGTTGCGGGGTGGGGCGGGCCCAGGGAGGTATAGGGACGTTTGCACGTGGGAGCGGCGATGCACGGGATGGGTGCACGTGGGAGGCGGCATGTGGTTGCGGTGGGAGCAGGTGTCGTCTCAATGCCCCAACGCTCTGTGCCTCGCACCCTGCCCTGCCCCCACACACGTGCTCACTCACTGGCCCCTCACCATGCCTCCCACCCACTCCTTCCACCACCTTGGGTGTGTACGCGCACTTCGCTGCACCAATATCAGTAACCCATAAGTCACCTCCCCCTGCCATTCACCCTACCCCTCCCCCTTCCATCCTACCCTCCCCCCTCTCCCCCTGCCCCTTCCCCCTCCCCCCCTCCCCGGGGCGCCCCAACAGGGCGTGTGGCTGGTGTGGGAGTACCAGGGCGATCGCACGTTGGACCAGTTCCTGCGCCACCGCTCCTACCCGCTCAACCTCGCCAAACACGTGCTGGGCGTCGACGACGCTGTGAGTCGCCCGCTGGGCGTACGGGGAATGCAGGCGTGTGGGCGCCAGTGATATACATGAGGGCGGAAAGGCGGGGGGCGGGGGAGGGATGCATGTGGCGTGGGTGGGCATGTGTGGTGCTTGCTTTGCTAGGTCCACCCTGTGTCCTTGCACATGTGCTGCTCCCTTCACACTTGCCTCCCTGCTTCCCTGCCTGCCTGCGTGCGTGCGTGCACCTGTGTGAGAGCAGTTGTTGCGGGGCAGCAAGGGCAGCGGCGAGGAGGAGAGGGAGCAGCAGGTGTGGATGGAGTGGGAGGTGGCGCAGGAGGTCATGGGGCAGATCCTCTCCGACCTCGAGCACCTGCACTCCTGTGGTCAGTCACAGCACCACCCACCCACCACTGCCATGCTTGCCATCAACGCCACTGCAGTTCGCCCTGTCGCCTGCAGCACCAGCATTCGCTCTTACCCTTTCCTCTGGGCCACCACCATCACCATCACCACCACCATCGCCATTGCAACCTTCACTGTACCAAAATGCGCATTTCCCCACTCCCCTTCCCCTCCCCGCCCCCCCCACCCCCCACCCCAGGAGTGGTGCACAGGGACGTGAAGCCATCGAACCTGATACTGGACGAGCTGGCGGGCAGTCTGTGCCTCATCGACCTGGGCGCCTGTGTTGACCTGCGCTCCGGCCACAACTACGTGTGTCTCCCCCCCACCCGCCCCCTCTGCCCGCACTTGCTTTGCCATGCCTTTACTTGCACGGCGCCCCCCACCATGCCATGCCATGCCATGCCATGACTGCCCACTGCCCCCCACCATGCCATGCCATGCCATGCCATGACTGCCCACTGCCCCCCACCATGCCATGCCATGCCATGCCATGACTGCCCACTGCCCCCCACCATGCCATGCCATGCCATGCCATGCCATGACTGCCCACTGCCCCCCACCATGCCATGCCATGCCATGCCATGCCATGCCATGACTGCCCACTGCCCCCCACCATGCCATGCCATGCCATGCCATGCCATGACTGCCCACTGCCCCCCACCATGCCATGCCATGCCATGCCATGCCATGACTGCCCACTGCCCCCCACCATGCCATGCCATGCCATGCCATGCCATGACTGCCCACTGCCCCCCACCATGCCATGCCATGCCATGCCATGACTGCCCACTGCCCCCCACCATGCCATGCCATGCCATGCCATGCCATGACTGCCCACTGCCCCCCACCATGCCATGCCATGACTGCCCACTGCCCCCCACCATGCCATGCCATGACTGCCCACTGCCCCCCACCATGCCATGCCATGACTGCCCACTGCCCCCCACCATGCCATGCCATGACTGCCCACTGCCCCCCACCATGCCATGCCATGCCATGCCATGCCATGACTGCCCACTGCCCCCCACCATGCCATGCCATGCCATGCCATGCCATGACTGCCCACTGCCCCCCACCATGCCATGCCATGACTGCCCACTGCCCCCCACCATGCCATGCCATGACTGCCCACTGCCCCCCACCATGCCATGCCATGACTGCCCACTGCCCCCCACCATGCCATGCCATGACTGCCCACTGCCCCCCACCATGCCATGCCATGACTGCCCACTGCCCCCCACCATGCCATGCCATGACTGCCCACTGCCCCCCACCATGCCATGCCATGCCATGCCATGCCATGACTGCCCACTGCCCCCCACCATGCCATGCCATGCCATGCCATGCCATGACTGCCCACTGCCCCCCACCATGCCATGCCATGACTGCCCACTGCCCCCCACCATGCCATGCCATGACTGCCCACTGCCCCCCACCATGCCATGCCATGACTGCCCACTGCCCCCCACCATGCCATGCCATGACTGCCCACTGCCCCCCACCATGCCATGCCATGACTGCCCACTGCCCCCCACCATGCCATGCCATGACTGCCCACTGCCCCCCACCATGCCATGCCATGACTGCCCACTGCCCCCCACCATGCCATGCCATGACTGCCCACTGCCCCCCACCATGCCATACCATGACTGCCCACTGCCCCCCACCATGCCATGCCATGACTGCCCACTGCCCCCCACCATGCCATGCCATGACTGCCCACTGCCCCCCACCATGCCATGCCATGACTGCCCACTGCCCCCCACCATGCCATGCCATGCCATGCCATGCCATGACTGCCCACTGCCCCCCACCATGCCATGCCATGCCATGCCATGCCATGACTGCCCACTGCCCCCCACCATGCCATGCCATGACTGCCCACTGCCCCCCACCATGCCATGCCATGACTGCCCACTGCCCCCCACCATGCCATGCCATGACTGCCCACTGCCCCCCACCATGCCATGCCATGCCATGCCATGCCATGACTGCCCACTGCCCCCCACCATGCCATGCCATGCCATGCCATGCCATGACTGCCCACTGCCCCCCACCATGCCATGCCATGACTGCCCACTGCCCCCCACCATGCCATGCCATGCCATGCCATGCCATGACTGCCCACTGCCCCCCACCATGCCATGCCATGACTGCCCACTGCCCCCCACCATGCCATGCCATGACTGCCCACTGCCCCCCACCATGCCATGCCATGACTGCCCACTGCCCCCCACCATGCCATGCCATGCCATGCCATGCCATGACTGCCCACTGCCCCCCACCATGCCATGCCATGCCATGCCATGCCATGACTGCCCACTGCCCCCCACCATGCCATGCCATGACTGCCCACTGCCCCCCACCATGCCATGCCATGACTGCCCACTGCCCCCCACCATGCCATGCCATGCCATGCCATGCCATGACTGCCCACTGCCCCCCACCATGCCATGCCATGACTGCCCACTGCCCCCCACCATGCCATGCCATGCCATGCCATGCACTGCATCCCCATCCCGTTGCGGCGTTTCTCTCGCCTCATGACGTGCCACCATCCCCTCTACCCCCCCCTTCCCCCCTCCCCCCCTTCCCCCGTCCCCCCCTTTCCCCACCCATGCCCCTCCCCTTCTCCCCCCCCCCCATCAGGTGCCCAACGAGACGGTGATGGATCCCAAGTACTGTGCACCGGAGCGCTTTGTCATGCCGCCCGGCACCACACCGCCCCTGCCGCCCGACCCACTGGCGTCGCTGCTGTCGCCCTTCCTCTGGGCGCTCAACACACCCGACCGATTTGATGTCTACTCCGCTGTGAGCGCCCTCTCTCACTCGCCGTGCATTGCTCCCTCACTCCCTCACTCGCTCCATCACTCTCTCCCCATTGCCGCCTTTCCCGCCCGTCCTCCCCTTCCCCACCCGTCCTCCCGTTCCCCACCCATCTCGGCCTATTGATCTCCTCACCCTTCTCTCCCGTCCCTTCCCCCGTATGCCCCCTTCCCCCCGTGCTGTCCCCCGCAGGGCATAGTGCTGATGCAGCTGTGCATGAAGCGACTGCGCAATGCGTCTGCTCTGGTGCGTCCCTTGTGCCTCGCATGCGTCCCCCTCGCATGCCTGGGCGCCAAACGCTCATGCTGCACGGCCCACTGCCTGCTCCTTCCTACCTCTTTTGCCTGCCTCTCTGCCCGCCCCACCGTGCACTCGTCATCTCTTAACCCGAACCCCATCACCTCGTCCTCTCACATTGCTCTGCCGTTCCGCTGCCTCTGCCTCTGCTCGCCCCCCCTCCCTGGGAGCAGAAGGATTTCAACGAGGAGTTGAGGAGGTGCGATCACGATCTGGGCAAGTGGAGGGCCACGTTCAACCCCAGCGATGATGACATGGCCGTGCTTGACGCCAATGGTGCGGCCCCCATGCCTCCCATGCCCCCTTGCTGCCGCTGCATGCCACCATGAATGCCGCTCACCCCATGACTGAGAGGACAGACTGGAGCTGATACCATTACACAGACGCCTCTCATGCTCCTGTCTGCCCGTGCACCGCACGCCTCCCTTCCCCTCTCCTCTCACCGCTTGCCTTCCCTCCCCTTGCCCTTCCGTGTCTTGCCCCTCCTGCCTCCTCCTCTCCACCATCTCTTCCCCCTCGCCCCTACCCCCTGGCATGGCAGGGGGAGCGGCATGGCAGTTGGCGCAGCAGCTGCTGAGGAAGCGACCCAACCACGAGGAGGCCGTGTGGCCCAGCGGTGGGTGCTGGGTGCTGAATGCTGGGTGCCTGGGTGCCTGGGTGCTGTGGGGGCTATCCCGTGCATGCACGCACTCATGCGCGCCCACACCTTCTTTCTCACTGTCCCCTGAGCAATTGTCCATCACTCCACATGCAACTTCCACCTTGCATTTCCGTTCATCCTCATTTGCATGCGACCATCTCTCTTTTTTCTCCCTCCCCCCACTCTCACTCCTCCCCTCCCTCTCTCACCCCCCACATCATCCCCCCTCCCTCCTTCTCTTCCCCCATTTCCCCTTCCCGTCCCCCCAGCCATGGGCGGGCGGCCCTCCGCAGCCCAGGCGCTGCGCCACGCGTTCTTCTCCCTGCGCGCGCCAGAGCCCTTCCGCGCGTCACGCCTGGCAGCCGCCACACAGGCAGCGCTGTCAGGCACGGCGTATGCCACGCTGGGGCGCGGAGGGGGCGCCATGGCGCAGGCCAAGGCGCGCGCTGCCCAGGAAAAGGCCAGGGGGGCGGGGCGGGTGGAGGGGCGCAAGGGCAGGGCGGGGGAGGAGAAGGGGGAGAAGGGCAAGGCGCGGAAGGAGGCGGGGGAGAAGGGGGGGAGTGCTGGGGGAAGGGGAGGGGAAGGTATGGGCGTTGAAGGGCTGGTGATGGCGTGGGGGGGGAGGGGGAAGGGGGAGAGAGAGGATTCAGGGAGTGATGGGAAGAGGGCCGGTGGGAAGAAGCAAGGGGTGAAGGAGGCGGAGGGGTCAGGGGAGGGGAGGGTGGAGGAGGGGGTGGTGTTTGCGCTGCAGCAGATGTGGGCGGCTAGCAATGGGGGAGGGGGGAGTGGCAGCGAGAGCAGGGGGAAGGGACGCGAGGAGGGTGTGGGGTCGGATGGGAGTGGGAAGGGGGAGAGGCGGGCGCGGAAGGCAGGGAAGGGTGAGGAGGGGGTGAAAGGGGCAAGGCAAGGGGTGGCAGCAAGCAAGGGGGAGGCGCAGGGGCAGGCGGGCGCACGGGGGGCATTGGGCGCGCTGGGCGCAGGGGGGGGAGGGCAGGGGGCGGAGGTGGTGCTGGAGGCGCTGAGGCGGGTGCTGGGGGAGGGGGTGGGGGCGGAGGGGGGGAAGGGGGAGCAGGGCGCAGTGGAGGGGCCGGCAGTGCGGTGGGGGGAGGGGGGCGTGCAGGGCATGGTGAGCGAGGGGCGGCGGGTAGTGAGGGAGGCGTTTACTGGCGCTGTGGTGGCGCATGCGGAGGCTTACAGTGGGGGGGCGGAGGGCAGGGCGGGGGACAAGGGCTCTGGTTCAGGCAAGGACAAAGGGTCTGACAAGGAGGGCGGGTCGGGCAGGGAGAAGGGATCAGGCAAGGATGGGAGTGGGGCGAGCAGGGAGAAGGCATCATCGAGTAAGAGCAAAGGGGGGTCAGGGAAGGGGGATGGAGGCGAGGGGGGTGGGAGCAAGGGCAGTGGCAGGGGGGAGGCGAAGGAGGCAGGTGGGAAGGCGAGGAGGAAGAAGGAGGGCAAGGGGGCAAGGAAGAGAGAACTTGTGGCCGCAGCCATGGGCAGCAGTGGCAATGGCATTGGCAGTGGTGGCAGTGCAGTGGAGGTACCATTCGACCTGCAGCGCTCCAAGGTGGCGGCGGCCTATGTGCTGGGGTCCGCTGCTGCCTCCCTCGCCCGCCTCTTCGTGCCCCTCCAACCCTCCCCCGCTGCCACCGCTGCCAGCGCCCGCCCTGCACCAGCGCCTGCTGCTGCTGCTGCCCCAGCAGCATCAGTGCCAGTAGCAGTGCCAGCAGCACTAGCAGCGGCGGCAGCATCAAACAAAAGAGCAGCAGCAGCAGCATCAGTTGCTGCTTCAAATAAGAGAGCAGCAGCTGCGGCATCAGATGCAGCAGTGCCGGCAGTTGCTGCAGCAGTGGTAGAAGAGGGTGTGGCGCAGCAGCAGCGGGGGCAGGTGGGGGGGCAGGCAGGCGAGCGGAAGAGCGAAGGCGATGCAAGGCAGGTGAAAGGGATGGGGGAAGGCGAGACGGGTGGGGCAGGGGGGGGAGGCGCACTGGCGCAGGCGCTGCTGCAGTGGGTGAGGGGAAGGGCAGGCGGGGGAAGTGATGCAGGCGGGGGGAGCAAGGGAGCAGCAGCACAGGGCGATGGGGGGCGGGGAAGTGTCAAGGCCAGGGGTGGTCGAGGAGAGGAGGGTGGTGAGAGGAGAGCGGGGAAGCGAGGGAATGGGGGTGAGAATGGGGGTGGTGGGATCTCGGGTGTGCGATTGAGGTGGGGGCTGCTGGGACTGGCAGCCAAGGGCGTGGAGAGAGGCATGGAGCGGGCCAGAGGGGGAGGCAGGGGGGGCGTGGGCGGCGTGGGGGTGAATGGCAGGATGGGGGGGGTAAGACTTAAGCCCAGTGCCACTGCTGACGTGGCAGACCCTGTGACGGACAATGGCATCATCACTGACATCACTCTGGATCCGCAGGCCATTGCTGACGTCAGCCTGCTGCTGGCGCTGTGCAGTCAGGGTGATGAGGAGGAGAGGGAGAGTGGGGGAGAGAGTGGAAGCGAGGAGGGGAGTGAGCGGAGCTCTGCAGGAGTAGGGAAGCAAATGCCTTACAATAGCAGCAGCAGCAGCAGCAGCAGCGGTGCGGTTGAAGCAGAGCAAGCTGCGTCTGCCACATCAGGCACCTCTTCAGCACAAGAGGACCTCTCCGCCGCACCAGCCTTGGACGTATCTGCCTCTGCACGCGCCCTGCCACCCACCTCCTCCCCTCTGGACCCCGATGCGCACCCACTGGCGGCAGCACTGCTGGCAGATGGCGGTGTGGGCGGTGGCGAGGGGGCGTTGGGTGTGCAGCAGGCAGAGGTGCGGGTGGGGGACGATGGGAGTGTGCGAGTGAGTGCGAGCGTGGGAGGCGTGGAGAGCACTGTGCTGCTGCAAGCCGACAGCACTGGGGCGCTCGTCATGGCCGTGGGGGAAGGAGCCACCGGGGGCCAGGTACCCTCAGCAGCAGCAGCTGCAGCGGCAGCAGAGGGCGCAGAGGCGAGTGCAGTGGCAGCAGGTGGCGTGGGAGGGTCCTCGCTGTCTCCTGCCGCGCCACAGCCCCTTGCCACCGCAGCCTCCACTGACACTGCCCCTGGACAGTTGGTGCTGCCGCTGTGGGGGTGGCTGGGAGGGCGAGAGCCAGCCAGGGAGGCATTGGCAGAGGCAGCGGCTCAGCTGGCTGCAATTAGAAGCAAGCTGCCCTCCGCCTCCCCTCCTGCGCCCTCCACCTCCCTCCCTGCACCCCCCTCCACCTCTCTGCCCGCTGCTTCCCTGCCTGCACCCTCTGCTTCAGCACCTGCACTGTCGCCCTCAGAGAATGCAGCCTTGGTTGCTGGTGGTAGTGGGGAGGAGGAGGCGAGTGGGGAGGAAGAGAGGCAGAAGCATCTGTTGTCTGCTGTTGATGTGCCTGCTGTGCGTGCTGTGGCTGAGCCATCAGTCTCAGACGAGAAGGCAAGCCAGATAGGAGTGGAGTGGAGAGAAGCAGCGGAGGGAACACTGGTGGTGAGACTGGGTGCAGGAGAGAGAGCGGGCTTGGAGAGCACAACCGTGCTCACAGTGGATGCCACGGTGGGGGAGCATCTGGGCCAACAAGGGGGCAGCAACAGTAACAGCAGCAGCAGCAGCAGCAGCAGCAATGGTGTGTTGCAAGGGCTGCAGGAGCAGCTGTCAGTGGGCCTGTCTCCCTTTGCGAGTGCCATTCGGGCCCTGACAGGGGTGTCACTGTGGGGCGGGGGGCAGAGGGTGCAGGGCGGCATGACAGAGGGGCAGGTGAGGGAGCAGCTGGAGGAGCTGCGGCGGAAGAGGGAGGCGCGGCGGGCGGGGGCAGAGGGGCTCAGCGCTGCTCTGGCGGGGCTCAACAGCCAGATGGTGGACCTGCAGGCCACACTGCAGGAAAGCAAGCAAGCCGTCACGGAGCAGAAGAAGATTCTCACTCGGGTAAGATTGTTGGTTGTGAATGGTGTGCCATTTCTTGGTGCCGTTGTTAAGCCTGCAGTTGAAATGAGTGCTTAAATTCCACTCTTTCTGTTATGGTTGCAGATGGAAGTGCTATTGCTGGAGGCTGAAGTTATGCAGGCAGAGTACTAGCCATCTGCAGAAGAAGTGGCCTTGTAAATTCGGAATTAGAGCATGTGAACGTGTCTGGTTTGTTATGTGCACCAGCTGTCATCAAAAGTGTAGTTTATTAAGGTTTTTAATTGAATTCATGCTGTCGCAATCTTGCCTGACTGAGAAATGCCCCCATTGGCCTAGCGTGTTGGTCTGTCAGAACTCGCCATCCAAATTCGCCAGCCGCCTCGACTGCACTGGCGCCATCCCGCTTCGCAATGGTCCCAGGGCGTCGCGCTTCGCCCGAAAATTGAAACGGCAGGCCCTCCATCCGCCGTTGAGGGGGACAAGTCGAAGTTGACGGCCAGCGGTGCTGAGATGTCGGCCCGCCATCACCTTCTTCACCACTCGCTGCTCGCTGCACTATGCTCCCCCAACATATTCTAACGCCAAGCATAACTGTCTCCGCAGCAGGCCGTCATTCCTCATACTTGTTGTTCCTCTGTGCTGAGTTTCTCGAAATTACCTCGCTTGTTCAGCCTTGGCAGATAGATTTCTTGATTTCTCCTGCCCACTCTCGCTCAACGCTAGCAATTCGAGCCTTCGAGACTCGCTGACATCGACAACATGGCTATCTTGGCAGCTCAACCCTCCACTCCACACTGTCTCGTTGACAGGAAAAGCTCCTACTTAGTTTCTCAGGCTATAAGTCCCATCGAGGATTGCGATATTCTCTCGCCCATAATTGACAGGTAAGCCCGTTATTCATATTCTAATCAAGCTCTCCCCATGCTGGAAAATTCGTCTGAGACGGTATTGTTTCCCTGGTTGCAGCATATCGTGCATCCACGAGAACAAGGAGAACCTGGAGCTCGGCAGTTTCGAGGAGCGGCTGGTGGACGCCTTTTGCCGCGGAACCCTCGACGCCGAGGTGCCGCGAGCCATCGACGACATCATCGCCCTCGCACAGCGCCTCAGCCTCTCGCACGGCGACACGCACGCTCGCGAAACGAGCCACGCGAGCGACGCTGAATCGCCAGTCTCTGTCGTCCGGCGATCGCCTCTGAACGACATCTCGTCGCTCCACGGTGACGACGACGACCAGGTAAGCCTCGGAAACAGCTCTTTGCGAGGGAAAGACGTCGCTCTGACATATAAATGACTCATCAAACGATCTCTCCTTTCGTCACTTGCAGGTTCAGCCAGCCCGCAAGTCCAGCTCTGACAAAGGTCAACATAAAAAGAAGCAAGTTTCGAGAGCATCGTCTTCCTCTGTGGCTACCCCTCTGGGCACGCAGAGGCGGCGAGGCAGCTCGGCCCCGTCGCGCGCTACTGAGCGAGCCCCCCACGCGGCCGAACGACGCGCAAGAAGCTGCGCTGCTCCGGCCTCTGCATTCCGCTGACCGCAACTCGCGCGCAGACTCCAGTAGTTCCCCGCGCTGCATGGCCGCAACTGGCAGTTCCTCTCCCCGGAACTGAGGACATCACAGATTGAACGCCCAGTATAACGTAGCAGCTTCAGCGCAAACAGGCAGCTAACTTGTTTTTCACCTGCAGAGTTGTAAAGACATCCTGACTGACACTCGTCCTGGTAGAAGTGAAAGCGATTATAATTCAAGCAAGCATATATTGGTTGCTATATTAATTTCCAAAAGAGTCCACCCAATATGCTCATCAATGGCATCTCAAGGGCTAGAGTGCAGCGTCAAGGATGCATGTGCTGCAACTGCTGCAGTGAGAGGAGACGCCCCTGAGGCAGGAAGGGATGGGCGTCCACAGGCATGCTGCCTCGCCCCAGATATGCCATTATCATGTCAGCTGTGCCTGGCGCCTGCACCATGCAAAGGGTTATTCCACATGGGAGGTAGGGAGGGGAGGCGGGGGGTCAAAACACCTGGGATACGAGCAAGCAAGCAAAGAGCACATCCCTGGCGGAATCAAGGTGAAATGGTGGTGTGCCAACCAGCACTCACCATCAGCAGGCCCGACCCCTCGTGGCCCAATGCAAAGAGAACACCTGGAAGTGAGTCCACGGGGCCAATCAGAGGCCTCCCATCCGGTGCTGCAGACAGACAGGTGGATGGGATAGTGAGGTGGCTGCGTGCAATCAAGGATGCACAGGACAATGAAGGACTGTGAAACGAGCCTGAGCAGGACTCACCATATGGGCGCAGCCCCGTGCGAACAACATTCACCCGAGCAGCTATTGCCTCGTCCTCTGCTTGCTGCAGCAGATGTGCGAGGGAGGGCAGGAAGATGGCCGTGCGGCGCACAATGGCAGCGATGGTGGGCGCATGGGGCTCCACACTGAAACCCGCCAGCTCCCTGCTGCTGCCTGGGGGGAGGTGGTGTGCATGGAGGGCAGCAGCCATGGAACAAGTATGAGGCGAAATGCAGAAGAGAGGTTCTGGCATGTGCGAGGTGGGAGGGGGGTGGGCAAGTGATGTGTGTGAGCGGGGCAACAAGAGGGCAGGGCTTGGGGGAGTGGGAGGAGAGAATGGCGCACCGATGAGCAGGTGGCCGAGGTGGTCGCACGTGGCAGTCATGGAGATGGCAGCGGGCGGGGGCGGCTGCATGGTGGCTGTGGTGGTGGGGCTGGGAGAGAGCCGTGGGGTGGCAGGCGAGGCAGTGGGAGCTGAGGGGGCGGCATAGTTGGCGGTGTAGTCAAACTCCATGAGGGCATGGCGCAGGGAGAGCGAGGGGGGCACGTCCTTGAGCTGCAACAGGAAGCCCTGTAGGTGTGGCGGGAGGTGGAAAAGATAGAGGGACGAGGGTGGGAGAGAGGAGGTTCAAGAATGGCAGCATGTCCAGACGTTCAGGTGTTTACAGGTGTGCATATGGGCTGAGAGTGGTAGAGCTGGCACTGCAGCTTCGTGCCTTCTATGCAGCATCCAGTGTGTGACCAGAGCACCCATCACCTTGCGAGGGCGCACGTGAGGCACCACCGGATCCTGCTCCCTGCTGCCATCCCTGGTGCTTGCTGTACTGCCGCCCAGACTGCTTGGACTCTCCTCTGTGGGAGGGCCATCATGAGAGGCTTGCGGGGCGGTGGCGTAGGCAGGGGCGGTGTGAAGCAGGGCGTGGGCGATGAAGCCCGAGGACCACGTGCCCGTCGCCACCACCACCGCCTGCGCTGCCACCACCCTCCGCTGCCCCGTCTCCACTCCCACCACCCTGCCGCCTCCTGCCGCCCTGCACGCTCTCATGGGAGGGTGTTTGCACCCAAGAACATGCATTTGCACACATACACACACAAACGTAGTAGCATACACAAGCATACAGACACATGCATGCACACACAGACACTGCACACAGATGCACATGCCAACGGTACACACTCCACATGCAAACACGTGCTTGCGAGTGACGATACAGAAGCAAGGCTCGTTGCCCTCGCTAAACATGTCTAGCAGTGGAGCTTCAGCAGCAGCAGGCGGGAGGCAGTGAGCAGGGGGCGGGGGGCACTGACCAGAGGAATTCAGTGGCGCTCTCTTCAAACAGCTCCATGTAGCGCCCCGATGCGGCATGCTGGCGACACCGCTGGGCGTGGCAGGCTCGCATAGGACAGGAAGTACGGGAGTGAATGGATAAAAAGCAGGACGATGGACGGAACAAAAACAGAATCGGAGTGCTGACGGAGGATTGGATTCTGTGCAGGTGCAGGTGAGTGTGTGCCATGGCATGGCATGGTATGAAGTAGCACCATGCCCTGCCATTCACTGCAGCACGTACAGCGAGCAGGGCGTGCATGGCGAGGCGGGCATCGAGCTGCCAGTCGGAGGGCAGCAGCAGCGCGGACGAGCACCCAGCCGGCAGCTGCAGCGCCGGCTCCACGTCCCTCAGGGCGGCAGGGGACAGCAGGTGCGCTGGCAGCCCCTCCTGCTGCAGCGCCTGGTGGTGCTGCTCCAGTGGGGCTGCGTGGGACGGCTGTGATGGCACCAATATGCTGCCTGGCGGTGGGGCAAGGCAGGGAGAGGCAGCGAGAGGCGGGGAGGTGGAGTGGAGAAGCATGGCATGTCAGCTCACCTACCTCACAACGGTCCTGCATGCCCAACCAACCCATTAATTGCTCTCTAACTCGCCAGCCAGCCATGAAAAGGGTGAGAGGAGGAGCAAGCGTGGGAGGGTGCAGTGCAGTGAGCATGCACTCAGCCACCGCACGTCCACAACCCATGCCTGTATTGATGCGCCCCAGCCGCTGAGCCCTTGCCTGTGGTCATGCGCCCCAGCCCCTGGGAGCAGCCTGTGAGGCGCCGGTGGTCCGCCTCCAGCCCGCCCGCCATCTCCTCCCACCTCCGCTTGCTGTGCTCCGCTAGCTGCCATGTCACACCGCCCGGGGAGCGATGCGCCATCCAGATGTAGCCCTGCCCTGCCACCATGCCAGAAGAACAATGCGGCGTAAAAGTCTCAACTTGATGTACCGTGCAGCATGCAAGGGCGGCATGCAGCATGCTCCCTTTCAGCGGAATACTGCAATCCCACTTCCTCACCCCTCACTCGCACTGCCCCTTGCTTTCCACCACTCTCACGCCTTCCCCTTTCTCTCATCCTCTCCTCGTCTCGCTTCGCTCCCTCATCTCATCTCATCACTACCAGCTGTGTTGTGGAACCATCTGCCCCTGTTGCCCCCTCGCCTGCGCCTCTCACCTGCGCGTCTCACTGCGCCGCTCACCTGCGCCTGTAGCCCCGGCACAGGGCCAAGCACTATCAATCACCGCAACTCTGGTGTCGGGTGATGACATCAGCAGTGCGTCAGCGATGCACAGCCCCACCACGCCAGCACCCACAATGACCACGTCAGCCTCCACATCCCCCGCCGCTGCCTCCGCGTTCCCCCGCCCCCACTCCTCCTCCCCGCCCCGCGCCCCTCCCCCCGGCACCGCGTTCTCCCACGGAAACGACGCCAACCCAGCCGCTTCCGCCGCGGAGCGGCACGCCGTGGGTCGGCGGACGGCGCGAGGCGGGGCGGCCGGCGATGTGGCTGGGGGGAGCGCTGTGCGGAGGGCGGCAGGCGCTGTGGTGAGCGCAGCGGTCAGGCGCAGAGGAGGCCGCGGAGAGCGCAGATGGGAGTGCTCGGGCGACGAGCGGCGGCAGGGAAGGGGGGGGCGCGAGATGCGCAGCGGTAGCGCCATGGCGTCGCGGGAGGAAAAGCGTGCGGGGCGGTCCTAGGGTGGCGCGACAGCGAGATGGCGGAATGGTGAGTTTGCGGGATGGCGCTGCGGTGGGGTTGGAATGTGGCTGGCGGGGGGAATTTGGCTGATGGGGGGAATTTGGGCCTGATCTACATTTGGAAAGATATCCTCTTTATAGAGTAATTTTAGAACCTAAATCAAATCGGACATTTAGCTACACTTTCGAAACATCAGACAGATTCTTTTTGCGCAATGGACGACACACGGCAATCACGAGAGGCAGGAGTTGAAGTGCGGAGCATCAAAGCCAACACCGAGATGCTGCACCGGCCAACCCAAGGGAATATCGCGAATCCCAAGGCTCGAATATTCGCATTTCGCCGTCATCCCCATCCCATACACCTCCATGGCTTCCCTTCTCCCGCACCCCCTCGCTCGTCCCGCGCCACCCACTCACCAAAGCGTCACCCCGCCCGCGACTCTCCATTCATCGCCTGCACTCGCCCCTACGCTCTCCTCGCGCCCCGCATTCTGCCATTCGCCGCTCAGATTACACACCCGCCCTATCTTCAGCACGTGCACAGCGCGCCAATCCCAGGCCGTTTCTTCCGCCTCCGCCATGCCTGCGCCACCCGCCCCGGTCCCCGAACACCTCGTGCAGTTCGCGCACCGCCTGGCGGATGCCGCGCGGGAGGTCGTTCCGCCGTTCTTCCGCCAGCCAATCGGCATCGAGCTGAAGGCGGACGAGAGCCCGGTGACGGCGGCGGATCGCGCGGCGGAGGCGGCGATAACGGCGCTGATCCGCGCGGAGTACCCCGCGCACGGCATCCTGGGCGAGGAGCAGGGGCTGCAGGGGCCCGTGCTGGGTGGAGACAACGGGGAGGGCGCAGCGGAGGGAGAGGGCAAGGGCGAGTGGGGGGGCGAGTGCGAGTGGGTGTGGGTGATCGATCCGATCGACGGCACGGCGAGCTTCATCACGGGCAAGCCGCTCTTCGGCACGCTCGTCGCGCTGCTGCACCGCGGCCGCCCCGTGCTCGGCGTGCTCGAGCAGCCCGTGCTGCGCGAGCGATGGGTCGGCGTCGCGGGCCGCCCCACCACCTTCAACGGCGTCCCGGTCGCCACGCGCCGCTGCGCCGATCTGCGCGACGCGTACGTGTACACCACGTCGCCGGACCTCTTCCCCGGCGCCAGCGGCGAGGCGTTCCGCGCGGTGAAGAGCGGTGCGCGCAAGGCGAACTATGGGTGCGACTGCTACGCGTTCGGGCTGCTGTCGAGCGGGTTCGTGGACGTGGCGCTTGAATTCGGCGTGAAGCCCTGGGACTACCTCGCACTCGTCCCCATTGTCGTGGGCGCCGGTGGGCGCATGAGCGACTGGCGCGGGCGCGAGCTGCGGCTGGCGTCGCTGCGCGCGGAGGACTGGGTGGGCGACGTGGTGGCGACAGGCGACGCGCAGCTGCATGCGACGGTGCTGGCGACGCTGGCGTGGAAGCAGCGCGGCAAGGGCGAGTGACTGGCACGCAGTGCTGGGAGCGGACGGGGGAAAGGGCGAGGAGGCTGCGAAGGAAGGGGGAAGGCGGGGATGACGAGAGGGCGAAGGGGTGGGGGTGAGGGGTGACGACAAGGCGCATTGTGTGAGGGGGTGGGAAAAGCAGAGCAACTGTGAGAGGCAGATGGTGAGGTCCGTGGGGGAGCACAAACAATGGGCTGGCTGGCGTTGCTTCATGGGTGCTGGCCCCCTCATGCCTCCACAACACACTCATCCTCCACACACTGCTGCTCCACCGCCTAACAGAGGCAGCAAGCCAAGGGAGCAAAAGCAGTCATGGCAGCATGGCCAGTTTGCATGTCACTTGGACGTCATTGTGATCCACACTCGTCCTACTATATTCCGCTCGAATAAAAGAGTTGCCTGCTTCACCGTGTGGCCGTGTATGCAGACTTCACCACAATCATATGAGAGTGTAGCGCATCTGCTGTGTTACTGACCTCAAGTAGTCAAGCTTGCAGTTTTTCTTACTGCAGCCTTGGTTTCTCCTCATGTGAGCTGCACGTGGTGCGGGTACGGTATGTGGTTAGGCTGACTTGATATGCCAGTCCTGGTAGTGTTCCTGCACCAGTGCCGCCTCACTTGCCCCCTGTGCCGCCACTGACTGCCGTGCTGCTGCCGCTGGCCACCTGCATGGGATGGCCTCTTCATCTTACACAAGCCCTTAACATGGGGCCCATGCTGTTCTGCTATTCTGATTTGTGCTCCATGATTCCAGTCTGTAGCCAAGTAAGCAGCACCTCACTCACAGTAAGCTGATCACTTTCTATCATGCTGTGCAATTCGAGTTAGCATTTTGCTAGATCAACTGAAGTGATATGATCAGATGTATGATACGGTAGATCCTTTTCAACTGTCCATGAATTTGCTAAATGTACCCTGTTTCATCATGCTTCCAAACAAATGGTATTACCTACAAGAACAATTTTGTGTTCCCGAAGGCGGGGCGCTGATATCGGAGCACAGTACCTAGAACCTCTCGCAGATCGTCTCGCCAGTCCCTTTCAAAACTTTCCCGAAACGGCCTCCGCCATGCAGCCCCGCGCTCTCCTCCCCCATTCCCCGCGCCCTTCCGCCTTTTCCCCGCTCACCCATCCCCTGCTCACCCGCGTTTCCGCCGCTCCCCGCCGCATCTCGCCTCGCGCCCAGCAATCAGGAGCTTCCGACACTCCGCGCGCCGATGCGCCCGCGCCTGCGCAGGCCACGATGGCGGACGGCACGGAATTTGTGCGCGCGCATCTGCTCCGGCTGAAGCCCTACACCCCCATCGTGCCGTTCGAGGTGCGCCCATCCGCCCTTCCAGGTGCGCCCATCCGCCCTTCCAGGTGCGCCCATCCGCCCTTCCAGGTGCGCCGCGCCGCCACGCCGCGGCTCTGGTCATGGCGTGCCGTCACCAGAATTCCCCCGTGTTCGAAAAGGCGTGGCGTGCGTGGCATCGCCACGGATCAGCCCCAGCTTCCGTCTGCGCCCTGCATTGCATTGCCTGCCTTGCGTACCCCCCTCAACACCCTCAATCCCATCGCGCCTCTCCTCCCCCCACAGTCTCCGCATCGCTCACCCCTCTCCCTCCCTTCCTTCCCCGCCCCTCTCACTGCACTGCTGCCCCTGGGCGGGCGGGAACTTGCGCGCGCTTGGATTGGGGGGAGGGGGGGGGGGTGGCGGAGCAGGTGCTGTCGGCGCAGCTGGGGCGCGCGCCAGAGGACATCGTGAAGCTGGACGCCAACGAGAACCCCTACGGCCCTCCGCCCGAGGTGCGCGCTGCCGCCCTGTGGGGGGGGAGAGTGCATGGGAGAGGGGGGAATGCAGGGGCAGGGGGGAGTGCAGGGTCAGGGGGGAATGCTGGGGGCAAGGGGGAGTGCTGGGGGCAGGGGAAATGCATGGTGCGGTAGCAGTGAGGGTGGTGAAGGGGGTATGTTGGAGGGCAGGGTGCATGTGCATGGGTTCTCTTCGACCACCCATGCCTGCCATGCCTGCCCTTCCTGCTTGCGGTACGGCAATTCTCCCATTTGGTATGAACGCATGTGTGTGTGTGTGTGTGTGTGTGTGTGCGTGTGTGTGTGTGCGTGCGTGTGTGTGTGCGTGCGTGCGTGCGTGTGTGTGTGTGTGTGTGTGTGTGCGTGTGTGTGTGAGTGTGTGTGTGTGCGTGTGTGTGTGAGTGTGTGTGTGTGCGTGTGCGTGTGCGTGCGTGCGTGCATGCGTGCATGGGTGCATGTGTGCATGGGTGCGTGCGGCACATGGGAGAGCAGGTGAGGGAGGCGTTGGGATCACTGTCATTCCCGCACGTGTATCCGGACCCGGAGAGCCGGCAGCTGAGGGCAGCATTGGCGCAGGACTGTGGCGTGCCCATGGAGCATCTGCTCGTGGGCTGTGGGGCGGACGAGCTCATCGACCTCATCATGCGGTACGAGCTCATCGACCTCATCATGCGGTAACCCTGCCCCTCGCCCCTTCTCCCCCCGCCCCTGTCCTTCTCTCCCCTTCCCTCCCTCCCCCTTCCCACGAGTGCATTGTGACTGGTCACGCATTTCAGGCTAAAATCGTGTATCATTTGCACCCCTGTCCCGCCTTTCCCTGTGCCGCTTTCCTTCCTTCCTTCCCGTGTGTTGTGTTGGTGTATGCTCGCATGTGTGTGACGGGATGGCGGGCGGGCAGGTGTGTGTTGGAGCCGGGGGAGGCGATAGTGGACTGCCCGCCCACGTTCACCATGTATGCGTTCGACGCCCATGTCAACAACGCGCGCGTCATCACGGGTAAGCCGAACCTGCTCCACCTCAAGGGGGCACCTCAGGTGGGCACAGCAGGGGGCCACCGCAGGCCATTCCATGAATGCCTTGCCGCACATCCACTTTTGTTTCCTCCTCTCGCTGCTCCTCCCCTTGCACCCACTCGTCTGCTGGATCTCCCCTCCCCCACACCGTGTGTGCCGCACCCCCCTGTGCTCTCAGTGCCACGGCGCGGCGACTTCTCAATCGACGTGGCGGGCGTGGTGGCAGCAGTGCAGGCGCATCGCCCCAAGCTGCTCTTCCTCACCTCGCCCAACAACCCCGATGGCAGGTGCGTGCTCTCAACAACCCCGACGGCAGGTGCGTGCTCTCTGGGTATACAGACACGCACGAACAGACACGTGTGCAACCCTTCCCCTCTTATCTCTCGCCTCCCTCCTCCCCATCTCTCCTCCCCCCCCCACGTGCGCAGCATGTTGAGCGAGGAGGACCTGCAGCAGCTGCTGCGGCTGCGGGTGCTGGTGGTGCTGGACGAGGCGTACATCGAGTTCAGCGATCGCCCCTCCGCCATGCCGCTCGTGCAGCGCCACGCCAACCTCATTGTGCTGCGCACCTTCAGCAAGCGCGCCGGTCAGCACCCCCACCCCCACCTCTCGCGCCTCCTCCCTTAGCTTCCGTGCCCCTGCCTCTCATCGCTCTCTCATCGTGCCTTTCAAATTCCACATGCTCGC